TCCACGTAGTTTCCTCTGACAACACTCTCATTATTATCATATCGTCCTGGTGCCCCGCCAGCGTAAACCGTTAGCGCAGGCGGGTGCACCGTTCCATTATCATCTATGAGAAAAAAAATACCACTTTCCATCAGGTCAGGATATCTTTATTCATGTATGTCTATTACAGATTCTTATGATATGTCAAATCTACAGTCAGTTCGAAATGATTTCGAGATAAGAAAAACTGACAAGAAACTCAGCTAGTATGCATCTCAAATAAATGTTGTTAGATGTTTACAATAATACAAATTAATTTAAATTTAAATTTGGAGAATATAGTGACCACTTGACTTGTTTATTATTCAAATTACAGAATATTGGTCAAACATTTGTATGTCACAGCTCGCTTTTATATAGGTACTTCTTGTTAACATCAATGTCATCAGATTTCGTACTATAATGTCATCAACAGGCGACACTTTCCTCTGTGACACAGTCACCCGACACTTCGTCGTGGTCGCAGATGGCGCTTTTATCTCAATCGTCATAATTAGGGGATTACAGCCCCCTAATGACATGTTACATTGAATCTCTGTTACGCCCCCGAACAAATGTTCACTACTTTGTTACAAATAAATAATTTTGACTCGGCCCTTGTCGTACGGTAGTGTGTTTGTGTTGTGTTGACAGACGGGACAAATTGTTATATATTTTCTTAAATTTTGTAGAGAAATTCAACTTTATTGAAGTAACATCATCCACTTTATTGTTCAAATGGTCCAAAATATTTTTTTGTGTTTGAATTCAGTTAGAAAAAAATAACAGAAGCATCTATTTGTTTTTAGTTATAGCACATATAACATAATATTACATAGTTATAGTTTGTACTGCATATTAAGAGATTCATTCATATTTTTTTCCAAGTGTACATCTACTTGAATATCTTGACATCGAACAAAATAAAATAAATTTAAATAAAATGTATATTATACAAGTTATACATATTATTTATTAATTTAAAATATTTTATAAGCCAAATTCTTTCAAAACGTTGGATAATATTTTATACAAGAACTTGTGAAAACTAGAAAAAGAAAAGCGCTTAAAACGTCTATATTTAACGGCATAATTGCATCTCGGAAAAACGTCAGGTAAAAAGCGAAACCAATATATTCGCCATCAAAGTCCCAAAAATGTGGAAGCTGAAAAAATACAGCGCTTTAAACGTTAAAAGGCGTCGTTTACCGCGAACGCAAACACTTAGCTACACGTTAATTAGTAAGTAGCTAGGAACGCCGTCAAAGGGAATGCATGAATACTTGTCCGTGCTTTTAAAATGTCCCCTCGTAATTGGAAGCCAAGAGAAACCCTGGGTAAACTGATTATGTCGCCAATATGCGATATTTTTTTCAGAGCAACGAATTTCAAACGGTTTTGGTACACACGTAACTTGTTTCAAATAAAACATGTGGCAGCATATGAATTTAGAATACTTTGTGAGTGGTAGAGATTCTCTTTAACCGATTTTAAAAGGAGGTCTTCGATTTTCTTTTTTTATTTTATAATGTTCCCCTTACAATTGGAAGCCAGGAGAAAACCTGGGTAAACTGATTATGTCGCCAATATGCAACATTTTTTTTTCAGAACAACAAATTTCATACGGTTTTGGTACACACTTAACTTGTTTCAAATAAAGCATGTGGCAGCATATGAATTTAGAATACTTTGTGAGTGTTAGAGATTCTCTTTGACCGATTTTATAATTAATAATAACCTTGGATAAACTGATTTTTGTCAGAGCAACGAACTTCAAACGTTTCAAACAGTTTTAATATAGACGAAACTTCTTTCATATAAAACATGTGGCCATACATGAATTTGGAATACTTTGTGATCGATTTCAATAAAGGTAACATTCGATTTTCTGGGTTTATTTTAAAATGTTCTCATATTATTTAAAATGTTTTTTTTTCATAGCAACGATATTCAAACGGTTTTAATAAACACATAACTTGTTTCAATTAAAACATGTGTGAATTTGAAATACTTTCACAAAGTATTGCAAATTCTCTTTGACCGATTTTATAAAGCGAACTTTGATTGTTTATTTTATAATATCCCCCTTATAATTGGAAGCTAGATGAAAATCTGGGTAAACTGATTATGTCGCTAATATGATTTTAATCAGAGTAACGAACTTATTTTAATACACACAAAACTTGTTTCATATATATATAAATTTCTAATGCTCTACGAGCGTTAAAGATTCTATTTCACAGATTTCAAAAAGCGCCTTCGATTTTCTGTCTTTATTTTAAGTAATGTTTTACTTTTTAATTTGTTGATTCTAATACAAACTGGTCTATAGGAACCCCAGAAAGTATTTTCAGGAAGTATCTTTCATACAAATTTTAATGTAATCATTTTCATAAAATATTATTTATTAATATGTAATTAATTCATTAAATTAATAATATTATTTATTTTCATATTCAGAAAATGAAGAGGACGTGGTAAAAATTTTGAAATTTATTTGCCAAGATTCGAGCCAGTAATGAAATTATACATTATATAAATCGTCGATTAAATAGGAAAAGTCATTATTTTAAATTAGAAGCTAGAATTGCCTCCTTTTCTATAATTCAATTAAATTAACCACGCCGTCTTAATCATTATCTAAATACTTTTAAAATGATATGTAATACTTCTGTGTAAATTTAAAACTTTAAAAGAAAAAATAAGTTAAAAATTAAAAAAAAACTTTAAATGCTTGTCTTGTAAAAAATGTACATTTTGAATACTGCCATTTTTCTATTTTACCGACGAAATGTAAAACTAATATACATACAAGTGTGTAACATTCAATATACACCTATATATTTATAGCACCATACACCTACTTGTCACTACGTTTTAGAAAAAAATATATATAAAAAATAATTAAAAAAAAACGACTTATGCATGCCGTAGCAAACAGTAATTAAGTCAAATATTTTCAAAATGAGTCGTTTTATTTTTAAGTAGTATCTAATGGCTATTTGACTTTGGTTATTTTTAGTCTATAGTTATATTATTTGGTATATGAACGTCATGGTGAAAAAGGATAAAAATTAATTTAATATAATTAATATTCATTAAGAATTACATAATAAATTATTAATTTATTAATTATTTAAGCAAATTTTAACAATATATTTTAAATGTATTAACATTAATACTTATTTTACTAACGTGATACAATCATCACATTTTTTTTTTGATAAGCACAATGTAATTGTATAATATTAATTAATTTAATGTAATAAAATGGGTCTCAAAATAAAGTTATAAAAAAAAAAATTAGATGTATTAATTACCTACTAAAACAAATTTGTTGTCAATACGTCTAATTTGAATTAAAGTTGGCAACCTTAATGTTGTTCATATTAATTTAAAATTAATTATTAATATAACATTTATCAAAAATATATTTATAAGAAGTATTCGTACCTTCGTATTTCGTACCTCGTCAACTCGTGACCACGAGTACTGCAATTTAGTTGAAATTTCGAGAGGTAAATAATAAATATATATCAATATATAATACCTTTATACACCATAAAATTATTCGTGTTAATACCCGTTTAACCGTTTTAATATTTTTTAATTATTATGTTTATAAAACAAAACCTAACACAAGCAGGTATTGTCTTTGTTGTGTCACTTTTTTCATTTATGAAAAAAAACGGAATAAAACCGCCATTATCGCCATACGGTCACAACTAGGGTTGTCCAAGAAGAATGAGCAAGAAACTTTCGAGTTGCTCAGCATACAGATTTATGCACTACATTCCATTTTGCATTATTTTAGTTGTAATAATATAATCAAATTTGTCACATTTTTCATTTATGAAGAAACGGAACAAATCTGCCTTTACCGCCATACCGCCACAAGCAGGTACGCGAAATAAATCGCCCTCAAAACATGATGGCTCACCTCGAATCATTAGCCGTAACAACATTAGTTAAGCAACGCAATTACAATTAGGAGCGCTGAACTTGACCCACAGTGAGAGGTCGATGCGCACCGCCCGCTATGCAAATAAGATGGCGGACGATTCTTTGGCGCCAAATGGTTCCTCCATTCCTTACGATAGTTAAGAATCAGTTGTACATTATAATATAATAGTAATCTTTATTAGCCAATAAAATCGAGTTTACATTTACATTTATGACATTACAGCATTATGACACCACATCTAGACACACAGTTCTGTCTGGTGTGATTCAGAGGACACCTTTAAGCATATTACAATATTAGGTGAAAATCCTTGAAATGAAAACCCTATTTTTTATCGGATTATAAAGGAATGGTGTACCTATCTGCGCTAACGATTTATACTAGCGGAGTACCAGTGGAGGATAATATGAACATGAGGTCAGGTCGTAACCTGATCGTGACAAATTCACCAGGTCTTTATCATGATGGTTTTCAGGGAAAACCACGGCCAACCTGATATGGTACCTTGCTAGCAATGAGATTATTTTCTTAATTCTTTGTTAATCTGTGCACAGTCAAGTTATTATTATTGTTATCAGTCCACATTACTAACAAAATTAGGTACTCTCCACCATTAAACCCTTTTGGTGCCATACATTTAGGGTGAGTGGGAGGGGACAAAGTTTGATGCATGGAATGTCAACGCAAGAGTGACGTGGTGCTGTTCCTGTGTACATACAGTCAAATCAACTTGTTTGTCATTCATCATCTTCTGCCTCGTCCCATTCCTTGGAGATAAGCGTAATATGTCTCTTGTCTGTCTATTTCATCCATCCCTGTACGCAGCCATCTCGGTAAGTACTCCCTTTCTTGCCATATCATCTTTCACGCAGTCCATCCATATCTTTTTCGGCATTCCTCTGTCCTTATAACCTTCCACATTCATATGTATGTGTTTGCTATTCACACACAACTACACAAAATAAAAACCCCATCACAAAAAATGTGGAAACCGATTAATAGTATTCGTTACTTGCAGCGGAAGGTGCTTTCAAAAAATTAAAACCTGAGCCCGGCGGGAACAACACGGGATCTTCTGGGGGCACGTCAGCATTATCACCGGCGCTGGGTCCGCAGCATGCCGGCCATACGCCCACAACAGCATCCTGTCCAACACCTGCAAGACGCCGTCACAGGACCACCTTCACACAAGTAATCTTTCAATTTTTCTTACTATCGGGGGTCTACGGGGGGCACGTCAGCGTTATCACCGGCGCTGGGCCCGCAGCACGCCGTACATACTTCTACAACTGCCTCCTGTCCAACACCTGCACGACACCGTCACAGGACCACCTTTTCACAAGTAATCATTCAATTTGTTTTACTATCGGGGGTCTTCAGGGCCACGTCAACGTTATCACCGGCGCTGGGCCCAGAGCACGCCGTCCATACTTCTACAACTGCCTCCTGTCCAACACCTGCACGACGCCGTCACAGGACCACCTTCACACAAGTAATCATTCAATTTGTTTTACTACCGACCCGGTCCCCACTGCCGGTTCAATTGATAATGTAATAATAATGACCCTGGACAGTTCACAAAGCGACATCCAGTCCCAAGGTAAGCAGAACTTGTGTTATGGATACTAGACAACTGATATGAATACTTAGATATTTTTTTATGTATATACATACATAATATATATAGAAAATATCCAAACCGATACAAACAATTATACTTAAGAATACAAATGTTGCGCCATATGAGGAATCGAACCAGCGACCATCGGAAATAATGAGGTTTGCGATACCGCTAGACCACCCTGCCAAATTATTGTGGAAATGTATTGTTTTTTTTAACAAAGTAATGATAATAGTTACGGTCTGCTAATGTAGGTCTTTATAAATATATTTTTTTTTTATTTTAGTCCATTAGGAACAATATATATGTTTATACTGTTGGATGAGACGTTTTACACCAAACTACAATATAATGGAAAACTACTGAATATCACACTGAAGAATTTTTTTCTATACTGTTAAAAAATCCAGATTAATTTGCTACCACTGTAGGTTATACAAGTTAGGTTTTTGTATCAATAAATTTCGCCTTCTCAAGTTCAGTCTACAGATTAAATTGATAAGACCTGGCAAAACACTCAACTCATTTTGTTTTTTAAACTCAATTTGTTAACGTTACTTATTTATTTGTCTTGTCCAACATTAAATTGAAAATCCCGTATATGATGCCGTACATAATTTTACTGAAAGTCTTATTTATTATGAAATTTTACGGGCAAAATATTTTGTACGTTCCTTTTATAAACTTATTTGTGAAGACCACGAAATAGGAGTGTAATAAAAAAGTAATTTAACATTTTCTATTTCATTTTAAAAGACAGTACCTAAGATGCTTCAGTTTATGAGATCTGATCTATATCTAATGTAACGTTTTTTTTTTAATATAGATCCATCGTAACAGTTAAACAATGTTTATATTTGCAAGTAAAGTTAAGAAAATCACAGGATCTTATATTATTTTATTTATTATTACTGACAATAATAATCGCGATCGGAAACTTATTGCGGGAAGATAGATATAGTTTGGTGAGATGAGTTTCGAACAAGTTTAATAGTAGCAACAAACGAAGATGTATGAAGGTAGTTCAATATATTATGGTCATAATTAACCATCTACTGGATGATCTTCAGGTTACCCATAATCATGGCGGTTATAACACTGACGAAATATAAGGAACTCAATAATAACAAATAAAACGTGGTAAAACCTCGTCATTTTCTTCATTTTTATATTCTCCCATTTTTTGTTATACAAGAAGTATTACAAAAAATGGGAGAATAATTAACAACACACAATTTAAAGAAAACATCGGCAGGATAATGAAAGCTATTACGAGTATATAGTCATAATTTAACTGTTTGAGCTAATATGAGTGATACATAAAGTACCGATGAAAGAATAGAAAGAAAAAAAAAATAATGTCTATAATGCAGTTTGATAAAGATATAAATTGATGCTGTGGACCATAGACTAAAATAGTATAGAATTTGCTTTTATTCATATAATCTTGATATAAACACTTTTGAATAGTTTTTTATGTGATTCTACCGCGACATTCGTAATGTAATTCATTGAAAAATAGGTAAGAAACTCAACCTTGTAATAGCCGTATAATACTTTTCTATAAATAATATAAATGGTGTATAAAACAGGAAAATAGTGTATCTAAAATCTATTATCCGCCTAAAATTTATAGTTTATGTATTATGATGTCTAAGCTATATTTTTGTAAAGTTTCATTAAAATTCATTCAGTAGTTTTTTCATGAAAAAGTAATAAACATCCATTGGCAGAAGTTTTTGATTTGTTTGTTAAGTTTTACTAATATAATGATTTTTATTAAAGACTCAGGAAACCAATAGGCGTATAGATCACCAAAAGAGTTATTTAAATCTACTCAGTAGTTTTTGCGTGAAAGAGTAACAAACATCCATCTATCCATACTCACAAACTTTATTGTTTATAATATTAACTAGCTACTCGCCCCGGCTTCGCACAGGTGTACATCGTACATGAATCACTCTATGTATTAAAAAAAATCTGTTGCGTAGTTTTAAAGATTTAAGCATACATATGGACGGACAGACAGCGACAGCGACTTTGTGTTATACTATGTAATAATGATAAGACTTATTAAATTGTAATAAATAAAAGACTCAGCAAACAAATAGGCAAATAGGTCACCAAAAGAGCCATTTAAAAGCTGAAAAACATTAAAGTAGCCATCTCAAAGTGATCGTTTCCACAGGAACAATTAGCGGAATTAGAAGCAGCATTCGCAAAATCACATTACCCGGACATTTACTGCAGAGAGGAGCTGGCGCGGACGACCAAACTCAACGAGGCCAGGATACAGGCCAGTATTCATTCTTTTTATTTTATTTCATGCACACTGAATATAATTTGCATTTCAACTAATGTTATATTACTTTCTATCGATTTTTCTAGAATGTTCTAAATTCAAATTAAAAATTTAAATACCAACCAGCTCTGTTTTAATACTAGCTTTCTAGGTAATGTAGTTTTCTATAATTACACTTTTTTTTAAATTTTTTTAATTTATAGGTCAGTATTTATAAAACAATATACTCTATTCAAATCTTCCTGTATCCAAATATTATATAGATATACATACATATATTACATTCGTAATTTATATTATCGTACTTACAAGAGTTAGTTTAGATGCTATCACTAATTCAATTTCGATGTTGATTATTATTATTACTAGCGGCTTACTTTTTTATTTTTCTTATATATTTTTTATCACATTATTATTGAATAGTTACCTATACTTTTCCGCCGTTTAAAAAATCGATTTTCTGAAGTTGGACACAGACTCATCAATTTCAACAATCGCTTAATAATGCAGTACAAATTTATCTACTTACCCTAGAATTTATTGTGTGTACTAGTGTATATTTGTGTTGTATTAGTATGTATTTGTGCTAGAAATTATATGATACCAAATTAATTCTGTTTATATAGGTATATCTAATCCTTGTGACGTCGTAAATTTAATCATAGAAAATATCTCTATCCTAAACATATATAGACAGCGACTGGTCACTCCCAGAAAGCGCAACCGGAATATAGATAGATAATAGATAAATACATTCTTTATTCACCAATCATAAACACATACCATAAAAATACAGACTAAATAAATATACAAATAAAAAAATAGAAGCAGCTCTATGTACAGGGGAATAGTTAACCAATATAACATAAAGCTACAGATGAACTTGTAACGCTAACATTCTGTTGGCCCCTATATAAGAAAAGAATGAGACTGCGTGTTCGAGGGTTTCAAGAATATTTTTCTTTTGTTTGGCAGTATTCGGCCGTTTCTTATACTTCCTTTTAGCTTATATAAAAGAAAAAAATATAAATATAAGAGTGCCTTAATTAACAAGCGTTCATCACCCGTATCCAATCAGTGAGGAAAGAGTGTCACAAATTTAAACAATAAAAGAAAAAACTACCTAAAAATATATATGGCCTAATTTAATAAAGCGAACTTTAAATTGGTTGAAAATTGTCACCACATATAGGAATTTGTAGAGACAATTCTTTTGCCTATGCAGACCACCCGGAACGCACGAAATCGAAAAAAAAAAACAAAATTGTTTAGTCAGTACAACGTACAATACTGCACACTCATACCACTAGCGAATTGTCGAAATATCAATGATGCGCGAATACTTGGATAATACAATTTGGTGCGTAGGCCGGAGGCGGATTGAATTAAAGCGCCATCTGTCCTCCTCGGCCGTATGAATACGAAATGCTCACAGTTACTCGCGAGATCTTTATCTCAGTTTTAAAATTGCTCAATCCCTCGGGACTCGATATTGATTTGTCCCCGGAGCACCTAATTTGTCGCTGTAAATATTTTATTCGGAACATGACTTTTAGTATCCTTGTTTATTAAATAAATATCTACTTATTCGAGTTTATAAATTCATGTGTACTAATTACCAACTCATTACCCATTGTTGGCGACCGACCGCCACAAACTTCTTTTGATATTCCTTTTATTTTCATAAATCTTTTATGTCAGTATACGTCAGGTTTTTTATATATTTCATTGTTGTTTTACCGTGTTTCGCAGCCGCACATTGCATTTTTATTTTATATTTTATTACTAACATAGGATAAGTTATGTCATTAAGCTGTTACTAACAAAATGGATCATGTTGTCTGAAATAAAATTATTATTATTATTGCAATAAAAAATACTACGATAAATTAACTTAATAAAAGCATTTTATTAGTCATATTTATTGTTCCACTCATTCTGAATGTATACCCATCACAAGAAAATAAATACATTCAAATTATGATATAAATTTACTTAAATATTCAAATTAGAACATAAATTTATGAAAGCTATATAGTGATTTAAAATTTATTTAAATTACTTTATCGACCAAATAAAAAACAATGTTTTAAATCAATTGTATCTGTGCATTATTTTCGAATCCGTCCTGCGTCAGTCCACGTCGCGTCGTCATGAATGATTGTCTGTTTCAAGAATCTCTCTTTCCGTTTGGTTATCACTTGACACTACTTGGCCAGCCCATCACAACTTCAGCCTGGTCAATATCCATCACTTTAATTCTATTGAAAATGATGTAAAGTGGACTTCTATTTAATCACGTAGCCTCACATTTGGGCTATTGTACAAGTAAAAATCCAGATATCACACAATAAAACTCTTTCTACCAGTTCCGTCGTCCGGTATAGCTCGCTGAGTAACTTGGACTGACCTCTTACGGTTATGCTATGTTTACGTCCTAAAAGTGATATAAAAATTATTGAAAATTTTGGTGTTCTAACCGGTTAGGCCATTGCTTTAGCTTTAGCCAAAACGATAATGACAGTAACAAAGCTATAGTAATTAAACCAAGAAAACGAAAAAGTAACAAAAAAGAACAAAGGGAAAAACAGATTGGTGTGACACCATTAGAAATAATACAAATGATGAGATAGTTAACCTATTCAAGAACGATTTTTGTATTTCTAGAGAGAAAATACAAATAAAAGAGAAATAAACAAACCCGTCTGTACGGCGTCAAAGCGTATCTTAACAAATCATAAAATTGTCATTTATCTTTTCTAATAAATGCATACCTACTACAAGTGATATTTTATTCGTGGTTTTACCTCTGCCATCAAGATCACAATTACACACTCTTTCAAGAGCAATGAGTGCCAAAGTTCTGTTAGGAAAATGAAAGGTTCCGCGAAACGATGTTAGAAAAGAGCACGACGTACCTACTACGGTTAAAAGCTTGTGAAATGCGTGTAGGCGACCGTATTATAATATGTATATGGGTATATAAATCATCGAACATGTGTGGATGTGTGCAAACGTGTAGGTAAGTGCGGGTATGTTGGTACACGCGCGCCGTAGGAGGCTATTAACGTTTAGGCGACGCTACATAAGAATGTAAACGTTAAAGACGACAGCAACGTCGAGCTCCCTCCTTCGAGAGGAAATTTCGATATAAAAATACGAGTCGGCTGGCGTGGGAAGGGTGAGGGCGGGCGGTAGGGGAGGGTGGCCCCTGAGGCATTGCAATCCCATCAAATGGATCCGTAACGAAGTTAGCCGCTCATCCTCCCCGCGCGCCCCTCGACATTGTCTCTGCCCTCAAATGAATTCTACAATTGGAAATAAGAAAATGTTTTGTTGGATCCCCGTGCTTTTTCAGTTTAAAGGCGACCGTTTTCTTCGGATAACTCGGCGCGCTCTCAGCAAAATACGTACCTATCTATCGCTGTTGTCGTGCCCCAACAAAATGTTTTATTTACGAGATGGATCTTTACCGAATTAAGTTATAGGTCTTATAAAATTCTTACTCTTTGTATCTACTAAACGTGTTGTAATAAGTACATTTTTATTGTTACCTTGAAATTTTATTGATATGTTTAGATATCAAGAAGGTATGAAGGCAAACGTAGTATCCGACTGAAATTAGTTTTTACGGCCGTAACCGGAACAGAAACCGAATTTCGGCTTCGATGACAGTTTCAGCGGAACACGAAACAGAATCTGATTTTTTTTCGTATTCATACTTACATACGATAAAAAAATTTACATGTTAGCCTTCGAAAATTAATAAAATATTAACGTTCTTAAAAGACTACACTTATGAAATAAAATTACTGTTAAAATGCTACCTTGCTTATTAGGTCGAAAGTTAACAGCATTTTTGATAAAAAAAAATGAAGATTAACATACCAATACATTTAAAAAAAATTACTAATATGTGAGTACTGAACAAGAAATGAGTAATATTATATTAGCTGCTTGGCGGTTTTATATTTTCATACGCTATAACAAATATGTAGTATGATATTACATAATATATTGCTACCATGTACATTCTACGTTATATGAACGTAGCACACACTACAGGAATATGGCTAAAATTTTATTAGGTGTATATAAACTCTGGTTAGATTTTCAATTATTTTTCAATTGATAAATGCGTCTTTATTTTTCTATGTCGTTTATTTCTTTAATAAACACTATTACAGTATTTTAGCATGACAAATCCGTTTGTATTAGCATGACAAATCCTGTAATTACTTTATTAATCGATGCACTACTCATTATTCGTAATTTTAGGTTGTGTCGTTACTAGAAACCTTATATGCTTACACGTAGAGCAACCGTCTTTTTAAATTTGGTTAAAGCAATATGTTAAATTCTTTGCTCCATTTTGAGGTTTTTTAATGTGTTCTTAATGTCTTCTTAAATCAAATCAAAATATCTTTGTACATGTAGTCATGTACAAACAGTTATAATAAATCATATATACCGTCAGTTCGGAGTGTACTTTGAGCTAATGTTAAGTGACAAGTAATTCGGTTTTCTCTCTTTTTATGATATGTATTTTATAGAATTATGGCTGTACAGTGTAGAAATCTGTTTTTATAATCACGTTATTAAAATTTTTATAATAATATAACTTAAACATTTACACTATTTTATTAATATTATTATAAAACTGGATTTCTATTTCTATTGATATTATTTAATTACAATGATTATATTATAACTAGCTTTTGACCGCGGCTACGCTCACGTTAATTTAACCTCTTAGGGGTGGAATTTATCAAAATCCTTTCTTAGGGGATGCTTACGTCATAGTAGCTTTATGCATGCAAAGTATCAGTCCGATCGGTTTAAAATTGACAAAGTTTCATACAAACTTTCATCCCTATTTTATCCCCTTCTGGGTAGAATTTATTAAAATCCTTTCTTAGCGGATACCTACGTCATAACATCTATCTGCACGCCAAATTTCAGCCCGATCCGTTCAGTGGTTTGGGCTGTGCGTTGATAGATCACTATGTCAGTCACCTTTGAGTTATATATATTTAGATTAAGTAATCTCTATAACATATATACTTATACTTATTTTAGTATATATATACATCCTACACAAAGGAAGATCTAAAAAATGCGACAGAATGCGCAAAAGTCGCGAAACATTCTGGGGAAAATATATTTAAATATATGTATTTAGTTGCCATTGAAACGAAAGAAGAAAAAGACTAAAATTATTTGAATAGAATATTAGCGAAGTAACTGCTAATATGCTACGATTAGTAATCATATTATAGTATTCGAAATAAGTATTAATCTGTAGAAATACTATTATATTTCTACAGAGCACTAGAATATGACTTTTTAATCTTCCACAATGTATGTGGTGTCCACAATCGACATTTGCCTAGTAATCTAGTGAACCTTCAGCTTACTTGCTATTCCAGTAACAAAAAGAATGACACGTGAATGTTTAGCACACCGCCTTACTTCTGATGGTCATGGGTTCGATTCCTAGCACCATACAAACATTTGTATTTATAAGTATGAATGTTATTTCATATTTCATATTGTTTTATTCACAAATGTAACAAATCTCGTTACACAATAGGACGTCAATAGTAATTATATTTTTAAGATAATTATGTCACAATTACAATTTTAAGTATTCAAAATAATAAATTAAATAATATATACCATATCTATAAAACTAATAAAAGTCACTTAATGGAAAAAGTCATAATTTTACACTGGAATTCAGATATTCCGTCACATTGTAAAAAGAATGTTGCTCGAAATATGTTTGTATCGGTCTGAGTGTTTTCCAATGACTTTGTCTATTCTAACAAAATAGCGCTTTATTACTATGGTTATAGGAATCCCTTTACCTAATGCGCCAAGGGACTCCAATAGGTGAAAGACGGCTCTGCGTATTCAATAATATCTCAGAACAAATCTTGATACATTATTAATATTAAAAAAATATATTACTAAAAAGCAATCATTCCACAATTAGGAAATAACTATTTTCTATTACGACGCGGCTCCGACGGATGTTGGGTTGCTACGCGAAAAAACTAATATCCCATTTACGTTTCCCCTCCAACATAAATGTACTAAACGGTATGTATATGTATAATTTGTCGTATAGGGTAGTTAGGTATAGGGTGTATCGGTTTATTTATATGGAGAATGCGTGCGGGGGCGCGCCGCTGGCTCCCCCTCGCCGACTGGGCGGTCTCCCTTCCACCCTCTCCCTCTAATCAGCTCTAATCACCATATCAAACGACGCACGCCCTCATCCTCGTTGACAACACACAGATTAGAAGCTCGTGTGTTCTAACCATTGTTTTGTTGTTCCACATATAACAATGTATGTACTACATACATGTATTCGATAAATAAAGGACATCCATGCTAATATTATACCTAAACTAGCTGTGCCCGCGGTTTCACTCGCATGAAATTTATAGGCTATCTTATTCTGATGTATAATATAAGCAATGTTATTGTAAGGTTTTATCAAAATCACTTCAATAGTTTTTCCGTCAAAGAGTAACAAACCATCCATACTCACAACCTTTCGCGTTTATAAAACAAAGTAAGATAACAATGAAATATATTATTATTCATTCCTATTTAAAACAAAAAAATAAATAGTAAAATTTTCGAGTTTGTAAGACTAAAATCGAAATATGATCTCACAAAATCTATGAATCCTACTAGAAAGGTGATAGAGGCCCTAGATTTAATGATTTTTTACACGAAATTTGTGACTCCACCTCTTATTATATGTCATAATTTGTATGTCATTATACAATGTATTTATGGTACTGTTTACTGGTTTAACTTCGTTGCGACGTAATAAAAAGAATTTGTATGCATTTATCACATGTAAAATTAACAATATAATTTTATAATCAGGTGTGGTTTCAAAACCGACGCGCGAAGTATAGGAAGCAAGAAAAGCAGCTGCAAAAAGCATTAGCACCAGCGGTGCTGCCAGGCTGTAATGGTATGATGCGCAACATCCAAGGGTACAGAGGGTACCAGCCTTACCCGCACCCTAACACCATCAACAGATATCCACAGGTAATATATTTATTATTATAGTATTCTATAGATATATATATATATATTCTACAGATTTAGTTTTAAAATTATTTGGTTTATATGACGTACTTTTTAATAACCATATAATAACCCTGAACAATTAACATAGCGCCTGCTATGTAGTCTTAAGCCAAGCTTAAGTCAGGATGTTGGACTACTAATAGAAATACTGAAATATATAGTTTTTGTAAATGTATACATAATATATATAGGAATTACCCAGAACAACACAAACACCTATGCTCATGAAGATATCGAACACACTATCATCCAGTAGCAAGGCGATGTTAAACTGCTAAACCACTGACGATGTTTTCACTGTACACCTTTCCTCCTGCTTTCTTCTTATCTGTAGGATAATTTCGTGTAAAGAGACGAAAGAGAGAAGTAGGTATGTATAAAGGCTTATATATGACAATAGAATCAGGAGCAATATTATAGAAGTTATTATGATTAATATATGTTTATTGTTTTTAGTTATTTTATATTTATAATTATTATTTTATTTGTGAAGTACTGAGCATCCCAAGGGATAGAGAATGCTCTTAGCATTAATTCATAAAGTTAAATGACATGTATTTGACTAATGCACCGCCTAATAAAAATCGTGTGCAGTATACATTCATGTTCGTAACGACCACAATTCACGTTCATTACTGCGGTACTAATCACCAGCGCTGATTACGTACTGATTTTCCGATGCGACCAAATAATCTCAAACAGTTCGTTTGATAACGATAAACGATTTTGATGTTGCCAAAACTAATATGGGATCAAATCGGCAATAAAGTTAAAATCAGTTCGCAGTTAACAAAGATATTAAAGTCGAATACAAATCTTCTTTTTTGAAATTTAAAATACATGAAACTTATAAAATCAAAGAGGATGTAGGTGTTTCACCATCCAGAGCAGATGTATTCGAAAAAAACTAAACGTATAATACTGGTAGAGCTCACTGTAACATGAGAAACAAATATACTTAAAGATAATAAAAACAATTAAATATTGCGAATTAATAAACGACTTAACGAAAAATGGCTATGTGTTTAATTTATTTATGAACAAATTGGGAGTGAGAGGTATACCAGCGAAATCTCTCTACAATCTTCTAAAAGATCTTGGCTCGACTAGAATTGCAATAAGTTCTATACTAGAACGTGTATCTAAAGCTGCATTAGGAGTCTCCTACCAGATTTGGCTAGGCAGGGGAGAAGCACGAACAATAAAGATGCGTATTGACGTACGTAGTCAAAGGGGTTTTAAACCTACACCCGGGTCCAAGTCCCGAGAACTACTCGGAATTTCCCTCTCCTGCTATAAATGCTAAGAAATTCGTCTCTTCAAGTTCTCCTTATCGAACCCCCGTTCAATTCCAACAGTATCGTGGTAACAACGTCTCAAATCGAGGTTGACGGATACAATTTTAATCTATGGTCACTTGATGATGAAGGGCCTTTATTTTGATATATAATTCGCGCCCTTTCTTCTTTAACAAATATAAGACATATTATTCAAAAATTATAACTATACACGATTTTACATTAATATTTCAAATAATAAATGAACTCAAAATTGTTCCTAGCAAAATAATATTATAATGTTCTAAAGGACAAATTATTTCACACGGTTTAAGCCAATGTTTTTTCAGATACATATAACACCGGTACATTAATAGATTCCAAGAAAAAGCTTAATTCTAATTCTTTACAGGAGAAGCCACGAATATTTGAATGCATAATAACTATATCCTCTATCTTACCAATGTCGTAGATGTCAGTTTAAATCAACACATGTCATATTATTAGTATTATCTAAAGTAATATCTGTATTGAATAATGAAAGACATTTTTTTCAAATGTGTGCAGAGATTCTAATGATTACTCTGGGGAGACAGTTCTATGAATGTAATAGGAAAGCTTAAAAGTGACCTAACGGAACCCTATCGAAAATTATCCAATTTTCCTATATACTCGGTCACTTTTTCTATAAACAGACAACCATAATTATTTAATGTTGTAGACACGCTATTAAAACGGCCGACGCGCTCAGTGACCTAACGTAATACGGATAATTTCAGCGTGCCACCGTCCCATTAGCGAAAGTGTTAATCGCTATAAAACATGCGGCATATTAATGCATCAAATTATCTACTATGTACAGCTTTTTTATTTGGCAAATTTCGTAAATATTTTTTTTCCATTTAACCGTATTTAGGAATACTACATATATTATAATTAAAGACGGATTATTAGGCTAAATGTCGGTTATTCATTGTCATATCGACTTTGTCTGTTGATTTTCTTGTGCTTTTTAATAGTTATTTTATTGATTTTTCCTATAGAGGTCTGTAATCTTTCGTACACGATTAATAATTAGGCAATTCCTTAAACGATTCATCAAAACTACTACAGACCTTAGAATAGGGCTAAACTTGACGTAAGTTCTTTGTTTCTAAAAACCAGCTGTAAGCTGTAAATCATAAAAAATATTAATAACAGAAATCTGTTACTTCATAGTTATCTGAAGCTACAGATAACTATGAAGTAACAGATGTTATTATACCAAAAAAATGCACAATTTATATTCAGTAGTATGTATTCAATCATATATGCTTAGAGCATTTGAGTTTGAATCAGTCAAATCCAAATCAAACAATCAAATTTGATATTTCTTATATTCTGTACCAGATACTGCGATCCTAATTTTATTTCCAATTGATGCATTTGTAATTGGGCTTTTTAGTAAACTATTTAAGGTTCACAATGTAACAGAATCTCATCTTTCCAGCACCATGGCAGCTACGAGGAGTTACAGAAAGATATTTTCTCTCTATCCCAAATGGGTGGCGGCTCCTATCCCATGCCGCAGGGTTTCTCCATGGGTCATAGCGCCAACATGAGCGCTGTTGGCATGCGACAGGACACAATGGGTTAGTACATTATTTTTATAATATTTATATTCTTTATTGCACTTATATATATAGTAAGAAACAACATTTATGTAACATTCTAATTAAAAACTGATATAATTAAAAAAAATCGGCAATCAACTCTAAGATTGACACAACGTAACACAATTTTTACTAAATTCTATACAGTTATTGTTGTCTTTAAGGACTAGGTACTAAGTACTAATGTACTAACTACTAGGTACTAAGGAATATTTAAGGATTTTAATTTTTTTTTTATCTGAATCGCTTCATTTTCGCTAAGGTTTCTAGAATATACCAAGTAATGTGTTTTATTATTGAGCATGCGATATGCATTTCAAATCTCTGTTTCTGCATTTCACTTGTTAATTTAACGTTATCAGGATCGAACGTTTGGTGCTTTTCCAAAGAAGCCTTAGAATTTACAGTAAGTGAGCTCTTCACACTCTTTTTATCAGGTTCAGATCGGACGTTCAGTGCATTTTCATAGTGCATTTCATATGGGGCACTCTGGTTCGAATTTGATAATGTGACCCCTCTGTAATAGAATTTTTGTACTCTACATATTATAAAATCTATTTATATACACAACAATAAGGTAGTTAATAAATAAATATATAAAACCTTGATTATTCATGTAGAGAAGTTTCAAGAAAACATAAACGAAGAACGCCGTGCTTTAGTGTTTTACTACTGCTCTGTTTGTTACTTTATCACGACTAAACTGCTGAATGGCTCTTAACGAAGTACGTGAAGATACTCGTATTGCGTCCCGAGGACGGATAGGCTATCTTTCATTTATAAAAGCACTTAAAATCGCGGGGCATTATGGTATAGCACAATAAATAACCCTGGACAATTAGTACAGCGCCATCCAGTCCCACGGTAAGCAGAGCTTATGTTATGGGAACTAGACAATTGATATAAATATTTAAATTTATGTATATTATTATATATAGTTTTTTTTTATAAAGAAAAATATATATACATAATATACATAGAAAAGACCCAGGCCGATACAAACAATGATACTCATGAATGCAAATGTTTGCACCATGTGACGAATCATCATTCATCGACGAATCAGTCATAGACCACCGAAGTCATCATAAGGGCATCAATAAGAGCTTACATGTCATAAATATTAAATATTATAGCAACTACTTGTCTGTCACTAGATATATCAGATATATACGTAACTTATTAATAATTTTAATGTTCAAATAACTCGATGACGGCTCTGTATGTAGAAGTAGATTAGTAATTTGTGTTTCTCAACTCTGCACATGAAATATAGTAAATTAACACAAGTAAATACGCACTTGTATAACTAAGTTAGGCAAAGTTACGTTTTAACTTCGGTTAGAACTTGCAAGTAGTACTACCATTTTAGTTGTCAAGTAAAGCCAACAACGTACCTACCTATAGTTAGTAAGAATAATAATAATAAAGGTATTTATGTATATATTGTATGCGATTTGGGCACACATAGAGTGAGTAACGATAATAAATTAAAAGTACCTTTAGAATTTACTAATTTCAGATTATATTCTGATATCAATCTGATCGAAAACAACTCTGAATATTAAGATGAAAATTCATTTAATTAGAAACGTTTGCTTGCTTAGGCGACGACAGATTTCCGTTATATATATATCAAAGAAAACAAATGAATTTATATAGCTTAAATCTGATCTGACCGAAAATTGTAACAGCAATTCGCACAAGAAAACAGCAAATAAAAGAAAAGAAAATTGTAATAAAAAACAATAGCTACTACTACATATACATACCAATAAATATCTAAATAAACATTCACGTTTATGACACTAGTAGGTAAGAGTAGTTTGAAATAGTAAGCCAGAGACCGGCTTGCCCTCAAGAAACTAAACAATTTTCCCGATAGGAACAAAATGAAAATTTAAACATAATGGAAATAAATATATTTTTAGATTCAGTTTCTAAGTGGCAAATTGATGAAAATATATAAGAAAATATATTTATATTTCCACTTTGTTTCCTTATGAAATTGGTCAAATTTCCCATTATGACCATTAGTAGTAATATTTTATTCACAAGTTGAAATGCACCGGACCCTTTCTTTAGACAATTGTAAATTCATAAAAGCAGTCAGGAAATATATAATGTAATTTGAGTATTGATAAAAAATCAAATTATAGTATAGTATTCTCAATGTACTTACAATAGATAGGTACATTATTTCAAATACGATTGTCAACAAGCTTTATTTCCTGCCCAGATTGACTTTGGGCATAAAATATAATTTATGTTCATCCTCGCATAATCTATCTATCTTCATATAAAATATTAAGATCCGTTTAGTCGTGAAAAGCTAACAATAACACAGGCAGATCCACTCACGCTTATAATATTAGTAGGTACAGATTTATTTTTTAGTTCATGTTCTTATTACATGTATTAGTATGATTATGTTAACTTGCCGATTATGTTTATTTCATTACGCATATCTCATATAAAATTGAAAACACTATAATCGCTTAATACTCTAGTTCAAAGACATTTTCCTATCGTCCTCCCATTTTTCGTTTCATATTTGTTGCACAAAAAAAGAAATACCACAATATTTTATCAACAAAAAAAATTACCTAATACTTACGCCTATTTCTTGAGAGCGATAGAGCGTGAAACGACCGAGCCTCGGGACATTCCTGCGTAAAAAAAAGTGGATGGCAGCGAGGCATCGCACCGTGGATATTCTAATAAGAAAATTTCCACTACATTTACTTTGGCGGGCGTACTCGCGGCGTCTTCGCAAATATCTTATTTCCTGAGGCGAGATTGCATCTTGAGAAAACGCGGGGGTCGATTCGGTACCACTATTCGCTTCCCTACCATCCATCTATACCTAAATAACTACATATTATATACAACCTCAGTGGGGCCTGCGAATAGGGGTGTCTGAAAATCGTCGGACTTTTCAATAATAATAATAATCTCCCTAGACCATTCACATAATGCTATATAATCACAAGCTAAGCAGAACTTGTGTTATGGATATTAAACAACTGATATAAATACTTAGATACATTTTTGTTAATACCTACATACATATGTAGGAAACACTCAGACCGATACAAACTATCATACTTTTGAATACAAATATTTGTACCGTATGAACAATCGAAACCGCGTCCATCGGAAGTAAAGCGGTGTGCTAAACCGCTACACCATCAAGGCCATCAATAAGTCATACATTTAGTGAAGAATAAAAATAAGCACACCAAATAACACGAACTCGTTTTATATTGTTTCTGTCGCCAGTACGGACGATTAATAAACTTCAACGTTTGAGTCAATAAGTGTAATATCTAAAACAAAAGAAAGATCATTAAAAACTAAAAAATATATAGATAAAACGATAGGTTTAGAGAAAATATCGATGTTTTTTGTCATCGATGTTTCTATTCAATATTTAATTTTCGATAGTTATAGATCGATGTTTTTGTATTATCAATCAACCATATGCACTAGTACCGACAGTGCTAAACCTATACTTCCACCCATATAAGACTATGGTCAAGTCTTGTACATGTGCTACTAATATAGAGATCGCTAATTAAAAAAATACAGTCCATCTTTATTATCCAGTAAAATATAAGCGACAGAAAAAAATCCTAAGGTGCTTTGATTTTGATTGTATGTTAAACTATTAGAATAAGAAATCAAATCTTTATACTTTATTATATTAGCATAGACTAAATTATTAATGAATAAATAAGAAATGCCGTTTTTAATATCCAGAGAGAAAGGCAAAAGTATAAAAAAATTTAGACTTCGAAGGGCTGGTAACCCTAACTACATCTTATAGGTACATCTTACAAATCTTGAAATGATTAGTGGATCCTAAACTTAATTACGGGAGATACCTATGAATAAGTCATGACTATTTAAAAAATTGCAAAATATCAGAATGGTTCAGACGTCCATTTATAAGTATGTAATGTAGAGTCATAAACAAGTAACATTAATGAATTATTAATATTCGATTGTAGAACTCGTAAAGATGGGAAAACTTAATGTGGTTGTATCTTCAAGTTTACGGAAAAACGGCTGGAGAGATAATATCTTTTTAAATTATAGTCTATTAGCAATGTCCGCTGTTTCACCTGCGTCAAATTTATAGGCTATGTGTTATCCTGATGTATTTTCTATATTATTGTAAAGTCTCATAAAAATCCATTCATTAATTTTAACGTGAAAGAATAACGAGCATCCATCCATAAATCCACACTCACAAACTTCCGCATCGACAATATTAAGTTGCATTATTGAAGTATAGCTATATTACTGTACAGTTACATCGATATCCATTCAGTAATTTTTGCGTGAAAGAGTAAAATTCATCATCAGCCATCCTTCATCCATAGTCACATTACTACTTAACATTTGTTTGTCAGGCATGAGCGCAGAAGACGAGTGGTACAACAAGTCGCTGTCAGCGCTGCGGATGAACAGCGGCCACCACGCGAACCTGGCGGCGGCGCCCATGCTGCAGTACCAGACCTAATCGCTGCTGCACGGCGCCGACTACACGCCGGCGCCGGCGCACGACTATGCTCCACCGTAGTCGCCGCTGCCTGAACACAGCATAACTACGATCAGTAGTTCAACTGCGTACAATATGTGGGACTAGATGACTCGCGCATTGTTTTTTACGTATTATCTTTTTAAATTAAAGATTATATATTATTCTGATGTATAAGCTATATTATGGTAAAGTTTCATGAAAATTCGCTCTATAAGTTTGCGTGAAAGAGTAACAAACATCTATACATCTATCTGTCCATACTTTCTAACCTAACCTTTGTCATAACTTTCAACTTTCGAAAAATATTAGTAAGAAGAAGATATACACGCACGTACAGCATAAATGGAGTTAGTTCTAAGCTCTATATTATTTTTTCTATTAAAGTTTATATGAGAAGTGTCAAATATGATATATGAAGCCCCTAAAAATTTTAATTTTAAACATTATTAAAATAATTCGATTTTATAATTATATAATCTTCTTTCTTGTTCTCATTCTTTAAATAATATATTATTTTCTTATAGGAAAATAGTAAACAATTGAAGAACAACAATAGATAAAACAGGATAACTATTAAAATATGATATTAGATACTGCGATGTTTATTTTAAATACGACACTATTGTTTTTTGTGGAACTCCCATTATTACTTAAAATAATGCCTATATATAATCTTTATAGACTGCGGTATTCCTACATATAAATCTTTTAATTCAATGGTTACTACTTCAGAGTCCCTGCTCTAAATGAATTAAATGCGCATTTTTTGTACAGTTGAACTACTGACCCTTTTTAAACTGTCACTGACGTTTATACTCGTCAAGTCTATTAATTTTCTATATTTGGTTACTTTCAAATTAATTAAATCGTGTCTTATTGATAATGATCGTACGATAGATGTGACAAGAGACTTTGAAGCCAACGTTGATACATAATCATCGATTATTACCATATTAAAATAGCGTTTATAATCAAAGAAAATATACTAATTAATTGTAAAACTGTGATGGAGAGAGTTATAATCTTGAACTAATCGGCACAATGATCACATACTGATTTTTATATTTGCAATCTGTCCGTAATAAACGAAAGTAACAAAACTAATCATATACCTACCATATAGCACGTACTGGCTTCATATGTATTTTTTATTTAAATAACTTTAATGCAAGTTATACATAAGCAAAAAGTACATATGGCGGACTTAACACTTAATGGCATTTTCTACCAGTCAACCATGAGTTGTGCAGAGATAAGTTGATGGCAGTGCGGTATGTCCTTTTTCTTTAGACAACAGAAAGTCTATTTTTTTCATCTGATACAATGTGTATCTAATAATGTGAAGATGTATGTATAAGTCATTGTTTTTTCTACTTTCTCCTTTTCGTTTTTTATTTGTCTGGTTCGGGAAATAATTTAGGTAATCGAGAAGGATAATATGTACCTTATAAAATACTAGATCTAATATGATATGTTTTGTTACATTCTGTTTATACGGCCCTAATATATACATATGTATAATAAAGAAATATAGAAATCAAGCATCAAAAAATCTAAAGGCGAGCGACTTTTCATTATAATTTGTTTTCTCTCTATTTTCTTTAGAAAAAAATGAATTTATATAGCTTAAATCTGATCTGACCGAAAATTGTAACAGCAATTCCCACAAGAAAATTTTAAGGTTTTTTTCTAATTAAGGAAACGAACTTGATAATATTAATAGAGCATTTGTATAGATCGTTTGTAAAAAATCGCAGTAACAACCAGATAACGTAATCTCTCTTTTTCCAGTAAACCTCTAATTACTTACTCATCTAGGATAACAATCCTAATTATTATTAACTTATAATGCAAAATGACTTCTCCTAAAACATGGTGTTATAAACAAAACAGCTATGATTTACTATTGTACATATTCATATAACTTTGATAATTCATATCGTACGAGGTTACGATAAAACAATTGTCGAATTAAGACCGTTCACACCAAAATCTCGCAACGCATTATCTGACAATTTTCAATTCAAAACAATCATTTTTTTATATCAATACGTTCATCGTACGATATATATTTTTTTTGTTAAATTAAGTTGTTTTACAAATACCGAATTAAATAATTAAGTTAAGGTAATGATGATGAATGATCGATGCTTCCGGTCGGTGCGATGCGATACGATGCGATGCGGTGCGTTGCGATGCGGTATATCATTTTACTTAAAAGAGTATACTAATTCCGCCTCATTGTACCGCATCGCATGCACCAAGAGGCTACCTTTAATTTACTACAAAAGCTATTCTTAAAGTATATATAATATAATATTATATAATATTCTACGAAACTGTACCCAGGTAAATATCAAAGAAAGAAAGAAAAGTCAAAGAAAGTTATTTTCAGTATGTTACAATAAGAGTTTGCAACAATAGTAATTTTAAAAATTATTTTATTCAATTATTTTTTAACTGTCGTATGTAATACCCAGTATTTATAGTTAAACGGGTAACAGGAATATTTTTTTAGTAAATGAAGGTGTTGACCTCTCTCGACGTTTTATCTAAGTTGCAGTAGTTGTGGTCACGCGCGAAATACTGGTATACAATATTATTAATTGATTAATTTGTTTTGAAAATTGACAGTTAAGTCGGTAATGTTGAGACTACGGTTCAACGTTCTTAAAAGAGCGCGCTGGTTAGCGTATAGTTACGATAGGTACAAATAGCATTATAATTTATTATGGAACGTTTCGTTTCACGGTACACGTATATTGTGTATGCTAGTCATATTGTACAGGCATTTTAAATTGACTAAGTGATAAGTCATGTATTTTCTTGATTGTTGTATTGATTGATATGAATAATATTACAGTTTTGATAGCTACAAACTTACATTAGCTGTATCGAATAAGATAAGAGAAATGCTACTTCTTTTTATACGGGTGTAACAGAAAGGGTACAACTATATAATTGAAAATATGATGACCGAAATGAAAATGTTCTGGTATATGACGTATAACATAAAACCTATCGTTGAAGTTCGAACTGCAAATCTGTATTTTAACTAAATTCAATCGTTTTAAAGCACCAATTAGAAGTTGAAACTAAATGGTGCCACGTGATGTATCCAGGATGATTATCTATGCGTTACTTAGTGTTCTCAAAGCTTGAAGCGCGAACCTAGACGTACCAAATATATGTTAAATACCTTGGTAGCGACTTAACTGACTTTATACATCCATTTTTTTCTTGTTTTGCAATACATTATAAAAGGTTAGTAAAGTTAAAAAAATGAAGACATTGAAATAATTCTGGTAACATAAAAGTATTTTAACTTCGCACTCCTGGTGGCATATCACAACTTTACTAAAACAGTATTCTGTTTTGAATACCAAAAGCCTATTTAAATGCGGTGGGTTATACAAAGTAAAAAATATATATGTACTTCTACTATTGCAATACCTTTTTTACATTACCTTCTGTTACACCTAATACATTTTATATATGTAGAATTAAATATTACTTACATTATTTTGCAGCTATCAAAATTGATAAACAATTTTTCGCAAAACATGCCCATGTAAATATAATACGTTTTGCATGATATAGTTTAAGGTGTTAACAGCTCAACGATATAGTAATGTCACAATTAGTCAAATTAATATTAAGCGGCCATCAATATTATAACGCCAAAGACGCTAGTCATTGCAAACTAATATTTCCTCAATTTAATATGATAAATTTCTTGTCGTAGTTTGATAGGTTATACAAGGCTACAATCTGATTTGTATCTTGTATGATACAAAACCATATCAATTAAGACTGTTTCGGCAAATATCTTAACCATTGAATGGCCATCCTGTGCATTTCGTGTAAATATAATTTAAGAAAACCTGTCTATATAATGAACATGTGTAAAATTAAATAAATTGTCTAAAACGTAGCTGTATTTATTTTGTTCAGTCAAAGCCACTTTGTAAGTAAGTATACTCAACTTTGCCACCGGGCAGCGATCTGCATTGGCATGATTGGAAAATTCTCAACAGACGGCGTACCCAGGTGGGTCGGTGCAGGCACAACTTGCTAAAATGGTGCAGAGACTTGCAACTGTGGGCCTGGAGACACAATAGGAGATGGAATATGGTTTGGGATGGATCCCAAACCTATCCTATCGTGTCCTTTATGCCCAGCGACGAAGGAAGACCTGAACAAATTGTCCGATTGTGCTATTGTAGTTGCCAAGTTCTGGTCAAACCTAGAACTACATTTGACACGTAAAGAGACGTATACTCATTTTTTGTTAACGCCATCTATTGACGACCACTTGTAGATAAAAACGACGGCTTGAGATTGGCTACGGATAAAAAGAACAGGCTGACATTGGCTACAAACTGTGCATCACAGCTCAATTCAAATAACGCAACTAACGACGTATTTGTATCTGTGTAATTGATCTCATAAAACAAACTAATTCAGAAGAAAAAAGGGCTTATTTTATTTAAAAATATTTATTAAATAATATGTTTTAATATTTAATAAAACAAATAGTGATGTAACATGTCAACATTTAAATTATAAAGTATTTCAATAGGCCATACTTAAATAAACTCAGGGCTAGGTTTGGCGTAGTGTGGGTTGGTGACAGTATTGCTCCCTAGGTAGCGTGTGAGATGGGAGACCACGATGCTGTCACCGCCGACAGCATTCCAGAAGGCACGCGCCTCACCACGCGTGGCCTCTCCTTGGCCACACTCCTATATGATTGTTAAGATTCTATGTATATATAATCCTTAACTGATTTTTATACTTTCGCGTTTAGTACACATTATTAATAATAATAATAATCTCAGAGCAATTTACACAAGGTCATCTACACCCAAATTAAGATAGCTGAAGCTTGTGTTATGGGTACTACATAACTGATACAAGTTCATTGATTTTTTTTCGTAAATACATACGTATTATACATAGAAAATACCCAGATCGATACAAACAACCATATTCATGAATACAAATGTTTGTGTCGAGGAATTAAACCCTCGACCATCGGAAGCAAGGTAAACCCGCACAGTTTATGGTAAATAAAGGTGCAACTTAGTTCGAATATCGAGCGTGGTAAATATACCACGCTCGATATTCGAACTAAGTTGCACTAGCCATGAGCTAACTGAAGTGCAGCGATGATGTCAATGTTGATAGGTACCGACAGTTTGTTCAACTTGCTATTGCAGAGATCTAAGATATCATGCCTCTGATCCTGTAATTACAAGTTTATCGTTTTTTAATTCGCAATACTTACTCTTTGAGCACTGGATGTTCTTGCAAGAAATCTGTCAATAATTGACCGGAATGTACCGAGATTTCGCGCCTCCTGTTAAAAAAAAAGAGATGTTCACACTAATTACTATAGTATATTTAACACTATTGCCTGTTATAAATAGAATAGCCAGGATAAGAATAGCTTTCCATATATAATATAAAACTATTGTAAAATTCAGTCCAGTATTTATAAATCTATCCGTTCGAATAAGATAAATCAAATCCTTTCTCTTCATGCTTATTTTATGAGTATATTATAAATCATTGAATTACATCGTTACGTCAGAAAAAGACCGTGGTGCTATTCATGAATATACGCCACCATTGCAAATTTCCACATTGTGGCGCCAGTTTGTTTACTATTACGTCATATACACATATTTATACAACAATTTATTTCTATCATACTAAGCTATCTTTACAGTTTCCCAATACACTTTGTAAAATTACATATACACTTATATTTACACAATAATTAAAATGAAAACAATTTTAAGTTTATATAATACTTAAATAATCTACTGCTATCCTATGAAAATCCAGCAAATTACATGTAGGTCTACAAATACGTCTAGGTCTGGAAATCGACTAACTACACCGTTAAGTAGACTCATAACAAGAGAAATAGGAGCCTGTTTGGTCAGCTCTACTCTTCTCCATCTCCAACAACTGTAATCACCTAGCTTGTACGTAATTATCATAACTAAGATCATACTTAGGAAGAAATATACTTATATGACAGAGATATATATTGTCACTATGCCACGAGTAAAAGTAACCTTAGGTCCAAACCCACAGCTGGGAACTTTGGAACAAACAGATGAATGTCCAGACGTTACGGCCGATTTTGGTTTTTCATCTTCGAAAGTGAATCTCGATTTTACTAAATCATACACCTGCAGAATACAAACGTGTCTGGTTAGTCGAAGCTAGAAGACAAGCGCTTGCTTACCAATTGAATTCATCTTGTATATATATACCGATAGTCTTTGTAAAATGTCGTCTGCGTGGATACCCCAATCTCAATCTCACCTATGTCACCCGTTAAGCAATTTGGTTTATAAACTGTATTCCGATTGAAAGATAATAAGAGAAGACAGTAAAATTACAGAACATGGAGGCATAAAATCTAAGTGCTCCGGAATGTCAACGCATAAGTGGTAGATATCATGACAATATCCGTGGTGCTGTTCATGAATACAGCTTACATTTAGGGCCTTTAGGTTTTTTGCCACTCCAGTACATATAAGTAAAATAGTATACATACATAAAAGTCTAATAACTTGCGTCTTAACTTAATTTTTAAGAATGAAATAAAAAACAACACGTTATAAATTTTAGAATTTGACATGTTGAAATTATTTCGGAAGGTCGGATGATATATCCAACTGCTTCTAGCTATGACTTATGCATATATATAAAATAAATACACCATTTCAATAATTAAAAGAATTTCTCAATCGGTGCAATGGTTCCGGAATTTAATTTCCTCATAACAAACACTTTCTCTCTTTCTATTTCATTATAATTATTACAATATCTTCAAATTTCTAAAATAATGATTACGTTTGCACGCGTTATTGTTTGTACCTTTGGCCCGTAATTTTGTTCGTTGTTTTATTTTACTTACCGTACCCACATCTTGTTCATTAATATCTCTCAATAGTTCATCAAACGTCTCCTGGTAGAGAGCTCCCATCCATGGTTGTGTGAAAAAACTGTACAAATCGACGATTTCGCCGAGCTACAAGAACAATGTATAACTTATTTATTTTCGATAAATTTACAAGGTGTACAAAAAATAATAATAATTCAAATAATAACAATAATGAGCGAAAAAATCTTTGTAATTTTTTACCTATGTTTATAGAATAGAATAGAAAACTTCAACAAACAATAAAACTCATAATAATTAAAAGAAGTGTATATACACTTCACATAAATGCTAATCTATTATATTTATACTTATTTATTTATACATTTAATATAATCGATGCACATACATATATATGTGTATCGACTACCTGTGGGTAAATAATATCATCATAGTAAATATCCTTAATTATAAAGAAAATCATGAAATTACCTCAAACCTGGCGAGCAATTTGTTGAAGAAAGACTCGTGCTTCCCATACAATTGCGAGAGTATTTCGCTCGAGAAGCTCTTTTTAGAGAGACACGTTATAGCTTCCACGCGATGTAAAGCATTGAGCTGCAGGCGAAAGTAATTCCCTTCCACGTCAGTGATAAGAGTGTGGCCCTGGGAGTAATATTTTTTATGTATGTCACTTGGAAAACAAGTTGAAACTAAAGCCACCGATGGAATTTACACCTTAGGCCTGAATTGGAACATATATCAAATACTAGGGGTATTGTATGATGACATATGTCAAAGATGCTGTTCATGTATAAGCAATGGTCCCTCTCCAGTGGGTAAGTATGTTTACCTTTCCAGTAACTTAAAATAGAAAAAAATATGACGAATTGTCATTCGTTTTATTATCTGTATCTTAACAAAATGTATCTAACGCGCCAAATTCAGTGGTTCTAATGTAATTTTGCATCATAACCATTTCTCTTTTAAAACATATAAATTACAATTAACGACCTTGGTGGTCTAGGTTTAGCACACCGCCTTACTTTTAATGGTCGCGAGTTCGATTCCTCGCACGATGCATACATGTTGCATATATTTATGAGTATGGTTGTTTATGTCTGGCTGGGAGTTTTCTATCTACACTATGTGTTTACAAAAAATGTTTGTATATTAGTTGTTTACTACCCATAATACAAGCTGTACTTGGCATGAGGCTAGATGACGCTATGTAAATTGTCCAGGGTTATAATTAATGTAAGCCTTAATAATGAATATGAATAATAATCTCAAATTATCCTGCTACTCATTCATACCTGGCGTGACAGGGATAATTGCACTTCCATGGGTAATTCAGGTCCCGGTTTCCTGATCTTCAAATAATACAACTGTCCAAGCACCGTGGCACACTGCACTATGGGTGACTCGAATTTCATTACTGGTTGCCATCTAAGTATTATACATACATATATATATGTTTTAATCGATGATAATGGAATGAATCTCTTTCTCTCTTTTGCCATAGGAGGAAATTTTCCCAAAGGGGAAAGGGAGATAGAAATAAAGTTGCAATTAACCTTCTTTGTGATCCCAATGATATTCGCGTTATGCTCGATTTATCAATGCTTGCATGTGATCCTTTATACCTGCAATAGACCATCAATCAACTGTATCGGTTAAAATTAATAATACATAAAATATAAAGCCGGTGCCACACGAAAATACGTCAAAATTGTATTAAATATATGCCACCAATGTTTGAGCAACTTTTGCATATTAGTGTTCTGAGTCAGTATTGGAGCATACGTTCAAAGTTAAAATTAAAACAGTTGCTCAATTCTATTTAATCGCTTTATTTGTAACTGAATTTTGTAATACAAGCTGCCAGCCCATCTAAAGGAAAATACGATCCATTTGTTGGTTTGGTCATCTTAAGGAGTAAAAATGATATGCCGCTATACCCTGTAAATTCACAAACATGTATGGCATATGAATACATGTTTGTGAATTTCATTAAAAAACACGGCTTATGAAGTAAGCTAGTTTGGCAACAAACATACGTGGAGGTATCCACAAAAAAGATATTGTGTAACTTCAACCTCATTAAAATTGCCTTCGACAACATTTGTTAATCAAAGGTTTGTCAAATGAAATTATTTCTATTGCCAGCATATTGTATAATATATAGTTCTTACGCAAGTAAACTTGAACTGTATCTGGGTAATAATTCTGAGGCAGTCCGGTCCACTTGCGGATTGCCGATTACAAATGGGTCTAACTTCCGCAGGAAGAACATTGCCAGCTATAAAAACGTTTTTATTTTATTAATATCTCATTAAATAAAGAAATTAAACAATAGATTCAATAACTTAATTTCAAGTTATTATTAATTATTTAATAACTATTAATAAATTAAACAATAGACAAAACATATTTTTAATTTGAGATTTTATTTTCCATAGACACGTTTGAGATTTATAAATTAATCAGTATGTGTTTGTATAATTATGTCTATGCTCTATAATCAGATGTCCTCCATTTTGCAATATTAATTAATTATTACAAAAACGGCGCTAAAGTACTCATGATTGAAGACACATTCCCGAGTTGGCGACGCGTGCAGTTATTCTCGTTTATTTATATTCACATTACTTCCTGTATAAGGACGATTACCGCGTGAAAGATCGTATAACATTAGACGTACGTCTACGGGTTATCGTCCGGTGAAACTGTAAAGGCCAGCTGCTGCCAACAGCATAAGAGTAGTCTGAAAAAAAAAGGACGTACGGCCTCCCCGACATCTTCCGAGCAGTAGTGCACGTGATTGAGACCCGCGGCGTGCAGGCGGCGCGAGTAGCACGTGGCGGGGCCGGCGGCGCGCACGTGCGCGTCGATAGTGTCCATCGCCGCGCCCACCACCACCCCGCCCTCGTACACCAGCCCGCACGCGTTGATTGCTACACACACAAACTTGAATCGAACAGACGACCATCGCAACTAAGTCTACTAAACCGCTAGACCACCGATGCAATCCTCCTGCCTCCCTACCGTCCACCCGTTCCGTCCTTACCACGCTATCACACACACACACGACACCGTTCTCACCGGCGAATACGACGACCTCAATCTCACTCTACAATGCTCTACGCTGACGCTGACTAGCGATCTCCCCCTCCGATCGAGCCTGTTCCTGTTTCATTTCCCTTTTTGCCACATGATGGACTCGGCACCATCGGCAAAATCCATGGAATGCTCAGAAATTCGTCTCTCTTATGTACTTAATGTGTAACTTCAAGAAGTGTAATAGTATAAAAATATATATTTAATTTCCTATAAATTGTTTAGTATCCTTAGTAAATATATACTAAATATTCATAATAAACAACCTTTAAATGCATTCACATCAATAGCCTTGATACCGTAGTAGAATAGAGCGAAACAAGGCAGCTTTATAGCGTGAAGTGGGGACATGAGATTCAAACTCACTACCCGTGAGTCACGCTGCCGCCAACTGGATAGCGTGCACCGGCGGAACACTCGGACACCAAGTTGGTCCAAGTTAGCTTGTACTCTCTGATCTACCTAAAAATTATATTTTTTATATGGATAGAAATGATCTTTACACAAATAAACTTCATTAATATAAGCACTTTTGAGTGGTCATATTTTCTTGATTCTCCCTCTCATTAGAAACGCAGACTCATCACAAGAAACTTACGTGTTGCTCTTTTAAATAAATTAACAAGGAGGGGCATGCGACAATCAACGTAGAAAATACAACACACTCATTTTTTGTGCAAATGGATAATAGTGTTAGCCTATAAGTGTCGCCTGATTACGTCGGAAACCTGGCACTGCAACTTTCTGTTCCTGGTCGAAGAGGCAGAGCAGACCAAGGAAGGGATGGGAAGATGTTGTTGCTAGGGACATGATAGCGTGTGAGGTCTCTGAAGACGATGTCCGGGACAAGATTAAGTGGCGGACAAAAATAAGGAAAGCTGACCCCACCACCATGTGGGATATATAGCCAGGAAGAGAGAGAGAGAGAGAGAGGGTAATAGTGTCAGCACTATGAATTTTAAGTTTCATCTACAAAAACATTATTAACATATAAAACTATGTTTATGTCTGCATTCTTACACTTTGGTTGCCGAACAATCAACATTAGATTAATAAAGAGGGCCATAACGTCTTCAGTAACGGTCATTAGTTTACCGCTTATTTATTTCTGAATATTTGAGGTCCAACAAATAATAATAATCATTACATTACAAAAAACTAAGTCGCTGTCGCTGTCTGTCCGTCCCGATGTATGCTTAAGTCTTTAAAACTACGCAACGGATTTTGAAACAGTTTTTTTAATAGATAGAGTGATTCAAGAGGAAGGTTTATATATATAATAATTGCAACACAATGTACATGTGCAAAATAACACATAATTCTATAAAATATACATAAAAAAGGTTAATACTACAGAAGAATATAAAACTTACAGTTTCATTGTTGAAACAGTTGACTCGCATCACGCTGTTGTCTTCGGAAGGGAAGGGTTCCACAAAAGCTATCATGCTGGCCGCTAAGCCCAACTCTAGTAAAGCCGCTATACAACTGTACACTTCTAAACACTCTCCGTACACTACCACTTGGTTATTTTCGCTTAGACACAGATCTGTGTCCTCTGAAACGAACAAAATCGAAGAAAATTGTAAAAAATATGCAAATATACCCAATAAAATGTAGGCATGCTAAATGTTACATTCACCACGACGCCAGTTGAAAATGGGTCTGACTATACCATGTGAGATTAGATGTCGTGAAGGTATAGTAATTTACTTATATGAGTATGAAATTTAACACAGGTAAAAGTTTATGTCGAGAAGGAAAACTAATGTTTTTATATATAGTGCTCAAGAATAAATTCTATTACAAATAATATATTTAACACACATATATATATATACACACATACACACACACACTATCTCACTAATATTATAAATGCAAAAGTTTGTGAGTATGGATGGATGTTTGTTATACTTTTTGACGCAAAAACTACTGGACGGATTTTGATGAAATTTTACAGTAATGTATGTTATACATAAGCTATAATTTAAAAAGATATTATGTAAATTACGCGAAATATAATGATAAATGTAAAGGTCAACTAGTATAATACTCACTAGATTCGGAGATCAAACGCATTAACTTTCGCATTGACATATTGGCTTCGAACAGGGAATTGATAAGCATCAAGTTTTCTAGCATGTCAGGTGGTGGGGGCACTCTGTCGGGATGGTATTTCGGGTCGTCCATTAGAATTCGATCACAGGGCTTGCCTTCCCTGACAGAGTAAGTAACAGTATTGTCACAAATTAAAATAAGAGTTAATCTAGTATATTGCTGTATTTTCCTAATGGTTTTCACTTATGTTAAAACAACAATATAGTATCTGAAAAAAGTATTAGTAACGATAATTTATTAAAATGTACAAAATTTGAACAAGAATGAAGAAATATGAAAGAAATGGTTTAGTATCTCACTCCAACCAACCACATCACACGCATACATATCACCCTTATGTGAACAATAACTGCAATATTAATTTAAAATTTACAAATTCTATTAACTTGCATGCATCGAAATAGGTGACATTTAAATTTACATCACCAATAGCCGCAAAGTTTTATATATCTAACTTATTTCTGCTCACATTATGAAGAGTATGAGTAAAGCAAAACTAACTCGACTTCTTGAACAAGTTCTAAAGATTCCTTCAAATAATCAGGATGCTGGAACTGTTGTCCGCAGGTCAGCACGAGTTCATCATAATATTTGACGCCACCACCTTTCAAGTGGATACACTTCTTCTGTCTATAAAATATACAATATGGTATAGTATAGTATAGTTTTTTGTTTCGGACTCCTCTAATGCTGTTGGCCCGCAGCTGGACTTTACAGCTTCACCGGACGATAGAGGGCGAGTGCAGATGGTACTCCAAACCCGCGGAACGACTTATGGAGTAGCTGAAGGGCAACTCCCGCCTGACGCATACGACTTCAGTCTGATGGCACCGCTAGGGGTTCGAACCTCGGCTCAGGACATCGTAATTTCGATCCCCGATTCAATTGGACGGGGGATCGACGGAGGGGACCAGTATAGTATAAGTAAACAGTAGAAACTTGTATTTTTGTACCAGTTCCCTCCTCTTACAATTCACAATGTTTGGAATTACAATTTATAAAAAGACAATTAAATAAGGTAATAACACAAGCTTATCATTATTTACTTGCAAAGTGTGTGTGTGTGTGCGTGTGTGTGTGTGTGTGTGTGCGTATGTGTGTGTTGTGTGTGTGAGAGAGAGAGGATAAGAGAAGAAGAAGGAGAGATAAATATTAATACCAATATTAATACGAGGACACTAGTGTTCCACAGTTTTCATATTCAAGTGGTTTTAGCCATTTCAAAATAATCTTTTTTATATCATGATTAGATTTATCCTTTAATTTATCATTATCCTTGCCAGCAATTGTATAACCACAGATAACATAATATTACATACAGATACCCCATCCCATACAAGAAAATGGTTCCTTCCTTATTCTTCGGGCTATTTTATTTCGCCAATGTCGCTAGATCTGAAGCAGTTCGATTACTAGTGGGTGCTTAGTAACAAAGCATGGCAGTCAATTCAGTCTACATGACATCTGTTTTCTGTATATAAAGATATGTAGGTACTTATCGTGTACCTCATTAGGGACGATGTAAAATTTATCGTTAAGATATGGCTTATGTGCCAATGTATATACCTATTATGTTATGGTTTATTTTACATTCCATGCCTATTTTTTTGATATGTTGTAAATACGTATTTGAACAATAATGTATTCTACGATGTACCTCTTTTAAGAGAATTCCGCTATATCTTATATATAAATTTTGTATCACAGTGTTAGTTGCCATATTTCTCCCACATTTTGATGAAATTTGATATGTATACTTGCCAGGTCTAGTTATCTATTTTTTATACCCCTAAGTCATAGGGGTGGCCTACCCCGAAAAATATTTTTTTGTATTATGGACAATTTTTTATTTATTTATAATGTTACATTGAAAATACATACACGCCTAAATTTTCACCCGTCTTTCACCAACCCCTATTTTTAATAGAGATATTCTTACAATTATAAATGCTAAAGTAACTCAGTCTGTCTGTTTGTCTCGCTTTCACGCCAAAACTACTGAACTGATTTAATTGAAATTTGGTAGACAGATAATGTAGACCCTGAGAATGGCTACTTTTTAATGCGAAAAATTATTGTAAGGGGAAATGAAAGGCTTTATGATGATATCGTAATTTTTAAAGTCAGATCTTGTAAGATTAATGAACAGGGTCGGTCTAGGTTTTTCATTATTAGAAATGTGTACCGGGGTAACACGTTATTTAGTGCGAAATTGTGTATATTACAATAAAATTTAACGAGAAAATATTATAACATGTCACTGGGACACTCATTGCCTTACTACTATATCACACCGCGCATGAGTAGATGTAGACGAGTCTCACGGCGCCGCAGCAGTATACTATACATACGTAGTATACATATGGGTGTTACAAATGTTTTTATTACGAGTAATATTACTCTGTTATCTAACAAGTAATGTGTGCTTATTTTGAACTTGATAACATTCTGAATTACTCGTATATCTTTCAATATCTTTAGCGGTATAAACCAGGTTATGTACTACTACTAGTATTGTTAGTGAGGGATAAAGTTGATGAACATATTTTTGAAATGTGTGAAATGTATGTACCTACATTAAAATATAATTTTTGAAATGTGTGAGATGTATGAAAGAAATGTATGTACCTACATAAAAAAGTTCATTTTTGAAATGTATGAAATGTATGAAAGAAATGTATGTACCTACATTAGAAGATAATTTTTATGTACCTACATTAAAATATAATTTTTGAAATGTATGAGATGTATGAAAAAAATGTATGTACCTACATAAAAAGTTCATTTTTGAAATGTATGAAATGTATGAAAGAAATGTATGTACCTACATTAAAAGATAATTTTTGACATGTATGAAATGTATGAAAGAAATGTATGTACCTCATGTATGAAATGTATGTACCTACATTAAAATATAATTTTCGAAATGTATGAAAGTAATGTATGTACCTACATTAACAGATAATTTTTGAAATGTATGAATTTTTATAAATGCATGAGATGTATGAAAGAAATGTATGTACCTACATAAAAAGTTCATTTTTGAAATGTATGAAAGAAATGTATGTACCTACATTAAAAGACAATTTTGACATGTATGAAATGTATGTATGTACCTACATTAAAATATAATTTTTTAAATGTATGAGATGTATGAAAGAAATGTATGTACCTACATAAAAAGTTCATTTTTGAAATGTATGAAAGAAATGTATGTACCTACATTAAAATATAATTTTTGAAATGTATGCACCGTACAATAACAATAAAGAGTCATACGCAAGTTAAAAACAAACTGCTATGATATTAATGAGAAAGGAAAATCAACTTTATGGTATTCGAGTTAGGGTCGATTTCTCTCTTTTTTTTAAATACTATTTTAATCTTACCAGTTGCCAGTATTCGAAGACAGCTACGATTCGTACTCGATATTTTAAATTATTATATAATCGATTTTTCAGTACAAATGTAAATAACCAACGACACTAATAATGTACTACTATATTCCGTTCTTTGAAACGGAACACTGCTATAATACAAAATAATGAAAATTTACTGTTCACAACGACTCATTAAAAGCATCATCGAATAATGCGCTGTAATAAAATCCTGTTATCGATTATTCAAAAAAATCGATAATACATGTATTTATTTTTAATATGACAACACTTCATACATAAGTATTATTGGAAATAGTATTACTTGCTTGTACGGCTATTTTTAATTTACTTAAAAATTTTTTATATGTTTAATTTACAATAATAATATATTAAGTGCTTATTATTGGAAAATATAAAAAAGACATTTAATTAGGCCGATACAAATGACGACAATGCCATCTATGAAAGCATTTTGAAAACATTGAGCCCCATATTAGCACTGATTAAAGTATAATTAAGTACTGGAAAATAACAAAATGAGTAAATATATGAAAATTACTTTTCTAAACGCATTATTTCATTTTAACATGTATATATAACTTTTTAAAAATTGATTAAACATTTTTGAAAACACAGTTTTGATTTTTAAAACGTTTGCAAAACTATGAAGAATTCCATCGATACCAATCACGCCATCTATATGCAACTTTTAGCAATAATAATGGCTACTTCCTCATTGAGTGCCACTGATATAACCGAGGTGCTATATAATTAAATTGCTTCTTTGCAAATGTTGTTTTCACAAATGGAATTGGATATTTAAATTTTCTAATAATGCGTTTTGGTTCACATGTTATTGCTGGCACAGTTACACGATGATATCGTCTTAAACACTGATATATGAACATTTTACGCACTGACAAAACATCAGCATGTTCGTATACCAGCGTTGTAGGATGTCTATATGGTAGTGAAAACATAACTTTAATCACTGGTTCAATTAAATATGATTTTGAGGCACATCCCCACGTACAGATGCAGTAATTAATAATACATTGACATAACGCCTTGAAAGTTTGCAGAATCAGATCCTTGTTAGCCACTTCCCTTAGATTTCTAAATATTATTATAAGTTTTCTAATTTGTTTTGCAGTGTACGAGCTGTGAGGATTCCAATTTAATTTGTTATCCATTAATACTCCGAGGTACTTAATTTTATCAACATATTCCAATTCGGTGCATTTACATTGTGTTGGTAAATGTTTTTCTTTATTACAAGGATACGTGTGACTGAAATCGGGGGTGGGTCTAGATGCTTTTGTTTTAGTAAAACAGATGTATTTGGATTTTTCAATATTTAGTGTCAGAAGACTATTATCTAACCAATGCGTAACCCTACAAAGAGCTTCTTCTGCTTTGTTTTTACAACTTATCCAATTTTGCGCATGAAATAGAAGAACAGTGTCGTCCGCAAACATAAAAAAATCCATCGCGAATTCATCATACATAAATCATTTACATACACTAAAAACAGGGTAGGACCTAGTGTACTTCCCTGTGGGACTCCATATAAACAATTAGCATAATCACTTAGATGTCCTTCAACACGAAGCCTTTGTTTCCGATTCGAAAGATAACTTTTAAACCATTCTAACGAAAGGCCCCTGATTCCAAAGTTTTGTAACCTAGTTAGAAGGACCGGTATACACACTGTATCAAATGTTTTTTTGTAAATCAAGGAACACACCCAAACTATGGTTTCCTGAGTCAAGATAAGAAGATATTTTGTTTGTAAGATTAAGCATTGCATCTTCGGTAGATCTTTTTTTCCGGAACCCATATTGATTTGATGCCAATAAGTTATTTTTTTCTAAGTAATTAATCAGTCGTCCGTTAACAATTTTTTCAGGAGATTGGTCTATAATTTGCTGGTATCAATTTATTTCCTAATTTATGAATAGGACATACAATAGCTTGTTTCAAATTATTTGGAAAGACCCCCGTTTCAAAACTCAGGTTGCATAAAAAGGCTATTGGTGATGCTACTTCGTGTTTCAGAATTTTTAAGAGCTTGGTTGAAACGAGATCCCACCCAGGAGCAGCATTTGTTTTTAAACTGGTTATTATTCTCTCAACTTCTCCTGGATCAGTTAGAAATAGTGACATAGTTTTTAGTGGACCAGCTGTTGACGCTTCACTAGCCAATTGAGTTGCTGTTTTACCAATTTTATTTAATATATCATTAGCTAATTTACTGCCTATTGTAGTAAAGAAATCATTTGCGACATTAAGAGAGTCCTTGGAAGTTTCTTTGATTTTTAACAACTCAGATGATGTTACTTTAGCCTGACTTATGTTACATATCTCCTTAATTGTATTCCATGTCATTTTTGAATTACCTAAACCAGATTTTAACTTCTCTTGAATAGTGTCTGTTGTGATGTACCATATTGTACTGTGTTAGAATTTATTATCATTTCTGAATTATTCAGAATATTATATTTTTATTTTGTATGTAACTACGAACAATTTGACGGTCTACATGATGGTGGTGAACAGCATCAGGGACTATACGCTATCATATGAAGTCCATGGTACCATTCATGCAATATCGTTCCGAATCCGTACTATAAAATTTTAGTAGGATAACTACGCTTCAACTGAACTGCAGTATATAGGTTTACCTATAAATATTGTGTAATATATACTGTAATTGAACCTATATGTGTGTACCTACTAAGTATACAAATATAGTTTCTTACAAATAACATTCTTATTTTATAAACTCTTAGCTTGCCGTGATACATAAGACAGATGTAGCCAAGCAGATGACTTTGTACAAAGTCGACATCAGTAGATAATATTACATGTTTTGTAAACATATCGTCGACTCTTATACCTACTCAAATTTTATTAAAAATATCTATATTCTCAATATCTTACCTATCTATCTGGACCATAACGGCAGATATAACGTCTACATAGAAATAAAACGGTATGCTCTTCAGATATCGGTCTGAATAGCGTCCTTCCTGTGGCACACAGATGTCGGCCGCCTTCAGACACTCCACCACTGTTGGGAGACCATGCTCTGATACTAGAGTGATGTTGCTGAATGTAAGGTACTGCGCTGTGGGCCTACAAATTAAATATGTAGTCTTTATTGCACTAAGACAATACAGTAATAAATATTTAGAGATAATAGATAGATAAAACATTACATTGTACAACGTACATTTTTTATATACGACAAAACACACAAAATAGATAACAGAAACTGCCTCAGCTGTTGCTGATATAAGCTGTTCTGGTAGTACCGAAAGTATAAAAGATTCTGATACAACCAATAGAGAGAGAGAGAGGGAGGATCATCCTCCACTGGTGTCCCTCCAGCGTATACTGTTCTTGCTGGCGAGTGTACCATAAAAATGTATTAGTATACATCTATATGTGAAATTAAATTTATTTTCCCCATGATCACACCACAACTTGAAAAAATCTTAACTTAATTATCTCATTTTTTATAGTTTTCCAATATTTTCTAGAAAGAGTTTACGCAACGTAATTTTAAGAAAATTTATCCGTGATACCACCCATTGTTGCCATTCCAGGGAACTAAGATGTCAAGCCTCTTATACTATATTTCACTGCCTAATCTGTTCCTTATAACTGAAACAGCTTACAAAGCAAGCTGCTTGGCGGCTGAAATAAGTTAGACTGATGTACTTTATGACTTTTTACATTCTATACCTAATATAGATAGTATTATATATAGATAATAAATTAGTATAGATGTCACATACCCCGTAATAAGTGTCTCTAGAAAGGCGAGCCCGGTTCGGCTGGCACCTACGACTACGATACTGGTGTTCACGTATACTTTAGGCAAACTGGTCAACGGCCGCTCAATTACCCATAACGCGAACGGTATTGACCTAAACAATAAAAATAGAAATATTTTTCTGTACATATAGTAAAAACGTAACTATTCGCTTACTGTACATCATCCCTCCGATCGATCCTCTACAAAATTCAAACGGAGATCAAAATTACAACGGCCTGATCCGAGCTTTGAACCCTTAGCAGTGCTCTCACGTAAGTCGTATTCGTCAGGCGAGAGTTGGCCTTCAGCTGCTCTATAAGTCCTTCCACGGGTTTGGAGTGCCATCTGCACTCGCCCTCTAATCTCATTGGGTAAAGCTGTAAAAGCCAGCTGAAGTCAACAGCATTAGAATAATTCGAAAAGAATACTGTCATGAAAGACATATGGGAAAAACTAATATATACTATCAATTTTATCAGTGTCATAGAAACAAAACAATATTTATTAGAATTTTTGTATAATCTCAGAAACGGGTTGACAAATTTGGGTGCGGTTTCGCATTAATGCATTATGATATGCTTCACTTAAATGCAAGATGCTTGACGTCACAGATTGACTTGACTTGAACAGATGAGAGCAAAAGTTCTTGCGACAACTTTGTTTAAAGTCTACCTAGGTTACTTACACATCCTGGAAAATTTTATCCAAGTCCTTATTCCCACTGATGTTCGGCACAGAGCGGCGAGGGTGTACCGGCACCATATGGCCAGTTAGTGACATTAGGTTTCGACTTGGACACTGAAACCAATATTTTTAAGGTAATTACAATGTCAAACAAGCTAATGGCCCACCTGATGGTAAACGGTTACCGTTGCTTATATGTAACAACCGTGATATCATGGGTTGCCCACTGCACTCTACAAGCAAGACACAGTTTACAAAACAAGCTGCTTGGCGGCTGAAATAGATGAGACTGAGGTCCACGCAGACGACAGTGGAGTATAATAGGAATCTCACTTAACCCATCATGGCGAATTCACCAGGTATTAACTGGGCGACATGTCGTGGCCAGTGAGTGGTCCGCGCAAAGCATACGCCTGGGTCGACTTCGAAGACACATATTTGACAGGAAGATTTTAACGCGGGCTTAATAGGTGACGCTACAATATATATCTAAGTGAATTCTTGAACATATTGAAAACACTAAGACCAGGAGTGGACCCTAGATGGCGCTGCTTTTCCGTAAAAGCTGCTGGGTTAGTTAGTATAAGAAGCTGAATTTAAAGTAACTCACTGACCTGATTGGGGTCGCTCTATGATTATTTATGAAAGTGTTACACTTACCATGTCTCCTCTTCCAAATAGTCGGCAGATCCAGAAGAGAGAGGAGTATTGTGACTGTCGGAGCAGGTCGCGCATGTACCAGCGGCCGTGTGGCTCTAGAGTAGGTGACATCACACCAGCTAACACCTTTATGAAAAAAGAAGAAATAATAAAAGTGTGAGGTAACCAGGAATTACAGAATAAGAAACGTGTATATAGGAAGAAGTTTGAAAGTTGCATGTAACTGATTGACTTAGTACCTATGTTATGCAAAAAAGCGAGGACCATGTCTTAAAGAAAGTGGTTAACATAAACGTGGATGGATGGAAAAGAAGAGGACAACCAAAAACAAGACTGATGGATTGTGTGAAAGATGATATGTATAAAAGAGAGTAAGCTCATGCTGCTGATAAGACTACAAGTAACGGAATAAAGGCAAGGCAATAAATAATGAATCATCATTACGAAATATTTGTTTTTGGAATTATTCTAATACTATTGTTAGTCATTGTTTTGGTTTCTATTCACGTTGACAAAATATCGCAATAATAAGTTTCACATATATATTTCATGTATTTATTAACTATTTTACATTATTTTATTCTTATTTTACTACATTTTTTAAACTATTTTAATGTTGTCTCATCACAAGAAGAACGAGCTGAAACTTGCGTTTACAATTCAGTCGAAACGTGTGTAAACGCCAGCCGATAGGGGAATATTATTTCATGAATACGTATGTATATTATATATATTATATACAATATGGTTATATTGCACGAGGAATGGAACCAAGGACCGTCAGATGTAAGGCAATTAAAATAGATTTAAATAAGTATAATTAAACTCATAAAATTACAGTCGCATCCGTCCCAGGTCGACGCGGCTCTGCCTCCAAGTCATATTGCGTACGAACCGCCGTTCCATCCTCCAGTGGCCTATAAAAATGTTTAAACATTAACAAATATACTAATGCCGGTCAGTTTTTCAAGTGGTAGAATTTCATATGATTATCCTATAACTAAATTAATGACAATATTGGAGTCGTATCGTATGGACACTAAAAACGAATTATGAACAATCGTGGAAAATGGCAAGCAATCACGGGTTCTAGGTACGTGTCTGGGTTGCCCAGGCCTTCTTCCGCCCCTATGGTGAACTGACAGCGATCCCATGACTCCGGCATATGGCATAGGATGAGAGACATCTTGAAGCTTTTAGTGAGTAGGGATCTCAAAGTACTCGCTTGCCTCCTGAGATGCTGGTGGATCTCCAAGTAAATATAAAAAAGAGTAAAAAAAGGGTGTTAAAAGTAATGGCCATTATGTTAGCAGATACCCTAGTATAACCATCCCAATCGGCTGATTCTGACTTAAAAGCACGTAGGAGCTAAGGGTACTAGAAGAGAAGGTGCTTTCGAAGAGTTCGAGCAGAGTTTGAGCTCGCGGTGTGTGCTCTAAGATATCACCAATGTATTGCATGTCACTTGCTTCACCGGGTCGTAAGCGGACATTCCTGAAAACATAGCCTACTGTTACACATGACTTCGCCTTCACAAACTTTCATTCCTTATTTCACCAGAGTTTTTTTAATTTATTATTTATTTATTTCAGGCTACTAGGCCCATATTATAAATACCTTAATACATACGAGTTTACATTTTTTTGGGTTAACATGTAGCCTATGCCATACCTCGTGATATAATGTAAATATTGTACGTTCTGTCTAAATGAAATTTAAATGTTTATAATTACTTACCCTCTTACAGAGTTAACGTGGGCCACATACAGAGTCTCGTTTATAAACCTCATACGGGTGCTATGAGGTGTTACCAACTGAAAAATATTAATATCTTTTTTGGTAATTGGAATGGGAAATAAGCTTTCAGTCCATTGTAAGTGGCATAATATAGAATTGTCGTAAAAGTACATATGTAGTATGTATCTATTATAATAGTCTATAGTAGAGGAGTGAAAAAGATGTTTTGTTTCTCTATTTTTTTTTAAATTCATAACTTTTTAAATATGATAATTATTATGACTTAGCCTTATTAGGCTGTTCCGGCTTGACATCGACTTCTGGGTCAAGGTGTATACATTAAATATGAGTACCACGGAGACATCCCGCGTTATGTGACGGCAGTTGTACCTCTCAAGTGTTGTAATTCCGAACAACTAAGATATCAACTTGATCCCCAGACCTCCCTTCCGAAATCCTAATTATCCAAACTTTACTTCTTTACAATAAAAAAAATATTCTGACGGTTACCGTAAAGTGTTCGAGTAGAGGAAATGGCGGATGACTGGAAGGTAAACACATGATACAGTAGTCGCATTTTGGGAACAGCTCGAATGCGACTTCTAACATGTCAAAACCATACCTATACATAAGAAAACAATAATATTAAATAAATCTCTATTCTTGATTTTGTTCCCAAAAAACATAATTTGCAAAAAAAGTGGAAGACATTGCATAAATGACATGCAAAAATACAGTTCAATCCTAACATACTCGGAATATCTTAAATTCTACAATGGATTGGGTTACATGACGGTTTAAACACTTTAAACTATTATCATATATTTTTTAAATATACACAGCATTACGGATGCAGAAGGGTATAGGTTACTTCATCGGGTTAATTACGGGGACCAAAAGTTTTTCATGATGTACTGAGTAGACGTTAAGTCTCTATTCGATGTATATCTTTTTATAAGAGAGTACCTGCTGTTATTTGACGACAAAGTTAATTTTGTGATAATTGTGATTATAAGATTTTATTCACTTATAAAATTCCTACCTTTCATCATAATCGACATGCATAGCAAACAGTTCCAAGAGAAATGCATTAGACGTTCCCAAATAACGTACAGGGTCCGGAGCATACGTACTTACTGAAGCAACTGAAACAAGTTGATATTAATTTTGATTCAAGCATCACGTACACATATGGTAAGCTCTTATATGTTCTTTTATGTTATTAGAACGGCAAACGGCCAAACTGGTGGTCGATAGATAGATAAAATTTTATTTGCATTAAAGGGCCTTATCTATAGTATGTAAAAAAAACAGTAGCTACCTGTAACTCATACGTTAACATTGGGAAGACCAAGTCATGAAGTCAGACAACCTGTTGAAATTTCATAAATAAGAACTAAAACGATGACTATTTATGGATCATAAGGTATTTTTATCAAAACAAATTTTGAAATATTTGTGAGGTTCCTGTTCCTCAACCCACCCTTGAAACTGCAGCTGACGTTCACTACGCTTCATAATACAACTACCTTAACCATTTTAGAAGTTTTCGCCCCAGAGGAAATTGGTCACATTGACCATTGCTGACTCGTGGACTTACATGATAGACAATAGCATATGTAGTGTCATCGTCATGGCACTCGCGTGCTAATAGTCTTGAGAAACGTTAGTATCTCTCAAATAATTCCATGCTTTATACCAGATAAAAACCTTATTACATTATATATATATTTACTTTGCTTCTTGGATTTTTCTTTCTTGCTACTTTTGTCTTCGACCAGTGTTAACTCCTTATTGTGTTTTACGGTGTCATCTAATTTATTCATGATACTATCAGCCAGTCTGCACAAATAGAGATGATCAAAAATTATTGTTATTTTTTTTTTATATATTTTTATTGATGATACTTTTACTTAATTTGATTTAGAGTTGTAAAGTAATCATTGTAAAGTATTAAAAATATTTCACAACCACTTTTAATAATCTTTAAAGTTTTACTTGAATAGTATGTGTACCATTCCACAACGTCATTTCTATTACCTAAAAATAACTTAGTATCAATTCATATTTCTACTACATACTGATCAAGGAAACACCGATAAAATCGAGAAAGAGAGAGAAATTAATCCGAGAGACGGTGGTAATCTTACCTCTCTCTCTCTCCACATTGTATTCATAAATAGAGTATCCCCATACTGAATATCTAATAATTTGTTGCATTTTGTTTACGTTTATTAATTTGCACCGTCAAATGCATTCTCTGCACCACCTATGGTTGCCTGGTACAAAATGCCGCTTGGTGTTAAGTCCGCCAAATGTACTGTATTGTGTGCATTAAAGTTAAATAAATAAATATCAGCCGTAAATGTATATGCTTGTTGTTTTATTAATCCTTAATATTGAGGATAAAACGACTTTCCAATTTTATTATATGTATAGGCGGAAGCGGATTGAATAAAGGCTTTAATGTTGACTGATAAACCTATTACTAGCAATTGACGCTGAAGCAATGTGCCATCAGCGTCAGCTTGATCTCCATGCGATTTCCCCTGGAAACCGGTTAATTGTTTAATCACCATGGGCAAACTGACCTGACCTCATGCTCATCTTATCATCCTCCACTGGTTCCCCGCGAGCGTAAACCGTTAGTGCGGGCGGGTGCACCATTCCATTATCATACAAAAAACAATAAAAAAATCACAGTTCTTACTATCTCAACTCTTTCTGGGTATACCCTAAGGTTAGCAGGGAGAGAAAATCATAAAACGGCATTCGGATATGCTCGTTTATCCTATTGTCCATATTATTTTTTTAAGGAATTTGTATATAAAATATTAGGCTCCGTCCCTTTCCGATATTATCCGTAACTTTTATTTCGGATTCGGTTACGGTTATGGATATTTTTTTATATCGGATATCTGATAGTTTCGGTTACGGTTACGGAGCTGTTAGATGAGGATGTTAGGGAAACATCCCTGAGAATTACTATAATTTTTTATCACATTTTAAATTATTCTAATTAGAAACCAACCCTCCGTCTGTATTGTCATACGTAAGTATTTGAGGTACGCGTAGTAAATCGGTATCAATGTTAACAATATCAAATTCCAATTCTTCATCCTCGTCCTCCAAAAGATTTAATATATCGATGTGACCATTGAATGCAGGGGAAGTAGCATCCTTGTTAGTAGATTCAGGTACGTATTCAATATAAATCTGGTTAGATTCTACCTCATCAAAAACCAATGTCACCTTAAAATTGAAAAATATGAAAATAAAAAAATATTTTTGTTAAAAAGCTGTAAAATACGAAAATCAAAATATTATAGAAGCATTCAAAATGTGTAGTGGCTCCTTACATCCGAGCCACTGGATGGCATGCCATTTCTTATCTTACTAACTAATATTATAAATGCGAAAGTTTGTATGGATGGATGTATTTTTTGTTACTCTTTCACGGAAAAACTACTGAACGCGGATTCTGATGAAACTATTACTTTTACAAGCTCTTATGATCTACCATCAGTTTAGAGTGATTTCGAGATGAACTAACAAGAAACTCAACTAATTTTTTCAAATATGGTTGTAATGGTTTACAGTAATACAGATTCATTTTTAAATTCAAATTTGGGAGAATAGTGTGACCACCAACCACTCAATTATATTATAACGAGCAAGTTTCAAATCTCCACTACGTCATATACAGTATTTACAACATAGGCTTTAATAATAACCATTACGTACCCCAACAATTATTCTACAAGAAAAATTACTTACACCAGTCGTCGCCGTGGTATTCCTACTTCGGGTGTTGGTATCATTAGAGCCCGGCATTGAATCCGCCACATTGTAAACTGTAGTGGTTGTAAAACTAAACAGAAAATATATTTTTAATGAGAATAATGTAACTTTTTTAACATAAGTTGAAACTGAACAATAGAGGCACTTCGTAAAAGTTTCAGGTTCAAACAAAAAATCGATTTAAAAACATGAAAATATAATTAATCCTTATTCAAAAAATGTTAATATAAATGCTTATATTAAAATTATTTGAATAAAGAATACATAGTCTTAATACATAATTTTGAATAGTCATTTTTTTATTGATGAAGATTTCCTAATACTTTAAAGTTAGCTTGCGCGACGTTCATCGGTAAACTCTGCCATGTATGCAATTTTATATGCAAAAGAATGAATAAATAACTAAATAACGTTATAGTGGTAAGGAGATAAGTATCGCGCTAAAAAACCATACAGTATAGTCTGTGGTACAAATTTGCAGTTACCTGACAGTTGAGATATCCGCTTTCCTATTACGTTTGTGATAAGGATCGTTTACATGCCTCAAGCCAGCAAAAGGCGAAAGTTCAAAGCTCTCCTCTAGTGCCTCATAGTTGATCTGAGTGTTCAAACACATCACACCAACGGCTAGTTCTTTATCCTATAGGTCAAGTTAACTAGTCAATCCACAACATATTCCTTGTTTATATTAGCTTGGGACTAGATGGCGCGGTGTGAATTGTCCCGAGCTATTATTATTGTACTATATTATATTATTACTAATAACCGGCACCGGCTTCGAGTGCTTCCAAATCTGTGAATTTCTCAGTTTTTCTGTACTATAATATAGATTTATAATATTTTTTTTACAGTCTTGGTGGTTTAACGTAAACTGCTAGTACCGCTTTATTTCCAATGGTCGGCTCGGCGTACGGCAAACAATCATGCAAACATTTGTGTTTGTGAGTATGATTGTTTGTAATGGTATCAGTGTTTTCTATATATATTATACATGTAACACAAGCTGCTTAGCTTGGAGCTAGATGGTGCTGTGTACATTGTACATACATACAAACTCTTGAATCAATCTATCTATTGCTGAAATAACAATAAAATGCGTGGCATAGTTTAAATAAATTAAGTCTACAGACAGCGATGTCAACATTGTTTTATAACATATACATGTATTATATATATAAACCTTCCTCTTGAATCACTCTATCTATTAAAAAAAACGCTTCAAAATCCGTTGCGTGGTTATAAAGAATACATAGAGACGGACAGACAGCGACTTTGTTTTATACTATGTAATGATAAAGAATGATTACCTCACAAACAAGTAAAACCCTATCAGACTCGGGATGTCGTGCTATCAACTCGCTGACGTAGAACTCCCCGTAAGTCTGTCGTAAACGCTCTGAATGCCTCTCGATGATAGGTACTATATCATCATTATCTTCTTCTCTGTTGACACAAACATTATAATATCTGAGAGCGTCAAGACATAGTGGTTTACTAGCCCTACTTAAAGACAAAGTGTCATGTGAAATCTGGCCGGTATCAAAAACTGTGTCAGAATTTGTCTTTCTGACTGACTCTTCAAGGCAAAGCAACGCAGATATCAAATTAAAAATTAATCCGAGAGATGGCAGTAGGTACGGCCTCTGAAATGCCATAAATTGGATTAAAATATACCCAGCGAAATATGGACATGTCAAATTGTGTGTTCACCATGACTTCAACACGGCATTATCTCTGTCTATTTCATCTTTTGGTGTATACTTGGTCTTAGAATAGGGTGAGACAGGACGACTCCATAGAGAAATAAAACATCTTACTAATAACTAATATTATAAACGCGCGTATTATATAAAAAAATAATCGTACTAACACAGCTCTTCTTATGCGTAGCCGAGGACTGACCTCTTGTCTGTCAGCAATAAAAAGTATAGATAGCTGGTCACCCGGCACGCCCCGCTCTATTACTTGCACGCGACGAAACGACGCTTCTGACCGAGATTGTCCCGGTACTAGTACTGATCATTGAATCAAAGTGGCTTGAGTTCATGTAAGCGCCATATTTATAGGATAAAAATAATAAAATAAAAAAACAAAAAAGTAATACCAAAATCTCTAAACGTGGCACTGGGATTGCTCCTGGTTAGTAGTGTTCATTGAAGATAGAGAATGGCCGAGTAAGGAACAAAAGTGCATTGAAATCATATGCAAGTGCCATATTTGGTGATAAAAATAATATCACAATAAAAATAAAAAATGTGAATACAAAATCCCCAATTATGGCACAGGGATTGCCCCTGGTACTAGCACTGATCATTAAAAATAGAGAATGCCCATGTAAGGAATCAGAGTAGCTTAAGTTAGTTAAGTAACGTTCATAAGCGGCTACAATGTCCTAAATAAATAAATGATTTTTGAACTTTGAATTTGAATTTCGTATGCAGGTACCATTTTGGAGGACAAAAATAATAAAACGTTGTGGACTAGACTATAAGTAGAATTTCATATACGATAGAGAATAGTGAATTTGCCCAAAAATGTATAAATATTCCACAAAGGAGCACAACATTGTCGACTGTATATGGTACTGGACAAGAGTAACCTGACATTCAAGGTGATGTCGCAGCTGGAGTCGAGTTACAACGCGTGTTTCAAGGCGTTTATGGCTCGAGTCCTCACTAACACGGCTTTCATGAAGGACTACCGACGGAAGGAGATTGTATATGGGCGCTACAGTGGCAGATTGCCATCGTCAATGCCGTGACCCCAGAAACAATTTATATTTATATAATAATATTATTTTATACGTATGTTAGTCTACAAGTTATTCAAAATATGGATCATGTAACCTGAATTAAATAAATATAGTACAGAGAACATACTAACATAAATTATTTAAAATACACTTGACCATCCCGATGTGGTGAACGTATGGGTCATGCATGAAAATAGACTTGAGCAAATTATCGACCACATCACGGTTGTATATTGGATCCCAGCACAGAAGATGTAGGAACAAGGTGTTTCTTGCGTTCAACTCTATTGATCTGCAATTTGTGTAATTTGTCAATTATCGGGGCAGACTTTGTTCTAGTCATCTGCGTGGATATGTCTTACCTATTAAAAAATTATGAACTTTCCCTATAGATGTTAAGGTTGAAGGGTGAGACAACTGAAATACCAGGGAGGCATGAGTCACCCGGAACAGCAACGCATTTTGTACCAAAGCGTCACGTGACCGCGTAATGTTTATTTATTTATTTATGGTGCTCATGTATATTTACATATATTACTGCAGCCTCTGTGGTGTAGCAGTTTAGCACACCGTTTTACTATCGATATTTGTATCGATCTGGATGATTTCCATGCATATACAAAATTTATTGTAGTTGCCTCGTACCTATAAGACAAGCTGTGCTTATCTTGGGGCTAGATGGCGCTGTGTGAATTTTCCTGAGATATTATTATGATTCTTAACCAAAATAGTGACAACAGAATATTTGATTTGATTTAATATTTTTCTAATTTCATAATAACTTACAAGCAATGCGATTTTTATCCACAAAATCTTAACAATTTCTGGATAAAAATAGATGCTTGTTAGCCAAAATTCCGTACATACCTACATTATGTATGTATTAAATAACATAGTGTGTATGAATATGTACTTATACTTTGTCCAGATGTAATTTTCCCAATCTTTAGGGTGAACTGCAGGTATCAATGGATAATCCTTAGCGGCTAGAAATGCAACTATCGCCTCATTGATATCCAGTTGGCAGATGGATAGAACACAATTCTCACTAAAATCAGAATAATATGTAAACAAAAAAATAACTTTACAACACATTCTGTCATTATTTATATTGTTAATTGGGTTTAACAATAATAATTTTATGGCAAATAAAGGCGATAAAAGAGTTGACTTGATTGATGACTGAGCTACTGGTGCAATCAAGTAGACACGTCGAGAGAAGAATAATATAAATAATGTATATTAAACACGAAAGTTTAAAAATATAACTGTGTTATTTTTATAATTTCATGTTTAGTACACATTAGGTAATATAGTTGAAACGAGTACTATAGCAAACCTATATATAACCTAACCTATATCTCAATGTTTCATTATAGGCATTGCTCTAAAACTTGTAATATACAGGGTTAATCCTTACTTCCTTACTTCCTTACTATCCTTACTAATATTATAAATGCGAAAGTAACTCTGTCTGTCTGTCTGTCTGTCTGTCTCGCTTTCACGCCAAAACTACTGAACCGATTTAAATGAAATTTAGTACGCAGATAGTCTAGACGCCGAGGAAGGACATAGGCTACTTTTTAATGCGTAAAAAGGGTTGTAAGGGGTTCAAAATGGAAATACAAGGTTATCTTTATGCGGTTGAATACTTATTCGTCATCTTTTCATTTCACTAGCTAACAACCAATCAACACACCGCGTGCGTTTACGCCATTCGCCATCTTTTCATTTCACTAGCTAACAACCAATCAACACATCGCGTGCGTTTGCGCCAATAAGGTATCCATCACAGAGAACAAAACCACAGATAACATAATGTAAAACGAAAGATCTTGCCGGAAACATGACGTTGACGTTTAGCGAAAATATTGTTTTTTGACACTTTTTTATGATAAAATCGTATATAGTGTGTATGTTTTTTCTTTAAACCTGAAATTAGCCGATTGCGAGACAAATTTGGCGATTTTTTTTATTAATTTGTTTTACGGCTCTGGATACAAGTCCTGTTTAGCCCAACTTAAAGTTTTACAATATGAATTAAAAAAATTAAAGTCAATGTCAAATGTCAAATAATAATAAATGTCAAATGTTGTTTCTCTGTTCTGACGAACTTATTAAAAAAACTTAATAACAATCACAATTTCTTCACATTTTATTATTTACATTTTTTAAAGAATGTTGTGGTGTGGCACTATCCGAAATTAAATTATTTACCCATTTTTGTAGGTTATACAGAAATAAAGTGTGGGTGTTTATTTAAAAAGCATTAACACAAAATTAATAAAGTATAGGTATTAATAAATATATGGTTGTTGTATCAAAATAGAATTTTCTTATTTTTCACTAAAATAAAAACTAACTGTCTTTTTTATAAAATAAATGACCTTTTCATTGTGTCATATATTATGAAACTATTTAAATTATTTAGCTGATTGTAAGAAACAAAATGTTGATTTGTAGATTAATACTGTAAAATTACTATTTGTACGGAAACGATAAAAACATATTTTTGTGCTGCGACAAAAACTAATATTATAAATGCGAAAGTAACTCTGTCTGTCTGTTTCGCTTTCACGCCAAAACTACTGAACCGATTTGAATGAAATTTGGTATACAGATAGTCTAGACCCTGAGAACGGACATAGGCTACTTTTTAATGCGAAAAAAGGGTTGTAAGGGGTTAAAAGGGGGGATGAAAGATTGTATGGAAGAATCGTCATTTTTGAAGCTAGAACTTGAAACTTATTTTTGAGGCTGTGGATTAAATATAAATAAATATGACATTCAATGTTTGTAAAAAAATATTAGGGGGTAAAATAAAATAGGGAATTTAAGTTTTTATGTAAATTTGTCATTTTTTAATCTAGAGGCTTGAAACTTAGTTTTGAGGCTGTAGATTGAATATGATTAATATGACATGCATTGTTTGTAAAAAATTTAGCCTTAAGGGGGCAAAATAAAATAGGGGATGCAAGTTTTTATGTAAAATCGTCATTTTTGAAGCTAGAAGCTTGAAACTTATTTTTGAGGCTGTTGATTAAATATAAATAAATATGACATTCATTGTTTGTAAAAAAATACCCTTAAGGGGGTAAAATAAAATAGGGGATGCAAGTTTTTATGTAAAATCGTCATTTTTGAAGCTAGAAGCTTGAAACTTATTTTTCAGGCTGTTGATTAAATATAAATAAATATGACATTCATTGTTTGTAAAAGAAATACCCTTAAGGGGGTAAAATAAAATAGGGGATGATAGTTATTATGTAAATTCGTAATTTTTTAAACTAGAACGATGAAACTATTTTCATTGGTTCTTTTGGGGTAGATTTTTAAATACCCCACTAATGTTACAACTGTGAATGTAACTCTGTTTGTATTTCTGTCAGTCCTACGCTCCAAAACAAAACAAAAATTTAAATGATATTTGGTACACAGTTAGTTTACAACCTGACAAAGAATATAGGGTACTTTTGAATGTGAAAAAAGGATTGTAAGGGGGTTGCAATGGTCCGCTGTATGGAAGAATCGTCATATTTTAAAACTAGAAGTTTGAGACTCATTTTTAGGCTGTTGTTTAAATATCAATAAATATGACATTCAATGTTTCTAAAATTTTTACTCTCCGGGGGAGGGGGGGTAGTAAAATAAAATAGGGAATGAAAGTTATTGTGGAAATTTGCTGTCTGTGTGGTTGTGGAAGCTAGAACGTCTAACTTTTTTCTTTGTCTTTTTAGAGTTAGTTTATTAAATACCTTACTGATATTATAAATGTGAAAGTAACTATGTCTGTTTGTGTCGTTTACACGGCAAAAATACTGAACCGATTTAAATTGAAATTTGAAACAGACATAGATAGCCTAGATCCTGAGAAAGGACATAGGTTACTTTTTAATGTGAAAAAGGGTTACAAGAGGATAGAAAGAGTAGATCCAAGGTTATATAGATGTATCGTCATGTTTAAAGCTAGAAGCTTGAAATTTATTTTTTAGCCTATTGATTAAATTTTTTTTTTATCATTCATTAACCTAAAATGATGAAACTTATTTATTTGACTTATATTGTGTTAATTGAGTTAAATATTTTTTCATTCTTTACGCGGACGAAGTCGCGGGTACAGCTAGTCGTAAATAAAGCCGATAATATAACTAATATAAATTATGAAATTAGTTATACCTAGAAATTAAAAAATATATTATTTTAAACCTCCATACAAACTGCAGTTACGTGCTCAATTTAGCATGAAAGTTTAAAATGTATTTATAAAATTTCCACTTTATATCTCAGTAAATTTGGTTTAGTTTGGGTAGGTTATTCTGCCTAAGTTTAAGCTTGACATACTATTTACGACTAACCTGGTAGAGAAGTGCAGATGAAGTAAAATAATTTAAATTATTTGATATTAATCCTTTAATAAATTGATTAAAATTATCCCCAGCGACAGAAGAGAAGAAAAATTGCCATGGTGATCGCATACACGTGAACATATATTATTAATACTATAAACGCGGAAGTTTGTGAGTATGGCTGGATGTTTGACTCTTTCGCGCAAAAACTACTGAACGGATTTTGATGAAACTTTACAGTAAAAGCTATATTACTACATCGGAATAACATATAGGCTATAAAATGTAAGTAGGTGAAACCGCGTGCACAGCTAGTAACAATATGTAATAGTTCATTGACTCTATATACTAAAAAAAAAAGATTTCTCACATCAGATCGACAATGTTCGAAGTATCGTGAATACGGAAGTTTTCTGCCATCGATTGGTTGACCAGCTCCATAATAATAGGCGCATCATCCACGCGGGCCAAACGTAACCGACCTAGAGGTGGAGGACGGACTATGCGCGAAACCATGATTGCGTTAAGGATTTTGTAAACTTTACCAGCTACAAATGATAGCACTAGTAAATAAGGCGATCACAAGATCTATGAAGGTCGTAGTGTTACACAGGTTCTCTTCTCTTTACCACAGGAATCAACAAATACAGTAGTTAATCCGAAATCTTTGATATTGTTCCCTTCAGATTGTTTTAATTATTCTTTTCCGTAAACATCCATTGCTTTCGCGACAGCTATCAAAATGTCATTTATATTTTGCTTCCAGAATGTTGCTTTTTTAAAAAAGAAGATACATGGAAGCCATGGCATAGACATCACTTCCTTTCTGCATATAAATAATACTAATAATATTACATACTAATAGTCTAAAAGATGCAATATATTTAGAAAATGACAATGTTTACTGATGACTATATTTTAAAATACTATAGCAGCTATTCCAACTTCAATTAATAATATTTGTAGTTTTGATCTTACGAATATATTATAAACGGGGAAGTTTGTGAGTGGATGTATGGATGGTTATATGTTACTCTTCCACGCAAAAACTACTGAATGGATTCTAATGAAACTTATCAATAATATATCTTATACCTCAGAATAACACAAAGGCGCTATAAATTTCATTCGGATGAATCCTCAGGCACAGCCAGTATTCAATAAATTACACCACCTAAGGCAGGCCTCTAATTCCCGAAAATTAAAAACTTTTTAGAGGTCTATCAGAATATATAATTACAATTAAGGAAAAAATAAAAATACAATACATTATACAGACTTAATTTATTTATTATCCTTAAAATAAAAACTCCCTGAATTTAGGACTATATTTTGCATAATTTCTGTATCGGGATAAATAATAGGTATCACTTGAGCTTACACTTAATTACAAAAAAATCATTAACTGATTATTATTCTTAATATACAGAACACAATAAAAGTCTAATAAAAATAATTTAATTGTGTAACAATATTCCTACTATTTCTAATTAGCGTCAATAAATAACATGACTTTATGTGTGTACGTTCTTTGGGAGCGATATTTAGTTATGCCACTTGTCACGATAGGTAATTTGAACTAATCTAATGTAAGCCAGGTTTATGTTAGCCGTTTTACACACGCCCCTAAAATCAGAGGCAATATCGGAGCAATGATGGGAAGTCTGTAGGGAAAAAAGTACCGACTTCTGATTCGAGTGTCCACAGGCTCGACTATTGCACCTGATTTTAGTGTCGTGTGTATGCCCTTTAACTGAACAGCGCATGATATAGTGTACTAAATAATAAATAGCATTATATTTACAAGTCCTCCAGAGCTCATTTCCAGATCTGTAACCAATTTGGTAGTATAATAGCACAAGATATATGGCGCTACATGTAAACGCGTGCATATAGAAAATGAGCAATGAAAGTATATAAATTAAAAACATATAACCCATAAACCCAAGTTATTACTAGTAAAATTTCATCTGACCACACTACATCTCTTCCATGGTCGGTTTTGGATCTGTATTACATATTATTGTATAGTCAGCAATTTTATAAAGCCAAAGCGGCCACAGGACCCTAAAATCGACGGAAATATCGGAGCAGGCAAGGACTCCTGGTGTGTAGGCAAATCGTTACGGGCAATCGTCTGGGAAACGCTGTCCTCTCGAGTGTAGCGAAATCGGGGCCGATTTGAGAACACACTCACTGCCAATTGATTTTCATTGCCACTGCTCCTACATCGCCCCTGATTTCTGAATCGTATGACGACCGTATTGGTTGATGAATATGGCATCCATTACCGGTTAGGCTGGTTTTAGAGTAATAACGAAAAATTGGATTGTACTCTTCAAGTGGAAGTTTTGAGTATAAATAAATAATTATGTACAAGACTCCAGGAAATCATCCTACCACCGTGTTTATAGAAAAGTGACTGTTACCATATAAGACATAACAATTTAAGAAATACCAGAAAATATTTGTAAAGTGAGATCCTTTACAAATATCTATAAGGGATTGAATGAAAAAATAGCACTAGTTGAGTTTCTTGCTATTATTTCTTAATTGAAACTGCCAGCCAATTGGACGGTAGGGTATTAAAAAGTTGGTAACCTAAAATGATAAATAAATAAATGCATTTTTTATTATTTACACACATTACATAATCCTGCTAAAAATACTTTAAAACCAGACTTACAGTGATAGTTCATTGTAGAATATTGCTGACGACACAATAACATGTCATAAAATAAAAAGTATATACAATAACAAACAAAAAAAATTGCCTATATCAGTCTTAGGCGGAAGTTCAGAAGTGCTACTGTGGAGACAGAGAAATGCAAATTACATAACTACAAACTTAGCGGTACGTACCTATGAAACTATGCGAGTATATGTGCACATAAATAAAAAGACAGTATACTGTACTAAATAAAAACTGCCGGTAACCCACTTCAGTCCAGACTCCCTCAGCGCCGTGATGTACGAACATTAAAACTAACAATTAAATTATGCTAAAACGAAAATCAATCGCTACAAGAATTTAATACAATACAATAGTAAATACTATGAAATAAAAGTACATCATGTTATCACTAAACTATTGAATCGAGATGTCTTTTACTGTATAAAAATATCGTCAATATTCATAATAATTATTTCTATACACTCTGTACGTATGTACGTCTATAAATTACGAAAATCACGCTTACATAACACGATGTGAAGCGACTAAATTCTTATCGGACATATAAATATTATTATATATAGTATGTTGTAATACAATATTACAGCAGTGGTTTTGGTTATAATTTGAGACTAAAATAACGCGACCTACATTCGAATATCTAGTAAAAATGCGCCTAAACATCTAATTCATTGTTAGTGTCACTATAAAACTACAAGCAAAATGGACATAAGAATCGATAGTATTACTTACTGATAAATAATTACACAAAACTGCATAACTAATATTCCTTACTAGCAATGTTAATATAGTACAATCTTATCGCCACAATGGGACGCTGCAGTTTCAATATTGTTTAGTCATAGTTTTGCGAGTATAGAAGTAAAATTATTACTTAAGGCAAGTGAATAACATTTATTAATTATTTAGATTACACTATCACACAAACCGAGAAGTCTGAAGAGATCATAGACCATACAAACGACGCTCCATTAAGAGCACAGCTCTCTGCCGCTCATCACCGACCAAACTAGTATAATTAAATTTTCCATAGACATGGAAATATTCTTAAATCTATTAGTTTATACATTATCACTATTTACAAGTCTGCACTATGCTTCCCTATAGCGTATACTGTCGTTTCATTATAAAATCCCTGTGTCCCATAGAGGAAACACTACAATCATTGTAGATAACAAGTCTGATTACTTGTCTATAGATATACTTGCACCATAATATACGCTTTCTTATTACACACACTAAAATTAAAAATAAACATTATCGTATGAATTATTTGTATACAACTACGTTCATTATGTACAATTTGATTGGTGATTCTGAACAGTCCTACGGTAACATCCATAAATTACGTCATACTAATTTCTTTTTCGCCCCTTGTCCTTGTCACATGTGGTCACAATTGTGACAGGCATTTGTGGTACTGTCACAGATGTGACTACATGTGACAGTATTTGTCCCTAGTATCACATCATATATTTTACACCTAAAAATGATTACATTAACAAACAAACAGCCGCAACATTTGTTATATTTATAAATAAAAGTAGCTTGCCGAGACAAATGTTGTTTTGCCAAATAAATAAAACTAATATCGTTACTAAAAAATAGGGGTGGACGGTGAAAATTTAGGGTTGTATGTATTTTTTGATGTCAAATCACACAAAAAATCTAAAATAAATAAATTGAGTTTTGTTACAAGCACTGTGCATAAGAATTCTATATATAACATGTATATTTAAAATTTATGCCTTCAGCCAATCCTTGGGGTACAATACCACATTTTCTGGACCCCTCCTCGCCCCTTAACTTGCGACGTAATTTATGGACATCCCCTATTGATGATAAGACCAGTTTAAAATCTGCAACTTGTACAAGCGAGTATAAAGCCATTTATTGCTTCTATAGTGTTTCAGTTGAGGAACTAATTCTATATAAAGTTACATCAAATAGATTTTCTTATAAGAATTAAGCCTAGTTGTTTAAAATTGATTATATAACTTATTCGAAACTGAATTATATACTAAGTTACAGTATAAATTTTAAATCAATGTCAATGCATATTGGTTTTTGTAATATAAAGCACACTGCAAAAACATGGTGGGTATTTAACTACTATTTTTTAACTTACCATCAGCATGCCTTACTATATTCAACTGGACATTTTATAAAAGTAAAAAAAAGAAATTTAAATAAATTAAATGTTGGGTAGTATTGAATAATAGTGTCTATTGATGTTACTTTATATGATTGTCATATACAATACGCAAAAACCCGCCAATAGCAGTCAAATACCCCATTCCAAACACATTTCATGTTTATAGATAAGTATTGCTGTAATTAAAATTATATTTAAGACATTTGCTTGTATGTAAATAGAAAAACTAGCGCCGTGATTCTTATATCACACACGCCGGCTTCAGCAGCTCTAAATTCTCGTAATTACATAATAATTAAAAAACTAATAAATGAAAGGTTTAATTTACCAATTGATGCAAATTGTGATGTAAATAATGATGAAATTATATATAAAATTCTAAATAATATAAATATAGTATAAACAAATGCCTTGAATATGGGATGAAAATGAAATCTACAATCTATTTGTGCACCAATAAAGTACAAGTACTTTGTGACACCTTAACTCTTGTATATCTAACATTAAAACCAGATAAAAAAGCAATTTTATGAATAGAAAATTGCTTAAAAATTGATGTGAAACTTATTATTAGCAACCATACATAGTTTTTAATTCATATGAATGGTTGGATAAGGCGGATAATCATTTTTTACACCAACCAATCGCACTTATTAAACTGTGTTACATTAATACTATACAAAAATAATCAACTTATGGATATTCTATGTGGACACGGCAATGTTATGTGTTCTTACAAATATTATAAATGCGAATTTGAGTGTCTGTCGGTTTATTGTGTTTCTATAGATAAAATTTAATATTTTGCTTATTAATTTAGTAGAGATAGTTCAAAATCATGTCATAGTTATTAAATAAGTCATAAATTATGTGATGGGTATCATTATAAATCATATAGTCAATACATTTACTTTAAATTACAGATCAGAGTAATAAACATGATTGTTTAATAATTAAAATTGTACCAATGATTCATCTAAAATTAAACGGAGATATTGAATATTTTAAGATATTCATATTAAGCTGTCCAGATATATGTAATATTACATAATGTTAAGGCTCGTTACTGATGATTATGAGTAACTATTAGCGACTTTGAGTTCGCGTAATAAACATTTGATGACGCATTGGAAAATAATATGTAATAATTGTAGTGTCGATCACATGTAGAGTTAGTGATACATACAACAATACACATGTTACGTTATGTCGGCGGCTTCTTAATGTAGAAAATTATAATATAAAAAATAGCAGCTCACCTTGAATTTCGAATAGCAATTTGCTTTATAAATTTGCTGATTACTGACAATTTGATAGCAAACTTCGATAGCACATTTCACACTGCACTGATCTTGAGTTTTATTAATTTTATTTAAGAATAAGAATTTATTAATTTAAGAATCTCTGCACTACAACACGTATATCTGGACCCAACTTAATGCGTAACATTGTGTAATATTAATTCGGCTATATACGTTACATACCCGTAACAATATAGCAAGTATAAATACAAATGTATAAAACAAATTCAATGTGATTACGATAAGTCATGTCAAAATACAATTTAGACTTCCAAAACAACTGAACTTACTATACGAAAGAACGTCTGCGTTTCTAGGTTCCAAAGTGTGTAGATTTGGTTGCATGCGCGCAGATGGCTGTCGGTGTAGAACTTACTGTGCGGTAGATGTGAAAGCGTTTCAGGTCGGCCCGTTAGAATGGGTTGCATCACTTGGTGGTCTTGTGTGCGGGTGGGGGCGTGGTGGGCGGACCCCCGCGCTCCGCTGGCGCCCCCAGCGCTACGCCCTCGCTGTCCACCTCCGTCTGAATACCACATCATATACCATGTAACCACCATAAAAACAGCCCACACCAAAATGGGAGGGGAGGGGGCGGAAGGGAATTATTAGTAATATGGACTAACAACACCATTGCTGGCTATGTACCATGTCAGGTTGACCTCCACACCGTTCCCCTTAGATACCATCATGGTAAATTACCATTGGTCAATATACTACCTGCTCATTTTATCATTCTACACTAGTACGCCGCCACCGTAACATCCGTAGCGCTTTTCTTTTACAGTTTAGTTGAGCCTTCGGCTTGTTTGTCATTAAAAAAAATAGGACTGTGACATATATATTATACAGAAGGTTCATCATAAGTTAGGTAAACAATACTCAAACAAACATCCACTTTCAAAAAGAAACAAAGTGGAAATCTGCAAAATGAAAAATGTACATCATTTTGAACTTTCCAAACTAAATAGATGACAAATAAAAAAAAAACATGAATACTAATTACTGGCTTTCTGCTTAATATATACTTCACAATTAAACCTAATTATCCTAACATAATGCTAAGGAACCCATAACCTGTGAGCTGTGACCTGAACCTATGACCCTATGACGAGAGTCAGCATTATGAAAATTAAAAACAGAATTAGACTTTTACAATTGTCAACACAGAATCTTCAAAATAATACAAAATATTTATGTGCAATGATGACGTAATTGTAATCTTACGGAGGCCAATAGACTTACTAGAAAATCTAGGTGTAGACAGAACTAGATTACTAAGGTCTAAATGTTTAATCTTTAATCAACAATTACCTTTTCATCCTTGGCGGCGGGCTGAGGCGAACCGCTTCCATTATTGGCGCTGGTATTCTCAGTAGTTTTATCAGAATTTTCCGTACTCGTTGTACCTATAAAACAATAACATGTAGATGTTAAAACATGCAAGCTAGTGGTTTATTTGACTACAGAATGGGGTTTTTCAAGAAGTCTATATTACGGCTTCTTCAGAGTCATCAACAAGTACTTGACACCCCTGGTGTTTCAGACGTCCATAGGCTACTGTAACCGTTTACTATTAGATTGATCGTAACTGTGTTTGCCACCATTGTAGTATAAAAAGAACTTGTAAAATGTCCATAGATTAATTTAGGTAAAACTTTAACCAACAAAAACATAGACGATATAAATTATTATTGCGCAGGTTACACATTATATACATTATATTTAAGTTATTTGTGTTATTTACTAAAAACTCTGATAGTTAAAGGTTGACGATAAAATAATATAATTAAACAATATTACTGGTTAAATTCTAGGGTGTCATAAGCGGTCGGCAGACTCGGTTATTTATAAACAATGAAAACAGGTTAAAATCTAGTCAAGTCACATTTAGCTTGGTCCCTATATTTAAATGAGAACATTCTTTCAACACGCTTTACTACGATGTAAACGATGTGTGAACTTCGAAGTGTGTTCAAATAACTACAAATGCTTGCAAAATTCATACTTTTTTTATGTAATTGGTATACCATTAGTATATATGTAACAAATTGTTGTTACATATAGAAATGAATGTTGGATAATCGCATGAAATTTATAGCCTATGTGTTATTCTGACGTATATACTATATTATTGTAAAGTTTCATTCCAATCCATTCGGTAGTTTTTGCGTGAAAGAGTAACAAAATTTCAACCATCGATCCACACTTGCTACACACTTATTAGTAAGAAGTAAGATTCTTAATGGGAATAAATATCTTCAGTGATTATCCATAGAAATATTATATTAAGCGTGGTACCTTGTAGTATGTGTGCGCGGTCCTGCTCGTGCTCCCGAAGCACGGCGTCCAGGTTATACCGGCGCCGGTACGACACGAAGAATGTGCGAACATGTGCCTCGGTCTTTGTGCCCAGTGTCTCCGCAATCGCCTGGAAATCACGCCCTGCACAAACAGACAAACCGTTCTAATTATAATTAAATAAAAAGTAGAAACCCGTCCTTTGCCTACAGTGGGTTTATTGCGTAATAGACATTTATATTAATAAAATAAGCACCTACAACTATAAACATTTTCAGAAGACGACATTAATGGACTTAAATTATTCCGCATAAATTCATTTAAGTGAAATGGATTTCCGCAAAATAACACCTGATTCGACAAAATATTTTCAGACAAATTCTCAATTGTACTCACCATATTTCCTGACGGCCGTAACGGCCATGAGTAGTTCATCATTGGTCCAGCGGGAGTTTATCTTCGCGGGTGGTTCACCAGGCCTTAGCTCCTCCACACCGGCGTCACCAACTTTACGCTTCATAGCACTAAGCTGCTGTTTATTTTGTTGTACCTGAACAATATTCACTGTATTATAAATTTAAACATTTGTTATCTTGAAATACATGTAATTTAAGAATGTCTGTTATAACAGATAACCTTATGGTTAGTGTTACCAGAAAACAATACATAGATTTTCATAATTTTATGTAACTGGTATGACAAGCCGACAAGTCATCGGTCAGTCCCATAAAAAGTGGTAACCGTCGCCTATAACCTGGGCGCAATCAATCAAATTGATTGTGAAGGCTGCGGTATATCACACGTTGCCACTCCTGAAGACTAAGTTATCTCCACACCCTCTAATTCTACTGCTACAACTCAACCTTCAGACTGAATTACAGCTTGCAAATGAAGCTCCTTCATACCGTATATCATACAGTAGCTGTAATCTATTCTTAAATAACATTAAAAATAATATACATATATACTTTCAATAATCATATTATAAATATATCTATGTATAAAAAACGTTGGAACATTATTGAAGATATTTTACAAAAGTGGATAAAAATACTATGAAAAAATAACATTTGATTGTGCATATCTGGATTATCCAACTAAAGGTGAAATCGCCAGCCAAACTTGCTAGGGGACAATCGCAGAGCAATAAGCAGTATCGATAGAAGCACGAATTTTCAATATTATACTTAGAATAAATAAATCTAGTGTCTATTATGTGTGCAGAATACATTACATTTCAACTATGGGTATCGCAGGAATATCACTACGGTCTAACGGGACAGGACATAATGACTATGTCACATTCTCACATTACATCACACAATCAGTCACACCCATGCTCATTAGCTGATCAAAGACTGGTTTGTTACGTGAACAAATAATTTAGCGGCGCTCTCGTGTCAACGTAAGAGTGAGAATGTGTTCTATCGGCACTACATAGTGACATTGGATCGGCGGTTGCCTCTTACTTGTCTCTTTAGCGATATAATCTCTCTGTCCATAGCTTTAAGCATCGCTTCCCCCTGATTGACTAGGCCGGGCTGCGGGGGATCGCCGGGCTGAGGGCCGGTGGCCATCGCGACGAGATCATCGTGATTGATGTAAATGCCCCGTGGCAATCGATGCTTGTACCGCTGCTGTTTGGAGCCCGGCCCGCGGCGGCCGGAGGGCCCACACAGAGGTCGCATCGTTCCGGTGCGTCTGTCACAGTACCGCCAACATTCAAACAACAATCCCATCGGTCATAGACTATCGCACTCTAATTGGTTACACATCTGAACATGCAATGATTGCAATGATGATACAAAAGTGTTATGTAAAGTAGCGTTACCGACCTGGCGTGCACGAGGCATGCCTGACACAACTTGTGGGAGTTGTGCGGCGTGGTCTGCGAACACAGAATGCCGCACACCGTGCAACTCTTGCCCGCGCCCTCGCCGCCGCCCTCGCCCTAAACCCCAATCAACATTTTACATTCCTGCCTATTACCGACACACACCTACGACACACATTGCAGGGACGGACTATAACAATTACTTCTCACACACTTCTTTTAAAAACCCATTAGAATATTAATCAATGATATTCTGCACACATTAGATCACTAGAAAGTTCCCTTCTGACTGGGGCTGTTAAAGGAAGCATGCGAGGATGATCAAGGAATAAGGAGGGTGCAAGGTCACATTTATTATGTTAAACTTATAAAACACTGTTACACATATGACATTTACTAAAATATATAAATATATTTAAAATAAATAATTATTATCTATTTTATTCCATTAGAGTTAGAAGGCTTACAAACTCAGTAAATAGTCAAATTAGCTAATTATATTTATATTGTTTAAAATGTATTATGCATCTTAATTGACTATATGACACCTATTTGACTGTGTACTGATACAGGTTAATACAAAAAAATCTCACAAGAGATTGATTTAACAGTATATCATAAACAAATAATTGTTATGAATAATGTAAACTCCTTTTCGTAATGATTCCACAATAAAACTAACTGGAACTGAATGTCCATATGTATTTAATGTTATTTAATAATTATTTAATCTATTTTTGAATTCAAAGTGGATTTGTGATATCATCATGATACTGGAGAGTGAATATAATTAAATGAATGTTGCACATGAGTGTTGTAGCAGTCTTTAGTTCGTAGATAAAAATGCAGAGCTCTCAAACTAAATACAAAGCGATGCCAAGAAGCAAGTAAATAATATTTTGTTGATCAGAATTCACATTAAACTGAATGTAAATGACTCAAAGAACCACATCAAACATTGAATTCATAACATTTTTTTCCATTTTATACATATAACATTCAAACTGCTTGAAATATAATGAAATGCAATCTGAAGGCACATATTTGTACTAAATAAAAATGAATGAAGCATTTATCACAAATTAAATCAGCATGAAATCTATTAATATCATGAGGTGCAGCACTAATGGAATGATATTGAATACTGGGAACTGGGAAATCTTGAGTTGCAACTGACGAATCATATAAGGAAGTCTGATAAACATCAAAACATGAATGACATCACACCAACTGAAGTAGATAGGCAAAGTGATAGAATGGAAGAAGACATTGCAATTTTCCATGGTGACAGCGAGGTTAAGTTCATTGTGGGGAAACGAATCACCCACCTGGGCGGCCTGCGACGGAGGAGCGCGCAGCGAGCTCCCGCCCGCCGCCAGGGACCTGCCTCCGCGCACTATACCTCGGTGGATAGTCCACTTCTGTCATGTCCAACATATATGCATCACTCACACAGTATACTCATTACCCATTTGGATTTAATAAAAATAACTGCTAGTTATAGGACATGATGAAGATACTAAAATACTTTATATCCCATTACAGCGCACCTTTCATTAGAACAATAATATTTGTGAATTTTCATGTTTTAAATAGAAATGTTCTCTACATGCAGAGCAAATAAGAAAACAAAATAATTTAGCACTTTATCCAATTGGGTTGTTTGGGTCAGAATTTGGAATTTAAATATTACTTAAAAAGCTACTAGATACTCTGCATTTCTATTTACTAACTAGTATGTCATGTGTGGCCTGAGGTGAGTCATTGGACAATCCAGATACACTTTCGTCTGAAACTGTAAACTGATCATCTAATTTGTTCCTCCTTCTACAAAGAATGACTGTTGCATGAATATTATATAAGCAATAACATTGTTAGACATTTACAAAATTATAATAGGCACTTCAAACTTTTAATACATACCTTCTCATCATTGTCTGATTCCTTATCAGAACCACCTGGTTCAGAGGCACCAGACTCCCGCTTGCCTGTTCCTGAACTAGTTGCATTGCGATTTTCACCAACAACATCCATTAGAGAAGTACGAGCTCTGGTCTTTTTCCATGAGTAATAATATTTCACTAGTGATGCTATTGATTTGTCAGGGAGCTGTTAAATAACATTTATAACTGTTACATCTACAACATTCAAATAACAAAACAATTTAATAAAGACAAAAATAAATAAATATGCATATATCTACAAAACATTAATCAGTGTAGTAATAATTATCTCCGACATTATGTCCAAAGTTGACTATAACAAAAACTAGTTGACTTATACAGTGGGTTGCCAAATTAATAGGGACAGTCACGAAATATTCGTTTTTTGTAAAACATTGGTCTATAATTAATTAAAAACGTCACTTTAGGCTATAATTATATTTAATAATATCAGACACATATCTTATAATGAATTTAGACTATAATAATTTAATATTTGAACAACTAGAAAATATAAACAAGTATAATAAAAATGATGATGGGAAATTATTAGTATTTTGTCACATTTCCTTTTGCTTCTATCAGTGCTTGAATCCGCCTCGGCATACTTTCAATACACTGTTTAGCACTTTCTTTTATTTTGGGATTGTGAAACCATACATTTATTAATTTTTCAATTAGTTTTACTTTGGTAGTTATGATTTCCTTAGCAATTTCCGCCTTGGTAATTTCCCACAAGTTTTCTATGGGATTCATATCAGGAGAATTGCCAGGCCAAGGTAAAACTGGAATGTTGTGGTCTTCCAAAAATTTGGTTACACCTCGCTTTATGACATGGAGCTGAATCGTGCATAAACACGAATTCCTCCCCATTCGGGAACCATTCCTGAAGTTGCGGCAACAGGCGAGTTTCTAATACTTGCTTGTATTGGTCCTGTCTCATGGTTCCCTGGACGATATAGAGGCGCCCAACTCCTTTTATGATGACAGACCATACCATTATTTTTACAGGGTGTTTAATTTGTTCCACTATGCAATCAGGATGAAATTTCTCGCCTGGGCGCCGCCTCACGAAGTTACTTTTTTTGGCCAGAATTTCAAAAGTTGACTCGTCTGAGAAACATACCTAAAAAAATATAGAAACTATTTATAATTTTTGTAAATATGATTTTATATAACACAAATAAAATTAACCATAGAACTGACCTTATTCCAGTCTTCAACAGTTTTCAGGCGGTGCTCACGAGCCCAAGCAAGCCTTTTCTTTTTCATCGCCTCTGTTAATCGAGGTTTCTTAACTGGACGATGACCTGTCAGGCCTTCCTCTGCCAACCTTCGCTGTACAGTTCTTTTTGAAACACGTATTCCAGATTCCTGTACTATCTGAGTTAAAAATCCAGCACTTTTCTTTCTGTTTTGCAAGCAGATATCTCGAATTTTCCTATCGGAACGTGTTGTTGTGATACGTTTTCTGCCACATTTGCCTTTTCTTTTGAGCGAAAGTGGCTGATTTTGATCTAAATTTATTTTTATTTTATTGACGGCAGATTTCGATATCCCGGCCAGTTGTGCTATCATCCTCTGAGAGTGATTTGTGTGTAGGAGAAGGGTTTTAACCTCGGATTTTTTTCTCGGAGTCAAATCTACCCCTCGACCCATAGCCAAAGCTGAAAATATAAAAATAAATTAAAATTGTTCTAAAATCCGCTCCAAAATACTTTAATTTTAATTATAGTAAAATATTACTTACTTGCAGGTATTGATTATTTCACAAAACCACTAAAGAACTGTTTAAAAGAATAATTTACGTGTTTCACTTTTACACGTGTGAACGACTGTGTGTCTCTCCCGTCATTAAAATATATTTCCAAAATAAACAAATCTCTCAGCACTTGAAATTCACTTTGAATTTGAGTTATAGAGACAAGGTGAACATAAAAACATATCAGCAAAAAACTTTTACCACTTAAAAACGTAGTCAAGACCACTTGAAGAACAAAAATTATAAAAAATGTGACTGTCCCTATTAATTTGGCAACCCACTGTATAAACAGGCATTAAGTCTGTCCCGTATACATTTTGTATGCAAAAGGATAAATAAATACATTAAAGAAGCAAAAACTGGGGTTGCCCTCTTAATATAGATAATATAAAACCCACTTTCATTCTATTACTATAGATATTAACTACAGTAATCAACCAATATTTCAGTTTTCATAGACTATGGTCAGATAGATAGGTAAAAAGAGGTAAAAATATTATTATTATTTAGGGATAGCCTCATTTTTAAACTGAACTGATGTCCTAATCAGTTCATTTTATTTATTTATAACATTTAACCTTGAAAATATCAAGTATTGTGGATGAATTATTTTATCGAGTGGCTGGTTGATCACATCATCATCATAATCAGTGGAATGTTGTTATCCACATCATCTCCCCCAAAGAAATACACTGCACACTAGTCTCTAATGTAATTCAAGCAATGCTTACCATTTGCCTTATCCTATGAAAGCTTTTGCCATGGAACTGGAAAGCTTGTTCAAATAATACTTTATCTTCAAGTGTCCACTCATCAGGAAAGGGTGTGAAGTTTGCTAGGTCCATTGATGCTCTAGTAAGGTCATGTTTATGCCAAAATAACATTCCAAGTGCCTGTTCACCATTGTAGCCATACTTTTCCTTTGCAGTAGTTATGTATTCATCCACTACAAAAACAAACATTTTGAATAGGAGCTGCAGCATACAGAAACACCTCAATTGTTAATGATTAACTTACATTTCATATCAGATATATCAGCTGTAGGGGACCATACAAGTAAGGCTCTGTCTGATATCATCTCTGGTCTCCGCTGCTCCACTGGTTCCAATTCTGGGCAAACTGCTTGATAATCTCTACCCACTCTAATCTTCTCGGCTGCAAACGGTACCACTGCTTGGTTTGATGTTATATTGGAGATTGATGAGAGCAGCATGATGATGGATGATGAAAAGCACAAAACAAAGCATGTAAGATGATTATGAATGATTAACAGCGGTTATGACAGCACATGTAAGGAAGTTACCCAATTTGTAATGACTTGAAAACAGGAGGACAGTCTGCGTCTGATATCGAAAGCCGATATGATTTAAAAATACTATGACGATTTTCAAGCAAGTTTTTTTATCGCTATAAATGATGTCTATCTTGAGTAAGCGTTAAAAAACAACAATATATCGTACCATTCTCATCTTCTGAACTCGAATCTGGACTTCCATGGCCATTGGGGCTTGGCCCCCTCGACCGCTTCCCATTTCGAACATCAGTACTTCTTTCGGCCAAAACCATGATTTTGCACTTAATAACACTAGTTTCACTTTTAAATAATAATATTATCTAGTTCATTTAGACAATATTATGACAAAGAATTAGAAAATAAAGCGAATGCGAAGGGTCGCATTAAATTCAAACGTGATTCAAACCACCGCATCAATAATTTGACAAACCAACAAAAGTAAGCACAGTCCATTCGTAAGCGTCTGTACGTAATGCATTCACTTGTATTTTAAACAAGTTTAAAAATTATTTCTTAACTAGTTTGATTCTTTAAAAATCAATAATATTTTCATTAATTTTATTTGTACAAAATGTGTATAATTGTACTAATAATAACTTATAGTAATATAATAAATTGTCGTATAAAGTAAACAAGTTATTTTCTTCACTGGCAATTTACAAAGTACAGGCATCATAAAATGTATCAATACAGTTCTCACAATTTAATATTTTTCATTACCGTTCTCCTTATGATAAAGATAGGAAATAAAATTAAATGTTATATACATGATATGAATTGTCATTAAAACTAGAATTAGGATGTAAAACTACATAATAACTTGTATTTCAGTTTATCACGATGTTACTTTTTGTTAATAGATGTCGCTAGTTTCCTTATTTCTTTGTTGCTTTCACCAAAAGCAAATTACAGTATCGAACTATTAATTTATGTTGTCTTTACCATTGCAAATATAATAATGTTATTATAGAGTAATAAGGTTTTCTATTAAAATGCGTAATAAAATTATTATTTTATACATTTTGCAAAATTACAACGTCCCACGTCATACGTACTGCGTAATTTTTATTTTTCGATTTACAGTATACAACAAAAGTAACAATGAGTGGTCTAATGAAGCAAGATCCATCGATACCAAGTAGTCAGACTCGACACTCGACAGATCCTACAATTTAGTATCATTGACCCGTAATTTATTGAGAAGGTAATTACAAGGTGGTATTTTGTTCGCCCTTATTGGTCGCATAATTAAGTTACGTCGTTACCAACAATTATCATATTAAAAGTATGGCTGTGCTGTACGTATCAAATAGTTCATAGATAATTGCGAACTCAGCTCAATTTTTATTCGAACCTACTACAGTTAAGAATATCAAATCATAAATAATTTATGCACGTAGGTCATTTTAGCCGCTTATGAACGTTACATTTTTTGTATTAATATTTTTTCCTACCGTTCTCTATCGTAATACTTAGAAACGCAGCAAATCATCATTGAACACATCCTAGAGACTCGACGCTATCAAAGGTTTCAGCACACAATTCAAAACAGCATTCGAAAATTTCTGTAAATATTTATTATAATTAATTAATTATTAATTAATCCACTCTCAGAACAGCAGCTAACATTCACTATGTTTCATATTTATTGTCTACTAAACCATTGTATAAGTTTTCAGGCCAAAGATAATTGGTTCCTATCCGGTTTAAAAAAAATCACTCACGTATACTTATATTATCGAGTTGCTGTTTATTCTATTTGTTTTTTATAAATGTAATAATAATTTATGGGATTTAAAAATTATTTGACTAATATAAAAAATAATTTCATCTATGGAAAGCTACATTACAAGCAAATAAATAGGCTCGACACCATGTGGACAGCACCACGGGATAAGACTAGCAGTCTAGAAAAAGAAACTACAATTTTCTGTATTTAATTAGAATTTTTTACAATACTTTGTAACTGTAGATCAAAACAATTACAAAAATAATAATGAATATTTTCAATATTGACCTTTAAGGCCGTTTCTGATAGGGTATAAATTAGTTTACTGAAATCAAAAGTGATAAATGAAGTTCTTCATGTCAGTTATACTTGATAGTGTAACACTCCTATTAGACTGCAAATTAGAACTATGTAAATTGTAATTGTAAACAATGTCATTGAGACATTGAAATAGACCAAATAAATATTAAGCAATAAATACTGCTTTGTTGTTAAAGAATTTTAATTTAACAATTTGTTTAAATGACAATTTAATATCATCAGTAAATACCTTGGATAAAGAATCGTAAATACCGTATACTCTTCTACTCGGCATATTATCAAATGACATAAGACTGTTGACATTGACAGTCTGACAGTTAACTATCATCACTTCGATTTTTTAAACGTATTTTTCTGATTTACTATTATAGTACATTATGTTATCAAAATAGATAACAATTCCATTATGTTGCGTTACAATTTCCACAGCAACAGGTGGTAAAGACGCACTAGCAAGAAATACAAGTGATAAAATTTATTTGGACATGCCTATGTCGTATTCGGGACCGCATTGTAACTTATTCGCTTTTTATAAGCGCACACATATTTTGAATGTTATGTAACGTTTATTATAGTGTTTTCGGCTTGATATTACTTCTGGTAAAATGAGGACGGTGGCACTGATCAGTGGTGGCAAGGATAGCTGCTACAACATGATGCAGTGCGTCGCCGCTGGACATGAGATCGTTGCTCTGGCCAACCTCCAACCGCTTCAAAAAGGTTGGTGCTCCGATTTAGAGACGTATTTGAGTCACGATCTATATTAACATGCTAATACACTGATGCCATAAATTATTCATGATCTAAATGTGTGGCAGATTTCAACTGAGTTACATCTGTTTCAATATGTCAGTTGTTCAGTAAATTATAATTTATGATGTTATTATTTTACACTGTGGACTCTCATGCCATTAAATTAATAGTACTGGTGAACAAGTATAATTTCATGCTACAAAATTGTAAACATTGACAATAATACTGTGCCAGTGTCACATAAATTTTATGTTGTACTATTTAATTTAATTTAATTCAATTATCAGTTCCCATTGATACAATATTCATAATTAAAATATCGAATTATGTTTATCTTTTTCTTTGTCAGAAATAAAAATTTTTTCTCTGCTCAACCTACATTTATAACTGACAATACATTTGACTTATCATAATTGTTACATAGACTTCTGATAGATAAGTCATAGATTTACGAGAATACAGCCTATTTGATTGATTAAAAAAAACAACAGTTTGTTGAAATTGAAACATATTTGCAGATGAATTGGACAGTTATATGTACCAAACAGTGGGCCACCAAGGTATTGATCTGTACGCAGAGGCTATGGAACTACCTCTGTACAGAGAAATCATAACCGGAGTGGCTGTCGACCAAGGCAGAAATTATAAGCCCACAGACAATGATGAGGTGGAGGATCTGTACAGATTGATTTCTAAAATAAAGGTTTGTATGTATAAATTTAAGTGTCTTAATTGTTTTAAAAAGACAACAACATTACACAGACTTGTACAAACTAGACAACTGGAATTAAAGATTCTGATGAATATGAAAAAGTAGAGAAATATAAATATGAAATAGTTTTAATTAAAAGGAATTAATGTCTGAATAAAAGATTAAATCATTTATTTATTATTGCTATGTATAAATGAATAAAAATTGTACAAAATTTTCTTCTTTACTTTGAATCACAAACAGATTTGTTTTTAACACAGACTGTTTACACTAGAGCCGTTATATTATTCTTAAAGAAATTGTGAGCTTGAAGGATTCCAGATAATGAAATCTATGCTAACAAACCATAGACTTCCTTATTTGAACTTGAAAATAACAACTAATAACATTTTAACATTATTTCTTGTTTTTTTAAATTACATTATTAGAATAATCTCAAAAGAATACAATAATAGTTTTTTTAAATGTCATATGATTGTTTTTTATTTTAAAATGTACCATGAAGAAAGTTCATGTTTATCTCTAACAAGAGAGTCTTAAAGTAAAAATTCTTTCAAGAAAAATCATAAATTTTTATAATTGAATAATATACAGGAATAAACATAAATTAATACATTATAGCTATAGTTTCTATGATTAATAACTATATTATTGTTTTAGGATGATATAGACATAGAAGCAGTGGCGGTTGGTGCAATATTGTCAGATTACCAAAGAATAAGGGTTGAGAATGTGTAAGTTATAAAAATACAATATTAAAGTAATAATTAAAATAATCAAATTGTTAGTAGAGATTATACATAATCTGGCAATGAGAATAACATCTTGGTCAGTTTTACTTGTTTATCAATCTCTAACTTCTAAATATCAGTAGCATGAAGAATAAACATTTTGCTTCCTTTTTTATAAATCTAACTACTGGTGTACAAAGGTGGTACTACTACCCCACTGGTGGACAAAGGGCATATGTTTCAATGAGACATAAATAATTTGCATAAATTTTTAATGTACTTGGAAATAGAATAAAAGTGTTTTGATTTTTATTATACATAAGCAAATAACATAAGTCCATATATATTTATTTACAACAAAACTTGCGAAATTATATATTTTTTAATGAAATATTGTATTTGGTTTTAGATGTCAAAGATTAGGTCTAGTTGCTCTTGCATACCTATGGAGAAGAAACCAGAAGGAGCTACTCAATGAAATGATATTAAATGGTGTTGAAGCTATCATAATTAAGGTTTGTATATTTTATTTTTGTTATATATAAATTATATAAGACCATTGCCAAATTCAAATTATTTAAGACTAAGAGATTTTTAAAAATCATATAAAATACTAATCTATAAAAAAATTCACACTTCACCCTCAAAAAATACAGAGAATAATACAGTTTCTCTGTCTTTTTGATAATCTATAGATGTCTTTTTTTTACTATGATGGTGGCAAAGGGACCATTTCATATTGAAATATCTTTATATTCCATTACCCAAGAGTTTTCTCAAATTCATTAAGCTGTTAAGGGCTGATCTGTGTGCTCAAATTTTTTATGTAGAAACATTTTATTATTTTTTGGTTTTACCCCTCATCACTTATATAGTAACAGTGATATATTTGCATTATCTTAACCTGTATTGAATCTCTCAATAAGTTATACATACACAATGTTAACTGTAAACATTGGATGTGATACCTGCAATTAACTATACAGATAACAGTAGCGAGCTGGAATAATTATTATTGTCGATTCTTATCAATTCACAAACATTAATATCCTGTACAGTAGATATTTTATCAGTTGGAATATTATAATGTCTATAAAGTGCTTAGGGAAATCACTACAAGGCTCTGAAGTTTTGGTATATTTGAGGTTCATAATATCCGCTTATGAACTTCTTGTGACAGTCTATATGAGTAAATAAAATAGTAGTGACTGTGTGTAATTCATTAAATTACTAATGAAAAAAATTTAGTTTGTCTGTTGTACTTGCTGATGTCTGAAACTGTTTTTCGAGTGGTGACTCCACTGAAAATCAGCGCAGCAGGGACACTGCAGTACAAGCTGAGTGGAGACGCTTTCATCTTATAGAGCCATATTAGTGTTTAAGTTCTTTTATAATTTCCACATTACTATACTATGGTTAATAATTGATGATTATTATTATTATAAGAAAAATTATGATAGTTTCGATACATCTAATAGATTCATTTAAGTTTACAATAACAATGAACTATTAAGGATTATTAATAGATAGCTTGAGGAAACTTACATAAATTGAGGAAAAATCGTTAATAAATTATCTATTATAAACAAGTCATCAATGACCGTCTAATTACTTTAGTAATATCGTAAATGACAAAGTGATTTGTTTTAAATATACACCTTGACAGATTAACTTATTATAATAAAATTTGGCAAAATAATAATAACAACCCCAGCACAATCACACAGCGCCATCTAGTCCCAAATGAAGCAGAGCTTGTTTTATGGGTGCTAGACAACTGATCGAAATATTACTAACTGATTTAAATACATTTTTTGTAAATACGAGCACAATGTACATAGCGAACTCCCATACCAATAAAAACATACTCATAAATACAAAAGTTTGTGTCGTACGAGGGATCGAACCCTCGACCATCGGAGGTAAGGCGGTGTGCTAAACTGCTAGACTGCCGAGGCCTAGATTAATTATTTCAATTTGAGAATGTGGGCTGCTTAAATATCAAAATACGTGAACGTAATCACGAGCAGAAACTAGCAATCAGTAATCCTGTGCTATCCCTTCACCATAATAATCTTTTAAATAGTATATTTTATAGGAAATTTAAGAGACTTTGTTGTTGCTATTATGTATACACGATATAACATAATATTTACGTTAATTATCATTTTTCATACAAAAACATATTTATATTAAAGTTTCATGTGTTTATTGTGTACATGTACTAATAATGTATTTGATCTCTGTTTACGTGTAAGATATAGGATAAAGAAAACGGATTTGGGAACTTTATGAAAATAATAGAACTCAAAACAACTTAACCGATTTATGAATACAAATATTAGCATCGTACAAGATTGAACCCGCGACCATCAGAAGTAAGGCGGTGTCCGCAACAGACCACCGAAGATGCACAATTTTAAAGAGCGTTGAACAAAATAGTGTTTATATATATTACTATTTAAAGTAAATAGTATAAAATTTATTTAACAAAGAGTTTCACAACTAGTCACGCAGGCATAGTGTAATAAATATTTTTTTATCAACTCGGTAATATGCCAGAGAGGCATGTAAACAAGATCACTTATGTACATACTCCATCGATATCTTTCGTTGGGTAATATTGTTGTGTTAGCGTTGATTACCTTCGTAGCCCGTTCCACAGATGAAGTATAAATAAGATTGATAGCTAAGAATTTTTATTTGTATCCTTAGTGCACACATATTAATATATTAATACAGTAACAGTGCCCGCGATTCCATTCGCGTTAAATTTCAATAAAAAATATAGCCTAGTTATTCTATTGCATAAGCTATATTACTGTAGTTTTATCAAAATCCGTTTAGTAGTTTTTGCGTGAAAGAGTAACAAACATTCATACTTTCGCGATATTATTAAAATGAAGCAAAAACTTTCCAGTCACATGATAACATGATATCCATAGTGCTGTTCATGTATATAAACGATGTTTTTTATGGATGATAATGGAATTGCACCCACCTGCGTTAATGGTTTACGCTGGCGGGGCGCCAGTATAAATGATGGTCAAAGCTTACCATCAGGTAGGTTTATAGTGTATTTTCAATTCTAATTACATAAAAAAAATCTAGTAGTCTAATATAGTTGGATAACTAATGTTCTGACTACGGTGTTAAAAAAATCTTACCATTTGAAGGACTCAATCAGCATATCGTCTCAATTTCCGTTGGTAGCAGGTTCAATCCCCACAAAATATAACTATTCTTGCTGAACAAAGTGTTTTATTTATATAAAGTGCACGCAACTGGCTTTGTTAATTTGTTAATGTCACCTGAAATAAAAAATAAATAAAATTGCCTGAAGTAGCAAATCAAAAATCATTAATTAATGTCGAACATTTTAGCCACTTATGAACGTCAAGTTATTCAATATTTTTTTCACGGGTGTTACATAATAACATATCGATAGTATGCTGTTCATGCATATAGATGACGTTTTTATTGATGATAATGGAATGGTGCATGCCTGCGATTACGGTGTCCACTGGCGGAGAACCAGTGGAGGAGGAGAAGATATGTATGAGGACTATGAGGTCAGTTAGACCAACGAGGCAAATTCACCATGAATTTTTCACAATGGTTTCCAGGGGGAACCACGTGGAGGTCAACCTGACATAGTACATTGCTAACAATCCTCTTCACCCTATATAGGCGACGTTACCGCTTAACAATTATATAAAAAAAAATTAACTTATTAATATCAGGTGGCTGCACTTGGACTAGACCCTCGGGCGCACCTCGGCATGAGCATACAAGAAATCCAGCCACATCTTCTAGTCATGAAGGAGAAGTACGGCCTGAATATATGCGGCGAAGGCGGCGAGTACGAGACGTTCACTCTTGACTGCCCACTCTTCAGGAAACGATTAGTTGTGTGAGTTATTGTAGATGTCGCCACTTAAGCTTGGACGTGCCTACTATCCTTGTTCTTGTCTTTATTTCCGACCATTAGCCTTAGTTTCTTAAGGATATGATAATCATAGGATGATAATATTATTTGTAATAAAATAATAATGTTGTAACGAGTCGAAAACTGTCTGTGTGTTTGTTATTTTTTGTATGGAAAGGTGCGCTAATCGTATACCCTAGCGGGCGACCATTGGAGAATTATACTATGAGGAAGAAATGTGATCACATAGCGCATTTTCCAGTCATCAACCACAACGGTTTCCAACAACAGGTTTCCATGATATATTGTTAGCAATAGACCATTTGATTACCATAGTCACTCCTTAATTAACAACACCTCTCTCACCCTACTTCCTTTATGAGTTAAGGTTTTAAATAAAAATAAACACTGCATATAATTTATTTTTTTAATTAAAATACACATTATTAAACTAATCTTTCTCTTTCATATACATTAGGTAAGGAATATATTTCTTTCAACTGTTTGCTATTATAGTCTAGCTATATCATATAGTAAAGCGTTTTTATTTGTTTATTTTTCGATGAAGATAACAAAATTGAGAATGCCCAAGAAAATTATGGAAAAAAGTAATATTATTACTAATTGAAATTAAAAAGAAAATCTATACTATTACTTCCATATCTATTCGGTTCTAATAACAAATAAATATTTGTTACAACAGAGATGAGAAAGAGATGGTAATACACACAGACGACCCTGTAGCACCGGTCGGTTACTTGAATCTTAAACTGCATGTTGAACCAAAAGAGAATGCAGAAGCCAAACTACCTCCGACTGTAAAGAGCTCCTTAGATTACATAAACGATTTGAGTGACAGCGTATTCAGTGACCTTAGTGATATAGAGGCGAGTGAATCAGAAATAGAATCCATAGAGAAGTTAGAAAAAGAAGAGAAGAAGAAACAGAAAGAACTGAACCCATTGCTCACATATTCAGGGGACAGGACTGATGTTTCTAGTGTCGATGAAAATGATAGTATAGACAATACAGATGGATTTCATTATGAGCGAGCAGATGATGAGTGCCATATACAGCCGGTGTTGGACCATAGAACGATATATGGGAATAAACACGGATGGTACTTCATTGGAGGTGTTATCGGTGACGGCGTAGATATAAGGGTGGCGACAGAGGACGCCATGAAAAAACTCATCAGTAGGTAAACTTTTTCACGAGTTTTTTTAAATTATATATCATATCTTAATCTACAATCACATAGACTTACTTTAAATTTTAGTCAGATTTACAATAAAATAATACTTTATATGTCAAGTTACATTTCTGACCAAATTAATCGGAAGAAAAGAGAAGCTAGGCTCGCGAGCTAGTTTTCTTTTGTAGTATTTCCTATTGATTATTTGTATTACAATATAACAAATACTTTCACAAATGTCAGTGACTTTGTAATTCTTATCAAATAGCGAGATATACAACTGTACCTATATCTTAAAAAATAAAATAAGATAGTTACCACTTATCATCACGTTGGCGGTCAGCTTGTTTTGCAGTCCAGTATTTTTTTTATTGAGTAATTTGGGAGTCAGGTGCTTAGTCGCCTTACATAGATCGATTGTGCTCGCCCTTTATCAGAGTTCGCTACCTAGACCCATCAGGTACAAGAGTTGAAGGATATTCTTAGAAGCGATGATTTTTATCTCCTAAGGATAAAGTGTAAACTTTCCAAAGGTGATATTTCGTTTATGCATTATTGGGTTATTAGCATTCCAATAACAAAAAACATTAAGTATCTACTCGATGATGTAACGGTATCAATATTTTCAGACCTACTAGAATCTGAAGACTGCACCCTCAGAGATGTATGTTCTGTGAACATTTATATGCGAGATATGAACGAATATGCAACTCTAAATCAGGTGTATGTGGAAAACTTTTGTTTTCCAAACCCACCAACGAGGGTCTGCGTGCAGTGTCCTCTACCGAGCGACGTGGGACTTCTTCTAGATGCTGTACGTACCTTTTTAAACTATTGCATTATTAGAAAACATGCAGAGATCTACAAACTTTGTTTACCATAAAAATATGAATAATATGTACATATCTACCTATTTAAAAACATAAATAAATTGTATACATGAAGGTGCGTGATTACCTCTATCTAACCTACTTTGTCACTAAGCAAACTTAAGTTGTAAGGTATATTCTAGGATGAGATATAGTAGTGATATTACATCAAACCTTCGGCCTGGCAACGCATGAAAGGGTCACATCACGTGATGACGAGGTACCTATGGTACTGATTATATTTATAGACGACGGTTACCACTTTTCTATCAGATAGACCATGAGCTTGTTTGTATTCAGTCATATAAAAAAATTGTTAATATAGAAAAACACTCAATTATATCCATTTCATATCAGGTTGCGCACAAAGCTGTACCCAACGATCACGAGACTGACACTAACTCGAAAGAACGAGTGACAATGCACGTACAGGGAATCTCGCATTGGGCTCCAGCCAATATTGGACCATATAGTCAAGCTATTAAGGTATGCTGTAAATAAATAATTATGATTTTACAAGACATCATATCATATGTTAGTATAGTAAATATTTAGAATTTATTTATATAGAAACAGTATTTAAGCATATCAAAGTTGAAGCCCATGACGCTAATGGATTCTACAGGAAGAAAATAATTAAAAATTTTGGTTTCAAACATAGATCGGCTGTTTTATGCTTTAATGTTATATTATATTTTTCTGGTTTATTGAAAACTTGCCCATTATCAAAATATCGATTCTCAGACACTAACCACTGTTCTTACTCGCCGGTTACAGCGTAATGGCCTCAAGACTCCAGCTGTGTACGCTAGAGACGACATAATGCTTAAATCTCTTTCTCACATATACTACATTTTTAATGATCTAATAGACGTACTTGCAGGTGGGCGAAGTGATAGCCACGTGCGGGCAGATCGCGCTGGTGCCGGGAAGTATGCAGCTGGCCAGCGGAGGAGCTCGCCGCCAGTGTGCGCTCGCCCTGCGGCACGTGACTCGCGTGCTGCGCGCCGCTCACCCGCGCGCGCACATGCGGGCCGTCGTGCAGGTACGGACCACGTCGCCAGTGTGCGCTCGCCCTGCGGCACGTGACTCGCGTGCTGCGCGCCGCTCACCCGCGCGCGCACATGCGGGCCGTCGTGCAGGTACGGACCACGTCGCCAGTGTGCGCTCGCCCTGCGGCACGTGACTCGCGTGCTGCGCGCCGCTCACCCGCGCGCGCACATGCGGGCCGTCGTGCAGGTACGGACCACGTCGCCAGTGTGCGCTCGCCCTGCGGCACGTGACTCGCGTGCTGCGCGCCGCTCACCCGCGCGCGCACATGCGGGCCGTCGTGCAGGTACGGACCACGCCGCCAGTGTGCGCTCGCCCTGCGGCACGTGACTCGCGTGCTGCGCGCCGCTCACCCGCGCGCGCACATGCGGGCCGTCGTGCAGGTACGGACCACGTCGCCAGTGTGCGCTCGCCCTGCGGCACGTGACTCGCGTGCTGCGCGCCGCTCACCCGCGCGCGCACATGCGGGCCGTCGTGCAGGTACGGACCACGTCGCCAGTGTGCGCTCGCCCTGCGGCACGTGACTCGCGTGCTGCGCGCCGCTCACCCGCGCGCGCACATGCGGGCCGTCGTGCAGGTACGGACCACGTCGCCAGTGTGCGCTCGCCCTGCGGCACGTGACTCGCGTGCTGCGCGCCGCTCACCCGCGCGCGCACATGCGGTCCGTCGTGCAGGTACGGACCACGTCGCCAGTGTGCGCTCGCCCTGCGGCACCACTCGCTGTGCTGCGCGCGTCACCGCGCGCGCATGCGGGCCGTCGTGCAGGTTCGGACCACGCCGCCAGTGTGCGCTCGCCCTGCGGCACGTGATGCTAATGCGCGCGCTTATTTTTTTAATTATGTTTCGCCCTATGTTGCGCGTATGTTAATTTATCAGTGTGCGCTCGCCCTGAAAATCAGTAGGTTGTTTATGTAACTAATAGTTACACATGTATTATATAACTCGTAATAAAACTCATCGTCCTGTAGTAATTGGAGTAGATGGAATTTTAGAACGATCGAATGTAATAGCACCTGTTTGTGTGTGTGTGCAGAGCGTGTGCTACACGACGGGCGCGCGCAGCGTGGGCGAGGCGCGGCGGCAGCTGGAGCGGCGCACGGCCGGCGCCATCGTGCAGTACGTGGTCGTGCCCGCCCTCCCGCGCCGCGCCCGCCTCGAGTGGACCGCCTGGGCGCACTCCGACAACAACCGGTTCCACTGTGAGTACCGCCCCACGCTGCGACACACTGCCGCGCCGCGCCCGCCTCGAGTGGACCGCCTGGGCGCACTCCGACAACAACCGGTTCCACTGTGAGTACCGCCCCACGCTGCGACACACTGCCGCGCCGCGCCCGCCTCGAGTGGACCGCCTGGGCGCACTCCGACAACAACCGGTTCCACTGTGAGTACCGCCCCACGCTGCGACACACTGCCGCGCCGCGCGCAGAATCCTACCGGCTTTGGCTAGCCAGGAAGATAAACACAAGCAGTGGAGATGAGCGTTGATGATCACCGGCAAGACACCCGGGTGACAAGTCCCCGGAACTGCTCGGCGTATCCCTCTCTATCAGACGATGGACCCGACCTGTTTGGTGAATCCATAGAATGCTAAGGAGTTCGTTTCAATGATTACGACATCCAATATTTCTTTCATTTTATAACTCCATTTCTATATTAGAGACGAATGTATAATGTAAAAAAAAGTACTAAGTAATATTTTCTGTAATTGTCAAATTATACCATAGTATCTTTAAACGTAACGATAACGGGTTTATAACTTAATTTTGTGTTGCAGATGAAGAGACTGGATGTAATATCGGAGAATACAAAGTGGCGATAACAAGACGATGGAACTATGAAAACACTGTCGCTGCTTTCGTTTGTCATGTAGCCACTGGTAGGTATATTATGACACTAAATATTAATAAAAAAAACGAATTTTCTTGTGATAGATTCACTATTTATAAGCTAAATTAATTGTAATGTTTATTTGTTAAATGATAGATATAACATATATTAAATATCTGTAAAATTTACCAGAGACACTGCAAGGCACTGTTTACATGGTCATAATTATCGGTCAATCTAACTACTGTAAAAATCAGAGCGTCGTCAGCAAACAAAACTATGCCACATCTATATTTGTATATGGTATGAAAATTGTAGGGTTTCAAATTATTACTATTAAATTTTTATTAAGGAAATAAAATGTATATATCCAAAATAAATAAAATTTAATTTGCAATAAACATAGCTCTACACAAGTTAGGATTGTAAATACATTTTCCTATATCATTATGTTTTGCCTCATAAGGCATGTAAAATTGAAAATTATTAATAACTAGCTGGGTTCGCATGGATGTACATTTATTATACATATAATCCTACCTCTTGAATTACTATCTGCTGCTAAAAACTACATAAAAATCTGTTACATAGATAAAAAGATCTAAGCGAATAGACAGCGGCAGCAACTATATTTTGTACTATGTAAATATAATCCCAACGCAGCGTCGTCCCCGTCGACGTGCCAGCTGTCGTTCCCCAGCGAGGAGGCGTGCCAGTCTCACAAGCAGCTCGCATCTCTGATGCGTCGTGAGGACCTTGAAGCCGTGCTCGAGTACGCGCTCAGGAAGCTCCTCAACGACACCAGGGAAACAGAGTCCAGCCCCGCAGTTAAAATGAGAATATTCTATCAGGTATAATAGTAGTATACATATAAATAAATAATATACACACACACACCAACATAGTACAACGTCGTTTGTGCAGCGTCGTTTTCAACAAAATTCTTTACTAGTATTCCCACACGCTGGAACCTACGTGGTCTCGGATAGTGTAGTTTCAGAGGAGCTTCCTCCTGCGTACACTTAGGATTGTGGAATGAACTTCCTGTCAAGGTTTTCACAAGAGACTACAGTATGGGGTTTTTCAAGAAGGGTATATTAAGATTTCTTAAGGGTCAGCAATGCTTGTGTTTCAGGCTGTGGTAACCGTTTACCATCCGATAGGCGATTTGCTTGTTTGCCACCTACGTAGTATAAAAAAAGTAATTTTATTTCAATCGCAGGCGTGGAGTTCTCCAAACGCAGCGGTCCTAGTAGATGCAGTGTCGGCTGTACGCATCCGGATGGGTGTAAGAGCGGCGACTACGCTAGTACCGGTGGCCGCGCTGCATAACGCCTTCACCTTCCTCTCCATCGGAGGCCTGCGGCTCGACGAGTGACGTCACTACACGCGCATGCTGCCAACGCACCCCTTACGGTGTGCTCCTCTATATCCAGCCGCCAGACATAGCTTCAAACATTTGAACACATATTCGAAGAGCCTCCAACAAACATTTGAACAAATATCCCAAACTAAAATACATCTAGCAAATATACTATGCAAACATGTCCAATTACAGTACAGAGGTGTTATGTAACGACGTCGCAATCGTTTCTTATTTTAAACAGATATCCAAAATTTTGCTATTATGTACGATCGTTTGAAACTTTAACTGTCAAATGGTTCGACATAATTGCAAACGTTTGAATCTGATTAAAATAAGAAACGATTGCAACAGCGTCACTACAAGCCCCTTTGCACAAATGAAACAGGCTTTGAACTTTGACATGGGACAAGTGTAGCCCTTTATTTATGAAAAAATACCATTATAATCCCATTTTAACACTTAATGTGTTTAAATCACTTTCTTTCACATAAAATAGAATAAAAGAAAGAGACAACAAACAACTAATATAGGTATATAAAGTTAGCGTTTATACGAATGAATGATGTTTGTTCAAATTTTAAACATACTCAATTCTCAAAATACTTGTGGGTGGTCGAGTGTTTGTAGATATTTGCGTGTTCGAAACTATGTTTGGCGCCGGCTTTAGCGGCCTTGTGGCCCAGCTGCGCGTGTATCGCAACTGATAGGTAAGTGAAATATAAGTTACTATTTTGAAGACATTGTAAAAATTTTGATAGTTATTTTGTATCCTAGAAAATGTATTTGCTGATATATTTTTATTATTACTGTTGCTAGCTTGTTCTTTTGGCTTAATTTGTATTCATATGTGAACGTAGCAGTAGAATCAAACTATGACATTTTAGAAGCTAATATTTTTGAAAATTAATTTTATTTTAATAAATATTATATTCTTTCTCTTCTTATTATAAAGTTTGTAAATTTCGATGGTCGAGGTAATCTCCAATACTACTGATCCGATTTTTTTTTTGTTTCTGGTGCTTGTTGCTATTTACTACTAGCTCATCATCATTTGTTTTAAATTAATAATTTGATATTAGTACCGTACATACTTTCATATACATTTTGTGAAAATTTACAAACACTGTTATTTATTTTTGTATAGATTGTAACTGTTGGTTTTCCCAATTAATAAATCACCCATCTAATGAAAAATAAAAATTGGACATCCTAAAATTTTTGTTATAATTTCTCTCATGGTACTTCTCTTACGTTGGTTTGTCCTTGGTCCTTTGGACTGTTGTCTCTGTCTCCAAAACCAATAATTTCACTCCCGTAATGTCTGAATGTTTGATAGGAACCTTTTATCCAAAAGAACGCTATTCATTTATATCTTTATTATTCTAAATGTAATAATGTAACTTTTTATTGTTTCCAGGTACCCTTCTTATCATATAAGAATACAGATGCTTTATTGCCAGTTTATAAAACATATTTGCTGAATATTTTCAGTGTTTATAAAATTTTGTTAAATAATATGCTACCGAGTTTACCATATTGTAAGTCAAATTATATAAATTATTTTTTATTGCACTCAATAGTTTCATTTAAAATTAATTTCCCATCGCAATAATAAAAAAACCAAGTCTATAATACTCTAAATATTGCCATTTATAATTGTATTTAATTTTCTACACAAAGCTATCTAATTTAAATATGTCATTAATGGTTATTATTGGCGCGAATATACAATTCCTTTACAACATAACAACAAGTTTAATTATGAATTCTTTTTATTTACACCAGAACAAAAGGATAGTACAAACACAAAGTTTAAATTAAATTTATTTTATTTTTTTTACAAAATTGACCGAACAGTGCGAGATTTCTAGAACGTTTACACTTGCATTAAGTAGACATATAGTTATCATTATTCACTTACAAGTAAGTCTTAATCACCTGTGTCAATAAAGCAATGCGAATCGTGGTGTGAGGACACACCAAACCAGTAGTGTACATCGTATAAAAGTTATAACATGATTTGATGAAATACACGGGGACATAAAATTTTATCTTAAATTGTCACTAAGTAAATTACGAATAATAAACCAAAGCACAACTATAAACTAAAAAATTATACAATACAAGTAATCAGTGTTCGATGACGCGACCATCATCGCCTGCACTTATTCATACGCTTCCAATACAATATGTATAATACAATATGCTTCGGGATGATTGCACACAGCAGTGGTTGAGAGACGATAGCGCGCAGATATAATCACTTGCAGGTACAGCGGGGGCGACCCTTGTTACCGTTCTACCTTCCTACCGTCCCACTATCGGTACGTACACGGGTCTCGCCTCGCCCTGGAAGCCACCACCCAACTGGTCGATATTTTAATACTACATTCGTAACACCGTACAATAAATAAATAATTTCTCATCATGAAATAAACATAATTATACTCTGTGTTAAATAATTTATCTGTCCTTTGTATAATAAATCTATAATCATTGGGGTCCGTACGCTTTCCAGAACGACAGTGATTAAATTAGCACATAAAGGTAGCCTATTAGTTTTGTACTTTGAAATTAAGTATGAAATAATCACATGAAATGGAGCTGCTGAATTTCATTCATACAATTAAACTAAACAAATAAATCTTAACATAATCTATGTATACGTGCAACTAATTAATCAACACCATATAAATCGCTCGTTACGGAAACATATCGTCAAACGCACCCAATTCATAAGAAAATTCATGATAGTCTGTCGCCAACGTCACTTTTGTTGTCTCGATGTGGCCACATTCAATATTTCGTCTTTTATCTAACCGTCCTCCTCGAATATTATGTAAAGGGAAACAAAAGGTTGTATACTGGTGTATCCATGTAAAAGTATAACTAATAAATAAATACCTTAATAAGCAAAATTAACAATACTTTAATATTAAACTATATCAAAACAAAATGCGCATTGTATTCGAATCACACGCCCACATTTTATGATTTAATAGAACAATGACAATAACAGAAATTTTCGAGTTACAATCAAATGCATGATTAGGCAGATGTTTAAAATATACACTAAATAATAAACATTTTCACTTTGATAGATCGTTGATTCCCAGTATCAGTTTAACGTCAAACAATAGTTCACTATAACTAAGTTGTAGAGTTCACTCGCGACGAACGCGACGCCTCACTCACACTCACATCGTCCATCTCGTACTTGGTACTTACAAAACAAAACTATTCATATTTAAAATAGATAAAAAAATTGCCCAGCTACCCATATAGTGAAGTTAGTATAAGTTACTGTACATTATACATGTTAGTGACCTGCGTTCTACAGCTATCTATCTAACCACTTTACGATGTTTATTATCATTAAAATCAAACCGTCTACGTCCACTAGGGATATACAATATGCATAATATGTCGACCGCGTCAGTCCACACAATCTTTGACGATCGTATTCATTTCATTGCGTACAAAACGAAGAGTATGCCGCGTGAACATAAGAGACAATACAACTAGTATCTCCTCACTATCCGATAACTTACATGTACATATAGCCTACCAGTTAATCGTTATATTAATCAGATTTATGCAACAGTTTACCTTACAACCGTATTACCGAAGCGAATAAGAGCGTACAAACTAATAACAGCTAGATATATTACACGGTCCAACTATACAGATCGTTCGCACACACTGGCGGCGCTCAGTCGTAGTGGTCTGCGTCTGCGGTTACGTCGGCGTCTGCGTCCACGGTTACGTCGGCGTCTGCGTCCGCGGGTGCGTCGACGTCGGCGTCTGCGTCCGGAGGTGCGTCGGACGCGCGCTCGTCGCCGAGCTGCCGCTGGCGGCTCTCGAGGTACTGCCGGTGCGCGTACTTGTTGAACCGCCGCTTGGCCATGAACAGCGTGGCGATGGTCCTCGGCGCGAGGCGCACGGCTGCGGCGCGCGACGTGATCCCGCCGCGGCGACACTCGCCGCACGTGTAGTCCAGCACGTTCAGACTCGACACCGTTTGCCTAACGCATTCTGCGACAACACACCAACGTTACACACCGCACGCTCCCGCTCGAGCCCGTCTGCGACACTACCAGGCGCATGCATATCGGTAATACCTATTCGTCATTGCAGTTGGATATCTGTGTCTTTCAACTGCGAATACCCATCCAGTCCCATTAATGGAGATGTGACACATTTGTCCTCTACATAAATGGCAAACAAATCTATCGATAGATACTTCCGTGATCAATCTCTAGCAGTTTATTATCCCAGCATCGAAAACATAAGGGAAACTGTCCTCTCTTATGCCATATAATAAAATTAAACAAGACATGAAATTCAAAGTTCTTATTCATGCCGTATATAAATCTGAAACGTATCTAAAAATAGAATTGTTTGTCCTTTAAAAAGGAGGTTACTATGTTCAAAATATAATTATTAATTTGACAAGTTCCACAGTTCATAGTAGGCTTGTCCGCAGCCGGGCTCGACTGACATTCCACCTAGAGCCGATAGATACAATTCATGACACACACAAATCATACTCCTCAAGGGTCCCCTGTTGGTATTGACTATAAATTTCCAGCGTCATCTACCGTCTAACGATGCATTCGTTACTGTGTATATACATCATGCGTCACTTACACGCTCTCTAAAACACAACTAACAGAGACAAGCTTCCTATATATATTCCTGGGTATATATTATACTGATCTATATTTGTATATCCAATGTGCAGGCTTCGATCTTCTAATCAGTTCAGAAATCTGGCAAACAGTGTTGCGTGACAAATGCAAACAGAATATAAGCGAGGTAATGCTAAGTTGGAATACGAATAAATAATGCTTATTATATATAAAAAACTATGATAATGAAGTATAATGTAACATGCAGAGTAATGGAAAATCAAGCAAAGCGCGCAAAATGCGAGGATTCCATAAGTGTTGCCAACATTTTAAATTAAAGGAAAAATATCATCCTCCGGTAAAATGCAAGCGAGGGATTTTTTTTTTTGGATACAGAACGGCCAAGAAAAATTATAATTGTCAACATGGTTGTTATTTTATATATAAACAATATATTTGATACTTTTTACATAAATAGTATATTTCAATTCATGTCGTAGACTATATTTAAACTTACCTTTGCCTTTTAAAAGTATTTAAAAAGGCATGTATAATAACTTAATGTCAACAAGTGAAATTCGGAACACATTAATCAGGAATAAAATGTGTTTTGCATAAATGTTCAACAATTGCTATAAATTGTGGTGAAACTTATATTTGCCATTCTATATCCTCATGTCAAAAAATAAATAGAGGGTCGCTTCGCCGCCAGAGATTGGACTAAATTATAATAATCAATTTTACATTTAAAGTGCAACTAGTTCAAACTCTGACAGCGATAAATAAGTAGAGTCATTTCAGATATACTGGCAAGTCGCATTTATTGTTCCATTTTTAAATTACGAATACCAGTAGTGCAGTTCGCGGCAAGTAACTTGAACAAAAGACTATAAATAAATAATCATAGACAATTTGCTCAAAAGTTACACGATTAATGTTCAAATTACTTGCGGATTTACCGTTGCGTACAGTCTGTTTCATAAATATGTATACAAGACTTAATAATGGTCAATATGTCAACTGCACAGCTTCAAATGTGTAGTCTATTTTACTGTTTAAATTGACATGGTTTTATATAACTATCAAGTAACAATACCATGATAATTGTGATTTCTAAAATATTACTGACCATTCTTTGTGCACATATATGAAGCTGACTGTACAAGGTATATCACAACAATGCAGATCGCAGATTTATGTTTCTCTTCAAACATAAAATAACGCGTAAAACTTATTATCATTTACCTCTCTCAAAGGCCTATTACATGGACAATTTAGTTAGCTATCCTAAACAACTAGCTAAACAATTATTGTTGCTAAAATAAATATCAATAATTGCTCGACACTACGATATTTTAAAAACTCTATAGTTTCCGGCAATTATTAGAAAAAAAAAGTGCCCATATAAAAGTACCTATAGAGAGAAATATCAATATATCGTTTGTATTGCAATCTTCATTGTCTTAAAGCTTGTTCGATCAGATACATAGAACAAGAAGAAGTCAAGAGGAAACTTTAAGTACATCAAAAGTGAAGGCACTTTTCTATAAATGTACGATGATATTAGAAACGTGCTGTATATTTTATATTTATTTTGTTAAGTAGAAGTATGCAAAAGAAAATAGACACGCGAAAGAATATTGAACTTAATTATATCAGGTTAATATATACAATATATCACAGAATTCTTAATGTAGTGACGATACATGAATGTGAAATTATGTATTTTTTAATATTTAACAAATAAATTTGGAGTGCATGAAATGCTTTTAACTTGCATTATATTTGTGTTAAAAAAGTAAATTGACATTGAATTTGACACGTGTCAAAACAAGCACGTTTGTAATGAGAAACAAAACGTAAACAAGTTTCTTTCGTTTCGTATTCGTTCGACAATAGATTTGCTTTATTATTAAAGTACATAAGCACTGTAAACGAGTGCGTTCGTTCGACCATAGTGTAGCCGCTTCACTTCTAATGTACATAACGCTCCGTCTTGACTCATTCCTCGCTCTGCGGTTGTACACGACAACGTGCCAGTATTCGTAAACGACTCCGCCGTAAGCGGTTGCGTTGCACACGTTCGATGGCATGACGTACCTTGATGCAGTTGCCTATCGCAGAGCTTACAAATGACGAGCTGCATTGTCCCCTTGGGGCCGATGAAGGAGCGCTCGCACAGCGGGCAGTAGCGACCGATGCGATACGCCCTACACACGTACGTACACACATACGGACCGTACGCGCACAAGCACCGGAACACAGAAACACGCTATTAGTATCAAAACGAGACGCTACACGTCGGACGGTCTCGCTCTAGTCTCGTCTCGTCTCACACCTTACACGTTACTACTTCTCTTCTAGGCTCATGTACGTGTGCTCGTGAGTCATGTTATGAATGTATGTATAAATTTTGTGAATTACGTGTATATGTATTATATTAAAGTTGAAGATTATTATTAAATTTATGGAAGAAATTTATAGAAGGAAAATAAATAAAAGTGGATCGAGTGAAAATTAAATATAAGAGTGTATAATGATTTTATAGATTAAGTATATATCTTCAAAAGGTTGATAAATTATATGTATTGTGTTCAATATTTCATAAATATGGTTAGTTATTCTGATAATTAACAATCTAGATTGACTATTTATGATATCAAAATCCATAACCTTTCTGGAAGGCTGATGAGCTCAGTATCCGACATAGATACATTACTACAGAATTTAGAAAAATAAGCTACATTAATAAAAGTAAAATTATTTTATATTAAATCATGTAAGTTATGTAATATTCATTGTATTTGTAAATTGGCGTACCACAGTGTTATATCAATAAATAGATTAGGGTTTTATATATGTGTATAATTATATGTTGGAGCCAGAAGACAAGTAATAAAACGTATGATGTTAGTGATCGCAACTGGAAACATTTGTCGGTTTACTACGCCCGTGTTAGTCATTAGATGTGATGATGGGTTACGGTTAGTTTCGAATATAAACTCCAATGATGAATGATGTCGACACCGATTCTCATTGATGACAACATTGAGGCAATAACTCCGTGATTGGAACAAAAAGCAAAGTACCCAAGGTTTTAAAGACATATTAAACGGTCTCGTTGATTAGAGGCTGGAATATCACCATTTTTTAGATATATTCTGTATATTTAATAATTAATTATATTTTTATGTGACTATTATTTATTTAACAAAAGTAATACAAAGTTAGTCCGTCAGTCCCATCTATTTCATAATATATTCAAAATGGTTTAAATAATTTAACAATTAATAAAATCATTATGTGGTGTTTAACAAATCAAATGTCAAAATGATATGCATTTAATTTGCTGAGCATTACAGAAAAGTTTACAGCCAAAAAAGTACATTACAAATTTAATTTAATTTTGTATGTTTTAGTATAATAAAAAAAAACTATTGAGCAGCAAATGACGTCATGTCAATTACATGTCGAATCTGTATTAAAAATATTAAACTGTGTTAATATTCCAACCCCTTTGTAACTGTGTAATACCAACTATCTAAATGTATTACATTAATTTAAATTAATCAAGGAATAAAATTACCAGAAAAAAAAAACGAACAGTAAAGTTTGTTATATGGGAAATTCATAGGCCAATAGTTGGTGCTATTTTTACATAATGGTGCTGTTATTTTGACAGAATTTTTTTAGATGTCAAGCCCTCAACCGGTGTGAAGACTAGTGTCCACTTTGCTGTTCTGTTCTAATGAAGATTGCTTGCTCACAATATTCATTATTTATTTACATATAAGTAATAAGTATTAGTCACAGACATATGAGCAAACATCCATCACATAAGAGTTTATACAGGTATGGCAACATTTGTATTACCTGTCAAAATTACATAATTAAACATTATACAACACAATTCTATAAAGAAATTACGCAATACAATGATATTTTAAAATTCACGTGCTAATTTGTTTGAAATTGCATGTATGATTTGGTAATCATCAAGTCAAGATTATGGAAATCATTGTTTTTAATTATAATTTTATGAAGGATGACACAAAATACAAATAATGTCAAAGCACAGTATAAACTCTCGTAAGTGGTAGGCTAATAAAAACTTATATTATGGGATATGTAGCATGCAACTTATCGTTAAGGGGGTGTGCTGAGTAAGAACGCTTTGGGGCATAGAGTAAACATTCTGCGGGGGCCAAAATGCTACGAGATACCAGAGACAAAGCGGATGTCGACAGAGTGAAGGCAGACGTCGAGACACAATGATCAGCTCGTGTTAGTCCACATCAAACACGCATATGAGATGACGTGAGTATACAAGAACTACCAAGACCAATTACTTAAACAAATGACACATAAAATCATCGAAAAGACTTTGTAAAAACTTTGTACTTTTCACTGCGTCCATCGCTTTATATTCTTCTTGCTATCGAACTAAACGTTGTTCACGTTTTGACGTGGCCCCTCTTGGATTTACTTGAAAACAATACGGAATGTCACGTTTAATATGTTTGTTGGGTGATTCCGTACGTCGCTGCTGTGCCATGATAGAGCACCTCCACATCATTATAAAGTGTTTTGTCCCTCTCACTCACAAAAGGTAGCTAATTTGTAAAGTACAATAGATTCTTCATATTGCTTATTACTGTGTACATCACTAAAATAAGTCACTTATTAGTGGACAAATTCCCTATATAAATTACTGACACTTTAATGAAGAACCCAATGTGTAATAAACATAATAAATACATTGTTTATGCATTTTTATTGTAGAAAAAAATATATAGTCTATATGGTCCTCAGCTTGAACATAGTCTTCTAGGGGATTTTGAGTTTGCTAAATATAGAAAGGTCACAATACCACTTTCAAATAAATACCTATTATACTAGTATTATATCGTGAAATGTACAGAATCTCTTTGCAGAAAATTAAACTAGATATTTCTTAGAAATGTGGCATATCATTGTAATTAAATTATCGATGTAGTTATACAAAAAATATATTAGCAACGTGAATAATTATTTAGGATTTTAAATAAATATATATTTACCGAGATTCTAGAAATGTGCATACTATATTGCATTTATTTAATTACACAATTTATTCCTATTAACATAGCCTGTTATTTATTACCAGGCTATGTTGAGAATACACACTATTTACAACCACCTTAAAAACAGAAGAAAGTTCTCAATTCGATTGTTTTCTGTTACTGAACTTCTCTAGGTGAACCAATTTTAATTTTTTTCATTTAATTTATTAAGTTACGCCCTTATTGTCCATAGACTAAAGGTCCATATTTTTTATTTGTTGACTTCTATGGTTCTATATACATTTGATCATGATCTCACCAGTAGTTTTTGAGTTAGTTCTTTTATTAGTCGTCAATAATGCATATCTGCAGTCTATTTTAACATTTACATATGTGTTACATTTTAATCAACGTTGTAATATTAATCAGTTGTATTAAGATACCAGAACTACAGAAATGTGACAGGGTTTATCAGTTCTGAAATAATTTCAAGGTATGTAGAACAGGGAATAACTTCATATTCAATATTATTTCAAGTTATTCAGATAGGTACATTTCTAGAAGTAGATATTTTTTCATTATATTATTGTATTCCAAATTTTTAAAAGTTATAATAATTGTCAAATATACAAGTAAAACGGCAAAATTATTCACGCTGTTTTTCAAAGATAAAGAAAGCATACCACTATTCTGATTACTACACTATTTTGAATAATCTAAAATAAATATATATATTCAGAATAACTACAAATAATGTTAATTTTAGAATAAGATGTCATATAAAATATTGATATGCTTTCAATAAAAAAAACTCGTATATAACTTTGTAGAAAGTTGCGCAAGGGAATTTAATGTAATTTCTATTATAGTTTATAACTTTATAGCCAATGTTCTTAATTTATAAAGAAAACAGCATAATTATTGATTTTTCAATGTTGCAAGATATTACATTTACAATTAGCACTAAAGTGTTACAAATTTGTATAAAATATCATTCATTCAAAGGCTAGACAGAATATTCACATTAATTCCTGTACTGTAGGTAACTCAACTCATGAAATGTATGAATTATGCTTATTTTCTTAGTGGAGCGGTAAAGTAGACTGTGAGTAGTGACATACATATGGATAAAATGTTTTATAGAATGATAATACATACATACTTATCCACAGACATTTTGGTTTTATATTACATGACTGTTTCGCTTTTATAGTATATTGTCAAAAGTTTGCAATGGGTAATATTTGGTTTGCTCAATACTATCAATTGATTCATCAATCAATCGATTCGATTCGTATCGAATCATTGATGAATTTATTAATTGAGATAATAGTAAATATAAATAATGTATAAATACATGTAGTTAGTAAAAAAAAAATATAACTTTACATTTTATATTGTATTGGATTTTGTACTCTCCAAGATACTAATAATTCAATTACTCACTTAAAACATTGATATATCATATTTGAATTAATTGTAGCAAATTTTAACATACTGTCATATAAATACACTATATTATTATCTCAAATCACCGTACCAAGGTTAAATTCACTTTCTTTGACTTCCACAATACAAACAGCCATTGGGCTGTCTGTATCGTGAAGTCATAGATAAACTACTAAACTAAATATTCCGTAAAAGTTATTTTATTATATTATTTTTCACTAATTAACTGCTTAGCTTATATTTAAATATCATATAAATAATTGTAAGGGGCAAAAAGCAGTAACAGCAATTGTAAACCTTCCACAAAGACCAAAAAGGCGAAACTCGTCAACTAAATTAAAAACCAAATCAGTTGAATAATTACACATGTTTCATCTATAAAAACGTATTTAAAGTTGCACTAAAGGGCAACAATCACCGGTATGAACAACAACTTTATAGTCTGTTTTTTTACCTCGCAGATAAATTTGACATTATCTATGTTGCCAGTTATTTGCAATTTTTAAATAGGGTTGTGGTACAACATTTCCGTTGTATTAAAATAGATTTATTTTAATTGACAAATGTTTCACTAAAACAAAGATTAACTTCCTTTTTAAAATGTTAGCTGTTTGAAAGAAAAAAAATTTAAGTTATATACTGTAAAAATTACTATATGTACGGAAACCGTAAATATAATACAATGAGAGTAATGTAAATACTAGCATTACATACACTAGTATACGTACGTAAAAAATATGTTGTAAAACTTCCCATAAAGCTTTAAAACTAATACTTTAACTACGTAAAAACTTTCGATTAAAGAAATCGGTATCACAGGTATATCGCTACAGGTGTCAACATTATTTAAAAATTTGACATTTACACTTGTCTGTTTAGTCTCCGAGATTAAGAAACAGATTATATTAGGAGTGTGCGCGCGTGTGTGTGTGTGGTTCCCCGGCGCAACGTGCGGGCCCGCCCCGGGCGTGGGGTACTGACCTGGCGCAGGGCGTGCACAGCGAGTGCGAGTAGAGCTTGTGTCCGCCGGGCCCGCGCCGCGTCTGGTGGTGCCACTCGGCCTCCGCCCCCGCCGCCCCCGGCCCCGCCTCCCCCGCGGAGCCCCCGCCCGGGCCGCCGGGCTCCCGCGCGCCGCACGACTTGCAAATTGCACACTCGGCGCAGTGCCACCGCCCTGCAAATCATACATTTCATATGTTTCAGTTGAAAGTTTACTACTTTATTGCCCGTTTTTCTAATATTGTATAATATATGCATAGTTTGATTTATGCCCTGTTTATTTACTTAAGATAAATTACAAATCATAATGTACTTTCCAAACCAGATGAGGTAGTCAGAGACAGTTATCGATGTCGAGATATCGAAAGGTGACAAGATACGAACTTAGAGTCGTCTCACTTATTAGGTGTAAATCAAGACAGTAACTACTAAGGATTTTATAGTAATATTTCCTATACATCACAATAACATAGAATATAATTTAAAAATATATGTAAAGTGGACAAAATATTATGATAAATGTCAAGTAAGTGTGATACAGATGAAGTTGTGCAGGTCAATAATTTACTAAAATATATAATAATAATAATAAAGACATTTATTTAGCATTACATCAACCTTTGTATTTAGAATGTTTCCTATCTAACTTAAAATCCATAACATACTGGTAACGCTAAATGCGATTTGCACTCATCATTTATACTGTAATATACTGTAGTATAACTGGACGATACCACAGGAAACTTTTAGTGGTGCCACCAGAGAGAAGTACAATTAAATAAGGTATAAACCTGTGGTGGGCGCGGCCCGGCCGAGGCAGGGCGCGTGGTAGACGCGGTCGCACAGCTCGCACACGACATTGGCCGCGGTGCCGGCCGAGACTACTGCCGTCGCTCCGCACGCAGCACACAGCTTGCAGCCCGCGCACTGCCACGCGTACTCACGCGCCCGTCGCGCGCTCCACGCCGACAGCGACACGCATGCAGCGTGCTCTGTACACATACATTTATATATACATAACTAGCTGACCACTGAAAACCTTGTACCACTTTTCTGAAAATTATTATTGAGGGAAAAATAAAAGGAAAAAGGGAAAAAGGCACAGCTACATCAAGCAAATTAAAGACAAAATTGGAGTCGTGTAAAGGGGTGATAAAAATTCGTGGGAAATTGGCAAGAGCTCTGTCTGAGAGACTGACAAGAATGTGGCTCTTAAATTACCAATGAATGAGAGGCAAGAGCGTGGTTACTAAATTATAAATGAATGAATGTGAGGCTACTCACGCTTGGAGTTGCAGGTAGCGCAGACGAGGAACCTCTCGTGCGTGTACTTCCGGTTGGCCTCCAGCCTCAGCTTGCACACGCGACACGTTTCCTCCTCTTCTCGCGACTCTTCCTTCACCGTATTGTCCTTGTCCTTGTCCTTGCTGTCCGGTTGACTGCTTCGCTTCACCTTCGTGAGCTTTTTCCGCTGAATTACATTACATTGCTTATGTAGATTTTTATGGCAATTATTTTACTATCATTATTTATGAGTCTTTGGTTACTACAATATATTAGTGAAAGGACACATCCGCGTAAAAAAATAAAACGTATGATTACACAGTACAGATAAAGCTCGGGTGTATATTATCATTATGGTTAGAACAATACCCTGGTTTCCTTTACCGGCCACGGACTGTATTAACATAGAGCGGGTGAGAGGAATACATATATGTTAGGTTGACATCCACGTAGTTCCCCCTGGATACCATCGTGATACATTCCTGGTAAATTTGCCGTGATGGGCTAACAGACATGACCTCATATTCATATTCATCTTATCGTCCCTCGCCACCGTAAACCGATAGCGTAGGCAAGTGCGTCATGCCATTGTCATCTACAGTAGAAGATTCCTTATTCGCGCTTCCTTCATTCGCGGATTAAAAAATTGCGACCGAATTCCTATATTCGCGGCTAAAAATATCTTTATTATAAAATGGTATCGCCGAGGACTTCGCGTAAGTTGGTTTCGCCACGATCGGTGTTTTTAAAAATGTTAACAAACAGAATGAAAGCGTATCAATTGTAGTCTGATTTGTAGGATCCTTTAAATGCCAGAGAAAATAACAAAATTCTTCAAAACTTCGATAGTTAATAAAAATTTTTATATACTTGTTTTTTTTTGTCACCCAGGAACGTATCCCCTATAATTCCATATAAATTATCATTCTGTATTCACGGTTTCTGTATTCGGCATATGCGGCATTATACTAGCTGTACACGCGACTTCGTGTGGATTTTAACTTTATTTTTCTAAAAATAGCCTAAGTTACTCTTATTACATCAGCTACTTGCTAATAAGTCTCGTTAAAGATTTGCCAGCTATTTCAGACATTACAAACAAACAGACAGACAGGCACATTCAAAATAATAAAAAAATGTTATTTGTGAATATGTACTGTATTTATATACATACGCATGTAGTAAAAACGGTTATTTCAATGTTACAAACAGACACTCCAATTTTATTTACATGTATAGATAATACCATTATCATATCCTTAAGAAAATAAGGTTAAGGGTCGGAGATAAAGACATGGACAGCGATAGTAGGGACGTATAGTGGTGATAATCTACTTATTAATTTTATTTATTTATTTATATCTTATACACCATCATCACAGGCATATGCCCAATACAACAGTGCATCCAATATTATAACACCGGTTTGGTATCATATCATATAAAATACAATGCCGTCCTTGTCTCCGTTCCCTCTGCTACTCGATTGGGAGCGGTCAGTGCGTGCGTCAGTGGTGCTTTCATTAATAAATTAGTCCTTTTATTTATATGTATAGAAGTATAGATATACCCCTCGAACAAAGAACTTCTACTGTCCTAAAAAAAAAAGTCGGTGCGTACCTTCGCGGCGTGGTGGTGCGCGTGGGGCCTGGAGTCGGAGTCGTCGGCGCTGTCGCTGCGGTCGGGCCAGTCGTCGTCGTCGGAGCTGGCGGCGCGCGGCCGCGGGCCCCGCGCGCCCCGCGCCCCGCGCGCCCCGCGGGCCCCGCGCGCCCGCGCCGCCGGCCACGCCGCGCACACCGCCGTGCTCAACGGGAAGTACCTGCACCCACCGCATTACACAGTAACAACCGCCCGATACATAGACAGAGATAGAACATGATGGAGGTACCTGTACGCACCACATTACACAGTAACAACTGCCTGATAGACAGAGATAGAAAGTGTTGGAAGAGTTGATTACACCATAACAATTAGAGACATAGAGAGAGATAGAAAATAGTTGGAGAACCCTTGCCAATTAGTGGCATACAGATGATGGGCATTAGAAAAAACTATTTTGTTTTAATTAAGAATTATATTATATTATTTATACCATATGTAATGTGACCAACTATTTTTTATCCAAAAATTGCGAAAAAAGTTCAAAAAGTGAGTTCACTTTGCGAATATTTCTTAAGTGAAACATTAAAAGAAAAAACAATAAAATCTTTATTTCCTATATAAAAACATATTTTTCTTTGGAATGGACTTTTTTGTACTAAATGAGGATGTTCGTCTAGTAATTGTAGCTACATCCGAACAACTTTTATTTTGCATATTAAATTTAACTGTTAAGACAGCAGATAATGTTTTTAGAGAAAGTTATTACTTCTCATTGCTCCAATAATCATTCTCTAGTGAAAATAACCGTGCAACAGCAGCTAGTGCCTGGACAACATAAGGAAATTTCTATTAAAACTTTAAACTTTTCATCTGGAATATGTTCTACTCTAAAATGCGTACAGATTTCTTCCCATGTTTTATCAAGTTCTATTTTGTCATCATTCCATTTCTTCAATTTTTTAAAATACTAATGAGTACTTTCAGAGTACGGTTTGCGAAAAAAAGAGTATGAAACTCAGTAAATGAGTATAGTTGGTCACTTTAAACACACTACACACACTAATGGAACCAATGGCCAAAATACATATTCTATTCATTCAACTATGCAATTTTAACAACTCTAAATATTTGTTATTCGTATTAACTATAAGTAACTTCATGTAAAATAAATTAAAGGATCCAAAACCGATATCAATATGAATATATTTAAATTGTATTACATGTCATAAAAATTCAACTAAAATTGATCAAATTGTTAACATTACTTGACATTATCACATAGGGAGCAAGCAATAAGACAGTACAAAAATGTGTAGTGTGACCGACCTGAGCTGGTCGGGCGTGTAGACGCGATACGAGTGCTGGTACTGGCCCGGCAGCAGCGCGTGCGGGTAGAAGCCGGCGGGCGGGCAGACGCGCGGTTGTAGCGCGGCGTGCGTTGCAGACGGGCCGGCGGGCGCGGGTGCGGGTGCAGGCCGGCGGCGCTGCACGGTGAGCGACTGCAGGTCGGCGCACGCGGGCCGCCGCAGCGCGTTCAGCCGCGCGTTCCACTCGCTCGCGGACGCGATCGCCGCCGCCGCCATGTCCTGACACGCGCGTCACGGTTACATACCGATTATTAACTAACACTATGTAAGCTTTGACCTTAATAATAAACTAATATTAATTAAAACGAAATATCTCCTTTGGAAAGTTTACACTCTTTCCCGAGGAGATGAAAACCATCGCTCTTAAGAATGTCCTTCAATTATTGTCCCTGACGGGTCTAGGGTAACTTTGAAAAAGAGCGAGCATCGATAGATCTATGCAGATCGCAGTGCTACAGGTGCAACAAACATCTGATAATAGCCCAAACAATTCGATAAAAAAAAATTATTATAAACGCGAAAGTTTGTGACTATGGATGTTTGTTACTCTTTCACGCAAAAACTAAAACGGATTTTGATGAAACTTTACAGTTGCAGCTTCTGCATCAGAATAACATATAAGATATATTTTTTATTGAAATTTAACACGGACGAAACCGTGGGCACAGCTTGGTATCTATAACTCTGTTGTATCATAATTAATGTCATGGAATCAACAGTTTATACTTTTTAAACGTACAATGTAAAATTCAAATATAACATGATAACTGTTACATATGCAGTGCACAGCCCTAAACAAAACAGCTGAAGAGCAGAACTTACAAGTGCCGAGAAATGAACGAGGCCGCAAGTCACAATTTCAACAAAGCAATTGAATAGTTATAATTGGAATATTGTTAATTTCATATCAAATCTATAAAATGTTGACTACATTCTTGTGGCAACTGTGGGTTACATTACGTCTTCTAGGGTACATTCGTTCTAGCATCGAAAGGTGTCACCCATTATACTTATAATTAGTAAATTAGTAGTATTTAAGTATTGATCATTTGGTTTAATTATGCCGTTGGTTGCGAATACTGTAATTCACTTGTAATAGTTCTGTCAACACTGGGCACCGTTCCGTTTGCATACATCTGCATATAACGCTCTTTAAATTCAGTGTAAAACCAGTCCGCATTCCGACTCCGCGTTGAGTGTTCGAGTTTCTAATAAGTCACGTGGCACACGTAACAATTTAGTTCAATTATTACACCTGTATACTCACTACCTAGATTCTACAAGAAACAAATTAATTAAGTAGTGACACCTCATCATATCATGTATAACGCTACAGTGGTGAGGTGATAACCATGTCGTATAGAGAAAGAGAAAGAATGCGCGCAGCGCGACCATCACATATACCCGCATTCCTTAAGCGTAAGTGCTTTAACGACTTTTTATTATAATTAACTATTTGCAAAATAGGGAACATTAAATTAAATATTATCTTGCCATTATTTGTCCATAGGTTTTACCACCAAATAAAAGATATTTTAAATATATGCACTGTTGCAAAACAAAAAGATTTTCATTCTCAACACCTGTCCTGGCCAAATTCAAATATATAAAAATATTACATACCTGTCTAGTTTTCTCCGGATCAACCTTAGGTGGGTCCGGTTTTTCAACTGCTTTAGATTCTATTTTCATTTCAATTTTCTCAGCCTTTTCTTCAGAAACATCCTTCTTGTCTTCCTCAACTATAGGTTCGGTGCTCGTTAACTGCCTCTCCCGTTGGTGACACCGGTACTCCTCATACTTATGAGGGTAGTCTGACAACATTATATCAAGCACCTCACTGGCGTCGACCGCTGTTATTCCTGTTCGTATAAACATCATGAAATTAAATAAATAAAACATTTATTTCCATAGAATGTGGTGTGTACAATGGTATAATAGAATCCGTGCATTTACTTTCACACATTCCGTCGATATGTGAAGACATGCATTTTATATTCATAATTATGCTTCTGTAAATCTTATTAATATTATAAACCCGACAGTTCGTAAATATGGGTGTTTCTTACTCTTTCACGCAAAAACTAAAACGAAAAGGCCACTAAGTGAAGGATACGGGACTTGATGGCTTTAATATACTCATAAGTTAGTTTTTATATGTAATTTGAAAGACTAACAAGCTGCCGATGATGGTAAGTGGTAACTATCGCCTATAGGCATGAACATCACATTGTCATATGACACACGTGATACCACTGCGTTGCTAATCCGCAGGGCAGAATGTTATGCCTCTTATCCTGTAATTTCCCTGAATTATCTCACTCTTTATGCGAATCACAACGTAGCTATATATATAGCGGCTGAAATAAGTGAGACTGTACTCGACAGACAACTTTTTAGAAATTCTACATCAGTATTAAATTCAGCATAAGGAGATACAAAACGATAGTTATATACAAAAATTCCAGTATTAACACAATGTAAATTATTAATACTAAAAAAATCGATTTCAATAACATTCAAATAAGCATGCTAGACTCACCAAGATCACAAAGGGCCTCCGTGACGAGTCCCTTCCTGAGTACGTATTCCCGTTCATCACCAGTTATTGTGCGCCGTTTTAATTCTGGGTAGCGGCGCTTGAAACTCTTCACGCCGAGGAACATCGCCACCTGCTCCTGGATCATCATCACCTGCAATATAAGCAAGAATGGTGATGATAATATTCGCACTGAAAGGTTTATTCATGGCAAAATTAGACAAATGTGATATACTGAGAAAGAAAAATTAAATATATTTTTTATGTAAATAATAAACAAACTGATGTCCTTTTTGATGGTGTGTGGCAATCGTCAGCTATATATATATCAACAATATCACAAAAATATTTTTAAACTTTCGGTTAATAAATAAAATCATAAAGATTACTATTTACAAAACAATATTATATTTACTATTTAAAAAACAATATTATAATGTAAACGATTATTTAAATGATATATTTTAGTAAAACACCCAGACCGATACAAACAATCATACTCATGAATACAAATGTTTGTGCCGTGCGAGGAATCGAACCCGCGACCATCGGTCGTAAATCGGTGTGCTAGACCGCTAGACCACCGAGGTCGTCAATAATATTCAATTATATGTTATAACTAGTTATGATAATAATTATGTTATGTTTGCGTGCCGTAACAGGGTCCATAATGATCTAAAACAAATTATAAAAACTTTCATTGTAATATTATGGAATGCAATAAATATTGAGTATTGAGTATTAAGATACAGAAGAGATCTGTTCTCTAAACGAATGTTTGGCGCCCGTTGTATACGTTATGTGTGCCACTCCTGAGGACCTATCATTAGCATTCACACAAAATCTTAAAAATGTAAAGCTGACAAAACATTTTTTTAAAAGACACGGCGGAAGTTGCTTTCTATTATAGCATAGCGCTGACAATGTTATTTGATTGAACAGAGATTAAGTGCGTAGCGGTTTCTATGTTGATTGTCGCATGCCTAATCCTTGTTGTTAATTAAATATAAGTAAATCAATATTTATTTAAAAGAGCAACACACAAGTTTCTTGCTCATTCTTCTTGTGATGAGTCTGCGTTCCTATGAGTGGTAGAATAAAAAATATTACTATTCAAAAGTCGCTTATTTTAAGTTTATTTGAATAAAAAATATTTCTATTAGACTCTGTTCCTAGATTCAATGTCATATTACACCCTTTGTACTGAAATACAGCATTTAAAAAAACCTGTTTGGCAGCAGAAATATGTGCAAAAGTAATACCTACGTAAATGACTTTCTTTCACTCTCACTTTAAAAAATAATGAAATGGTCGATCAAGGATACTGGGCAGCTGCCAGATCTTTTAAATTACACTGTTGCAGTGGTCTACAGACAACATTTTAACTACGTGGCGTTTATGAAGTGTGTGTTTACTTCTTATCAGTATTATGTTACGGCAATATGTTTATTTCACATTTATTTTACGGCCTCGGTGGTCTTGCGGTTTAGCACGGCGCTCTACTTCCGATGGTCGCGGATTCGATTCCTCGCACGGTATAAACATTTATATTCATAAGGGTGGATGTTTGTATTACCCTGGAAGTTTTCTATCTACATTATGAATTTAAAAAAATATATCTATGTATTCAATGTTAGTTGTCTAGTATTTATAATACAATATGTCGTGCTGGGGGGAAGGTGATTGTTAGTAATGTGGACTCATGACTCCATTAATATCAATGTACCATATCAGGTTGACCTCCACGCGGTCCCCCTGGAAACCATCGTGATAAATTCCTGCTGAATTTGTCACGATGGGCTAACTGACCTGACCTCATGCTCATCTTATCATCCTCCGCTGGTGTAAACCGTTAGCGCAGACGGGTGCAACATTCCATTATTATAAAAAAAAATAGTCGTGCTTCAATACATATTGTATAATAGATACTAGACAACTAACATTGAATGCTAGCGTTCTTCAAACTGTTCTTATATTTACACGTAAACACGACATGCTTTGTGTTACAACATTATATTGCTACGATTACATAGTGATAATATTGTATTTTTTATTATTAAAGAGTTTGGGCTATTACTCTACTACTGCAACCTACATAGATAGAAAAGGCCATAAAGCCCTTTTATTGGAGTTCGCTGCCTAGGTCCTTCATAGACAAGAACTGAAGAACATTCTTACGAGCGATGGTTTTATCTTTTCAGGATAGAGTGCATACATTTCAAAGGAGATATTTCGTTTATGCATGAGTGGGCTACAGCCACATATGTAGAGGTGTTTACTACTATTCCTGCTTCCTACTTCATGTAGACACATTTTCTTAGTTCATAAGATGATATTGTAACATATAGACTAAACTGACCTGAGGTTCTTCACTGGCTTTTTCGGGGTCTGGCCACATGTACTCTTTTACATCGGCAGCCGTCCACACTTTATTACTGCAACAATAACAATGTATTTAATAAATATTTTTTCAATGTAAATACAACCCGGTGTACAAGTTCTTAGTAAATCAAATTTATATTAAATTAATTGTAACATGCGTCTTTGTATATATTTTTTAAAGGAATAAATAGCCTTTGTCAATCTTACTCAAACAAAATATGTTTTCCATAAAAGTTTATTAAGATCCTTTCAGCTGTTTACTTTTGAAAAGGTGAAAGTAAAATATTAGTAGATATTAATGTGTGTTCTTTACGTTTACTAATGAATATCCTGCGATATCCTGCCTTAATACAATTAAATTGTTGAAGGAAATTTGTCGAAATATGACACAAATTGTATCTTCTATGTAATTCGATTTGTCACGAAAACAGACAAACTGTGAGTTAGAATAATATGTAACTAACAAAATGATTTAAACATACTGACAAATATAACTAAGAGACATATAAAATATAAACAAAATCATTTATAATAAATTATAACAAATCATAATTTTATTTAACAGATATAAGTTGCAATAAAAATAGATCAAAATAATAGTTAAAACGTGTTATAATTATAATTTTATATAACACAAATCCAAATTAATATATAATTGCTTACCTATCAAACAAATCGGCAAACTTTGATTTTTTCATTTTACTGCTCTCATTCGTTGAACTTTTGACTGAACTCTGCGAATCTTCATCCAGCAAGTGTGCAGGTCTGTAAAGAAATTAAAGAAAAAATGTTAAACATCGCAAAATATTATTAAATCAAAAATTGATGATATGTGTAAGAGTAATTCGGATGACTGTACTGCAACTCACTTGGCGGGCGTCGCATTGTCATCCATCATACACGTTTCTTCCTCAAATAGTTGGACCGTCGTGGTTGCCGGGCCACACACTCGTCCATATATTCCCAAGGTTTCCTGGAAAGTAAAACAGTATTTGCATATTTCTTTGTGTATATAAAGACAATGTTTAAATAATTATTCGACATGATGCCCACGACTACCTTTTACCATCGCACCGTTAGCCATCGACAGGGAATTCATACACGCTGGAACATCGGTCAAGGACAGTTGGCATATGCGATCTTAATGTTCATAGGCTTATACCACTTAACATCAGATGGGCCCTAATTTTTGTCATTCCAATTACATAGAAAAACTAAGACATCAGAATCATCGGCTGTTGAAACATGTCGTGTTGGAGGGAAACCGACTGTTAGATAGCTACTACTACGTCTAGTATCTCATTGCTAGCATTGCTGGCAATGTCAGGTCGACCTCCACGCGGAAACAAATACAAATATTATAAATGCGAACGAAACTCTGTCTGTCTGTTTGTCGCGCTTTCACGACAACTACTGAACCGGTTTAAATGAAATGTGGTACACAGATGGTCTAAACCAAATTAAAAAAGGATTGTAAAGGATTGAAAGGGGATATGAAAGGTTATATGTAAATATCATCATATTTAAAGCTAGAAGCTTGTTACTTATTTTTTAGGCTGTTGATTAGATATAAACAAACATGTCTTCGAAGTTTGTAAAAATTGTGGGGTCGAAATAAAATAGGGGATGAAAGTTTGCATTTAAATTCGTAAGTTTTGAAGATGGATGAATCTTATTCACAGTTATGTTTTATTTGTAAAATAATCAGCCTAAATCTTTTAAAAGTGCTATCCAAGATTACTATTCCCTGTGGACGTTGCGCGGACAGCGTTAGTTTGTTATAAAAGAACTGAATTACCTTCATGTACATGGCGCCGCGCCCCCCGCCGCGGCCGCGGCCCCGCGCGCGGGCCGAGCGCGAGGCGCCGCGCGAGCCCCGCCCGCGGCCGCGCCCCCCGCGACCCCCGCCGCGGGGCCCGCTCCCCTCCGGGGACTTGTACGACTCCTCCAGCTTAGGCAGCGTGTCCAGCACCACCTACAGGGGGCGGGAGATTGTTACTGATGTGGACTAGTAGCCCTATTGCTATTCTGCTAGCGTACCATGTCAGGTTGACCTCCACTCTGTTCCCCATGGACACTATTGTGCTAGATTCATAGTGAATTCGCCACGATAGACTAACTGATCTGACCTCATTCTCATGTTATTCTTCCCTGCTGTTGAAAAACTTTTTTAATATTAATGTATTTAAAGTATATTTTTTGTACCCTGTAATCAAAAACTAAATTTTTTATACTTATAATAGGTGTCAATGTCTAACATGAAATGACAGTACCCTGCATGAACAACTATTATCAAGCACATATCTCGTTTATCCTAAGGCTCTGCTGAATAAATATGACTTACCAGATGCCATACATTAAAAAAAGCATTACCTTCAGCTCGTGCGTCTCGCCGAAGAGCTTGATCTCGCCCGAGCTGCGTCGGCGACTCGACAGCGGCGTGGAGCACGACGAAGGCATCTTGTCGAGCGCCTCCGTCATCCGCGGCAGCTTGATCCGCGAGCTGGTCGGGTCTATGGTCTCCGGGTCGTCGGGCTCGGGCGCGGGCAGCGGCACGGTGACGGTGACGGTGCCGGCCACGGGCTCGGGCTCCGGGCCGGGCTCCGGGCCGGGCTCGGCGGCCGGCGTGCCGTCCACCGACGCGTCCAGCCGCGGCCGCCCTCCTCGCCCTCGGCCTCTGCCGCGGCCGCCTCTCGGTTTCGATAATATTGCAGGCCTATCCCTAAAATTAAATGTTTTAACAAAATTTAATATAATCATATAAGAATATTAACTATTCAACTGATAGGCTAGATATAACCAAGATACTAGAGACCATCGAGGATCTTGAAATTTATATTTTAACGTAACAAATATTGTAAAAATTTCTAGGTAATTTAATAAATAAAATTGGTTTGTTAATAAAAAAAAAATATATTTTAATTATTTATTAAATCTTTAATAAAAAATAAAGATATATTCTTATAATTATATAAGAAGGAGGACTTAACACCTTATTATGTTTGCAAAATAACTGCGTCATAAATACATATCCTATTGTGGTCCATAATATTGATTCCCCGTCAGTAAGTACTTGGATGTTTTGATATTTACAATCTGAAAGTCAGAATCCAATTACCAGTAAAATACATTTCATTTCAGATAAACATAGCCAATAATATTATTAGTTATACCTTCTCGACTGTTATCTCACATGGGGTATCAACTGTTGGTGGCAGAACCTACTGCAGTCTCTTGGAATAATTTGGTTTGTTATCATTGGTTCTATCATTGGAAAGTTAGTCAGAAATATAAATTGACAATATAGTAATGTTGCTGAGATTTGAATTCAAAACCTTTGGTTTCAAATTTAGGTTTAACCATGAGGACATGACTTTGTCAAACTATACTAAACCAATATTACAATCTAAAAATGAATGTGCCAACAACTTACAGTATAATCTAAAAATTTATATCAAGGTAAGGTTTAATTATATGGTAGGCAAAGAAATATAAAAAAATATATGAGGCTAAAATGTACTTACTACTTGAATAAATTATCAATAAATTTTTAATGACTTGTACTTACAAATATTTTATGTATAATATTTCATATATTCAATATGTTATTCTTACCTAGACAAACGTAGTGATCGCTGTGGTCGCTCCTCTAGCGCAGGAACAGGTAGTGTAATACAAACGGGTTTAGCATTATCTGATAGTGGCAATTTTCGAGGTCTACCACGCTTCTTCGGCTGCGGCGTCATCTCCAGCGCCTGCGGAATACTGATACTGTCGTTTGTACTGTCTAAGGTTTTAGAGTTGTCCACTTCGAGTGGATCCTGAGACAGATCATCATTAGGTATGTTAAAATCAAAATTTTCATTGATCATCATTTCCTGAACCTCTGGGTGACAGTTTTCGACTCGTCCAATTTCCACCACATCTGAACTTCCAGTAGACATATTGGAATCCACTTCAGATGTCTGACTTTTTTCTGAACAATTAATATCATTAAGCGGCATTGCTTGCATTTGTTTTGCTTGTAAATTTGAGAGAATATTGTGTAATTTTGAATTCCCATTTTTCGAACAATTTTCGTTGTTTAAAAGTGAATGATTAGTTGTCTTCACAATTTGTTTGTTTTCCAAAGATTTGTTGGTTGGTGATGTTTGAGTAACTTTAACAGGAGTAATTGTCAAAGATTTGTTAGATAAAAGTTGGCCAAGCTTTAACCGTTTTGTTTCCAATACAGACAGTTCTGGCTCTTTATTGAGTGGTGGACTGGAATCTGTTGTAGATGGCCTTTTTCCAATATTTCGTTTCACTATAGGACTTTTATCAGTACTATCAACAACTCTAGAACTTCTAAGCCTTTTGCCCATGGGTGCACTCTGCGATAACTCCAATGTTTGTTTTCTTCTACTATTCACAATATTCTTTTTCAGAGCTTGTTTATCATTAATATTTTCTTGAGTATTGTCTGGGGAATAGTTCTGCTGGTGAATAGACTCAGCTCTAGTTATTATATCTTCAGTGACTATTTTCGCAGAAGAACCATGATCAGTCTTATTTATTTTCAATATAATCCGTGGTGAATCTTGCCCTGAACTTTGACTAATAATTTTATCAGAAACATTAATTTCCAAAGGATTTTTTAAATCTTCCCTTGCTTCTTTATATAGATCTTGGATTGGTCGAACTTTTAAACCTATGACACTATCACTAAGTAATTCAGAATTAGGGCTTTTTATATTTTCTGTCATGTTATGGCTAATTTTAGAGTTAATATCTGCATTAATACTAGGTTCAATCAGCTGACAATTTAATGTATCCTTACAAACTACTGAAGGTGAAGAAGAACAGTTACTTTCTATAGGTCCTTCTAGTCTTTTATCTAGGGTATCATCAGTATGTTCTAGCAACATCTTTAACAAAGTACAATTTTGTAATGTTTTATTTCTAAAGACTGTTGTTTCTGGAATAGGCATTTCTGTGCTACTTTTTACAGTTTGATTTATAAGTTTATTTCGATCATGTGGTTCAGTCTGTTGAACTGTTTCTGGTTTATTTAATTTCAAATCTTGTATAAAACTATGTTTTGAAATACTGTTCACAACATTAGTTAACTCAAGTGATGAAGGAGTTGCTTCAGTTGTTACAGTGCTTTCTGAAATACCACTTTGCATTGCTTCTGTTACACTCGATGTTGGAAGCTCCTTGAGGGATATATGACACTGATCAGTAACATGTTTTTCTAGTTTTTCTGGTACACAGTTGTGTTTAAATTCTGAGGGATTTTCTTTAACTTCTTGTTCAACTTTACCTTTCCCTTCCAGCTCTAAATTTTCTCTAGAGATTTGCACTGTGTCATTAAATTCAATTTTTGGTATAGGTTTTATATTTAATTTTTTTACCATAGGCGGATTTTCAGCAATATTATTATAAATATGTTCACTGCTATCAATATTATTAATTTTTTTGTCGATGCTAGAAGTTTCACTGCCTGAAGGATCAGCAACCACCTTCATATTGATTTTCATAAGTAATGGTGGATTTTTAACTTTGTCAGCATTCTCATCTCTTAACTTTTGTTGTTCTATATCTTCCGGTTTTATTAAAGGTTTTATATTTAGTTTTGTAACCACAGGAATACTAGAGCTTTTAATATCTGTTCTAAAAGCGTCTCGTTTAGGTGATGATGGAGAAATACTAGCTTTTAAACTGTCTTTTTTAGGTGATAGTGGGGATGTGCTTCCTTCTGGTTTCACTAAAGGTTTTATATTAAGTTTAGTTATAACAGGAATGGTTTCATCACTTGATTTTTGTCTAGGAATTTCTTCTAAGTCAGGCTTTACAATTGGTTTTATATTTAGTTTTGTTACGACAGGTATATGATCAGTGTTTTCGTCACTTGAATTCCCAGTCTCAGATGATTGGTTTTCTGAATCTTTTGTTGTGTCTTTGTGAAGGGGTTTAACTATAGGTTTAATATTAAGTTTAGTAACCATTGGTATAGTATTTTCATCAATGACATTATTTGTAACATCACAGTCTTTTTCTTCTGAAGAATTTCCTTCAGGATTTTTTAAGGGTTTAATATTTAATTTTTTAATTTTAGGTATATCATCTTCACTAGAATTAACTTCATCATCTTTAGGCTTCATAATTGGTTTTATATTCAATTTCGAAACTACAGGAACTTTTTCCTCTGAATTTTCTGATGATTCTGCACTATCTACTGGTTTCAAAATAGGTTTAATATTTAATTTTGTAACAACAGGGATATGTTCAGGACTGTTGGTAACAACAGTTGATTTTTTGAGTATTTTATTATCTATATCAGTTCTTGTGACCGGCTTTATAGTAATTTTAGGCACATGTGTATTTTCTTTTATATCTGTAATTGATGAAAAAGATTCTGTTGATATCTTAAGTTTAGGTATTTGTTGTGTATCAGAAACATCTACAGCATTATCCTTGGTGACATTATCTGGGGGTTTTAATGGTTTAATTGTCAATTTAGGACTTAATGGTTGACTTTCACACTTTGTTACCGATTTTATTGTCAACTTAGGAATTTTTTCTATTTGTTTCTCTTCAGATTGACTAACAACCAATTTTAATTTAGAAACAGAAGAAATGGATTCTATTTCCTCTTTTTCACTATGTTGTATAGTTTTCGCTGTACGTTTCACAGTATTTGTTTCTGTATAAAATTTTCCTTCACTTTGAGTCCCAGGTTTACCCAATTTAATGGTTACTTTTGGAATAACATTAGATGGTCCTTGATCTGATGCTGATGCTTGATCTGAGGTACTAGTACTTTCATCATTCTCTGAATTTTCAGATTCTGATATGTCACTACTACTAGATTTGCGATGAACATCATTAATTTTTTCTGGTGGTTTTGGAATAGGTTTTATATTTATTTTTGTTACTAGAGGTATTTGTTCCTCATTATCCATCTTTTTCTCGCTTTCTGAAGTTCTTACTTGAAGATCATTCATACTGTCAGATGGTATAGGAATGGGCTTGATATTTAATTTAGTGATGCTTGGTATTTGATCATTTGATTCCTCTGTTTCATCTGCAGGTGGTTTTATAGGTTTTATTGTAAGCTTAGGTATAGGTAATTTTGTTTCATCTGAAGATTTATTGCCCAATTTGATAGTTATTTTAGGAACCTGTTTTGTAGATAAATCTAAGTTTTCAGACAAACTATCATCACATTTACTACTATTATTACTACACAATACAATATCAGATGTATCTACTTTTGAAACTGAACATTCAGGCAAACTGGGTATGCTAGATTCTTGATTTGCCTTTTCACATGTACTTTCTATATTATCTTCTGAAGGCATTTCAGAGCTACCCTGACTGGCACTCAAATTCTCCACATGATCTGGTGCCTGTTCTGGTTTTAAAATACTTTCTTCAGATGATGTTTGGACACAAAGTTCATGATTACTAACATCTTTAGATTCATTTATTACTATTTCAGACTGTAAATTTGATGCACTAGTACAGCTTAAAGATTCAGGTTGGGGTTCAGGTGTACTCACTGTATTATCCTGAGATGTTGACTGACACTGTTGTTGATCAAGCAATATCCTGTCTTCTATATCCTGTGTACTATCCTTATAATTTACACCTGATGTATGTTTTTGTCTAATTAGTTTAATCTTTTTAGGAGAACTCACCGATGTTTCTGCTTTGCAGAAACTAATATCACTTACATTTCTAATCTCTTCAAGCTTAACATTACCATGTACAGGAGGCACAGCATCCGATGAACTCGAAACATCCTTAGCAACAGATTCACTATGTATTTGTTCTGTGGTATGAATGTCAACTGTAGACGAAACTGTTGAGTCTGGTCGCCGGTCACTAGGTGCTGGCCGTACTAAACGACGCCGCAATGGTGACCTTGTTGCAGACTCTACACTTATTGACTTGCTATCACTTGATGTTGACTCAGCACTTTCTACAGTTACATTGTCCCGGTTATCACTGGATGATACACATTTCACTATCCGCTCTTGTGTTTCACACTCATTAACGTCAAAAACGCTTTGCACAGTTTCTACTACACTGCTGGAAGGAATATTTAAGGGCGGACACTCACTAGACACCTCAGAGTTATCACTTGGTAGTGTAAGGTTCTTTGATAATGCTGATTCAGCCTGTGATTCGCCCTCAGCAATAGATGAACATGATTGTGGGGGTTCAACACTAATAGTCTTTAATACACTTGCAGAAACACAACTGTCACTTTGAGATGTACACTCTGGTACTACTGGTGCGTCTATAATATTTATCTGGGGCTCATGTTCGCTTTTGGCACTAGTGGCTGGATGTTCTGCAGAAACCTGTGGCGTGTCGTCTTGAGGGCTCGTCTCGGACGACTTGGGTGCCTCTGAATCGTCGTCGATACTTTCAGAGTCCACACTGGCGTCTAAGGAGTGCGGCAAACGTTTTGGGGCACCGGGACCGTCAACAATCTCGTCGATCATATCAAGAATGGCCTCTGTGCTTGTGTTGACGTCGTGTGACGACGGCGATGGTACACTGTCGCCGTCAAAGTTTTCTTCCGACATCGCGGCCGTTTGACAAGATGTTTGAGCTTCAGATGTTTCCTGCAGCAAATTACTAGTTGCGTTGCCGTCCTCGGCTTTTCCAACGTTCTTTTCCCGCGCCGATGCACGGCGGGAAGCGCTCGTCGCGGTGCCCGCATCATCTTCTGAACCCTCCATTATCTACTATTTTGCGACACTGTCATATCTGAAATATAAAACGCTCGCTAGGTGATATTTACGTTACGAAAGGGTAACCTGACGACGTGCGAGATTGACAAGCCACGGGCACCATTCTAATTCACCATAACGCTACAAAAATTTGTTCACGGGGTCCACAGTGTTGATTATATAGGTACAGATGTACTTTAATTTCATATTCACGACGTTTTAGTCTCGTACGAGGACGCGCGAGCTCTTGAAAAGTATTCAACAGCGTAAACCGGCAAACAAAAAGCTTGTATACGCCATTTTTAAAACCAAAGACATGGCAGGTTGGGATGTATGGGCCAATAAAAAATATCCTATACGGAGAATTCGGCCATTGTCGTGTTGGTAAACTGCAAGCAGGGAGCCCATAGATCGTTCTACTTGAGCTTTAGCTTGAAAAGAGTAATAAATATGCTTTTCGACATGTGCTAAAAGGAGTAAGATAATATTTTCTACAAGTGAAAACAATTATTCAATGTAGCAACAATTTTGATATGCTTGGTGAATGTTACAAGTTTCAAAAATGTTTTTGGTCAAAATATTAAATTTCTTTTACGATCGTATACGAGGTAATATAGAAATAAAGTCAATCATAAATTTGATTAATTACGTATTCATTGGCATTTTACTTTAACATTTAATTTACGCCTTAAATTACAATAAACAATTATTACACGGAAATTTATAAAACTAAAAAATTTGATAAATATCGAAATTACTTTATTACAAATTATTAAACTGGAATATATTGATACAATTATGAATTATGTCAATAACATATAATAATAATAATTAACAGAGACTTTGTTAACTGTTTTACGTCGCTAGAATTTCGCTAACTGTTAAAAGTAAACATAACAACAAGATGCAAAAATTTACAAAATGTAAATTAAAAATATATACCTATATACAAATTCTGTGCTTAAAACAATATATTGTTTTTCTTTGGGTATCTGCGACCACGTTCTATGAATAGGTACCACAGAAATCTATAAGGTGCACTATTAAACCCATTTAAATTATGAGGTATGAATTATAACCAGATACCAAAAATAATATAGCCTATGTTTTGTAAAACAAGATTTTAATTACTAGACAATATATTATAATTCTTCTCCCAAATAGAATTCAGCAAGTTTAGCTATTTATTGTTTTACTGTATCTTAGCCGAAAGATGTTCCATAGTTGGCAATATTCTTTAGATTGCTATCTTTTTTGTTGTTTATGATTATCATTTTGTTGATGTAATATAAATTACATTTGGTAACACTGACAGTTAACCATAAAAAATTAAATTGTCCCCACTATTCATTGTTTATATTTATTGATATTATTATTTTATTTTCTCTTTATGAAATTGAATTGAAAAGACTAGTTAAAAATATGACTACTATTAGGCCTTTTAATTGCGAAGACATGTTAAAATTTAATAATGTGTTAGTGATTTTATGAGCTCATTGATATTTGTTACAATTTTTCTCTACTACAGTTATAATACAATAAATTTACTTATTTTACAGAAATTTGGATCCTCTTACTGAAACCTACGGGTTATCATTTTATACACAATATCTTGCACACTGGCCTGAATACTTTCAAGTTGCGGAGTCTCCAAGCGGAGAGATCATGGGTTACAGTATGTTATTGTTTTCTATTTATTCCGCCCAGGTTTTTTTTGTATATTTGATAGAATTTAAATTTGTTTAAATACTTGATGCTACGTAATGTGCTTCACTTTTTTTTAAAGTTGACTTTCAATAATCTCTTAAGATAGTAGTAGTAGTAAAATTTTGTATTTTTTTAGTTTTACAAATTGCGCTCATACAGGCAACAATTTTTATTTTATTTTTCTAACAAATAATAGAATAATATTTATAATGAACCTGTAAATAATGTTATTTTCCAGTAATGGGTAAAGCTGAAGGGCATGGTGAAAACTGGCATGGACATGTAACAGCACTCACTGTCAGCCCAGATTTCAGAAGACTGGGCCTTGCCGCTACCCTAATGAATATACTTGAAGATGTTTCTGAAAAGTTAGTTCTCAGTAAAGGACTATCCATTAATTGCATTACATGGTAAAGAGTGGGAGGGGGTCTACAAAGTGCAACAAGTGGGGTGGAATAGGTCTTAAATTTTGTGACGTCATATTTTGAGGTCAGGTCAGTTAGCCCATCATGATAAATTTACTAGGAATTTATCATGATGGTTTCCAGTGGGATATCATATGGATATTAATTTTTCATAGTATATTGCTATCAATAGTCAATCAGAAATCACTAATAATCATCTTACCTCTTACTATGGTTAATTGATCAAAAATTTTTTATGTTACAGAAAGAAGGCTTACTTTGTAGATTTATTTGTGAGAGTGAGCAACAAAGTAGCTATAAATATGTATAAAAACTTGGGATATATTGTGTATAGAACTGTCTTAGAATATTATTCAGGAGATCCGGATGAAGATGCCTATGGTAAATTATTTTTCTACTTAATCTATTGTATGACTTTGATGCCATTTAGCAATTTTTGTATTTATGACTATGAATGTATCATGTTATCATCACTACATAGTATAAAACAAAGTCACTTTCACTGTCTGTCTGTCCCTGTGTATGCTTAAAAACTATGCAATGGATTTTGAAGTGTTTTTTTAATAGATAGAGTGATTCATGAGGAAGGTTTATATATATAATACAGTACACCCGTGCGAAGCTAGGGCGAGTAGCTAGTTACAATAATATGTTAATATAGTAGTGGATACTGCCTCGATTTGCTGAGCCACCTACAAGCTTATTAAGTTCACACTATCCAGTGTTTTGAACTGGAATATTAAAACAAGTTGTATTTTGTAATTACTTAATACTAGCTGAATTCTATGAATCTCGGATTTTTCCTGCTGATTATATATATAAGTGAATGTAGGCTATTTATAGTATACATAATATATAAAAAATCATGTATATATTAGTAGTATAAATATTAAAGATTATTGTTTATAGTAAAAAAGATATATTACTATAAAATTAACTATGTACAAATTGTAATATGACTTGGGGGTATAAGTTTTTACTCTCGTCTTCCTGCCTACTGAAATAGGTCAACCTTATTATTCCTCGTTCTTAGGGATTTTCTTTTTTTTATAGATATGAGAAAAGCATGTTCCCGAGATGTAAATAAGAAGTCAGTTATACCTCTAACACATCCTGTGCGGCCAGAAGATGTAGACTGATATATATTAATAAAAATTATTAATTAATATATAAAAAATTATTTTTTAATTTACTTTAATTACAAAGTATACAACTAAAAACAGATAGCCTCATCTAGTTGCCATCATCTTCATCTCCTGTTGTGTTTTGTTCTTGTTCACCTGTATTGCTGATGCTACTTTCTGTGTCTGATACTTCTTTATGTTTTCGCCATTGTTTTGCTGCTGCAAGCAACTTCAGATTAGGCCTTACCATTTCGTCTTCAGGGAATATGTAATCAAATACTTCTTCCCAACCTTCCTCAATGCCACCTTCACTGATAATCTTCTGTCTCTTTTTAACTCTTCTAGGCATTTTTGTTAAAACTTTTTCAAGTTTTATTTCATCTCCTATTTCCGTTTCAAAATCTTTCCATGCTTCTAGCAGAAGTACTCTCGCTTCTTTTTCACCAGCACTTCTTAGACTATCGTTGGCGCGTTCATAGACCCGTCTAGCTAAATCTACATTCATATTATCAGCATTTTCTGCATTCAATTCAAATTTAGCATATGACAACCATACTTTAACATGAACAGTTCTTTCCAATAATCTCTCATACAGTTGTCTGGCTCTTTCTGTTTCTCCTTGTGCTACTTCAAAGTCAATGAAACTTTTCCACAATAACTCTGGCATATCCAATCGTGACTGGCTAACAGCTATTTCGTATATAGCTCTAGCTCTATCTATGTCCCCCAACAATGTTTCTAATTCAGCAAATTTAATCCATGTTATGCAGTTTTCAGGTCCATATTCCAAAAATTTTTGATATAATATCCTACATCTATCAAATTCTCTTAGCTGAATTTCTAAATCTATATACCCTCTATACAATTTATCTCTTGGACACATACCTAATGCCATTCCTAACATCTTCCTTGCTTGTTTCAATTCTTTACATCTTACTTCAAATTGGGCATACATTAGCCATATTTTGGAAAAGGTAAAAATTTTATGTGGAATTAATTCTAAACAAGTTCTGTACACTTGCCTGGTTCTTTCTATGTCCTCTGCTTCCAATTCTTCATACAGTGCATAATTAATCCATAAATAAATATAGCGTCTCCAAAACTGCTTATCTTTTGATGGTGGTACATTTGCAATGGCTCTCTCATATGTATCTCTAATATTGTCTATATTTCCTTCATTTTCCACTAATCTTATATAATCAAACCACGCATCATAATTTGTAGGATTCTCTATTACTTCTTGCTCATACATATATTTTCTTTTGTTAACAATGACATCCTCTATGCCAGATCTGTCACCATATTTCTTCTCATGTATTGTGTAAGCTTTATACAGCTCTTTGTTTCTATCTTTTGGTATGTGATCTAAAGCGTATTTGTAGATTACTCTAGCTCTGTCATGTTCCTTTTGGTTTTCTTCAAACTTTGCAAAGGCAATAAACAATCTTTCATCAAGTTCTTCATCACCAAAGAACTCCACGGCTTTTTCAAATACTTGTCTTGCTCCATTCACAAATCCATGGTTCTCCTCGAATTTTGCATATTTTATCCAATTCTTAACATCTGGATGAACCATGACAAACCTTTTGTATATTTCTCTTGCCCTTTCCAACTCCTTGTATCGTAATTCAAAATTTATATATGTTTGCCATGCCTGTTCATCTGGTTGCCATTCCATCCATCTTTCAAATACCTAGAAAGTAGCAATTTATCTATTATTAGATGGTAGTTTCAGGAAACCTATTACTAATATTTTATAATTATCTATGAAGAATACTTCCAGATGAAGATAAAACAATTGTTGCAAAGACAAAAACCTAGTTTCTTCTATTCCCATAGTTATAAAATATTAGTATAAAATGAACATAAATATTGAAAACATTGTTATACTTTTCTTGAAACAAGAAAAGTCTATATTGCAAATCATCATCATTTTTCTTCAGACGTCAATCATTTCTTGTTAGTTGTACACAACAACCAAGTACCATAAAGATTGCATTAAATTTGTAATATTTCATTTTAATTTTACATACCTGTCTGGCTCCGGCGACATTTTCTAACATCTCTTCCATGTAGGTGTATTTGTACCAGAATTGTGATACTCTCGGCAAAATGGTCACTGCACGATCCCATAAATTGCGAGCATGGTTTACTTGCCTATTCCTCATTTCCATTTCAGTATATTTCAGCCTGTAATTTAAAAGTTTTTCAGTCTTCATGACTTCTTTATAATAATAGGATCTGATATATTTTTAATAAGAATAGTTTAAATAATATAATAAAAATATCAGATTAAAAACAAATTAAGATTGATGGCATAATAATTTAACATTCCTTTATTGCATCAATGGTTCTATTTATGCTTATTATAATCACATACATAAATTTAGGTATACAACATGTATTGTGCTTGTTTTTTAAACATACTCACCACTAAGAGCCTGTGAACTTAATTATAATCTAAATATATGTATAGTATGAAAGCATACATTTACTGTATCATGATTTGGAGAAATTAATATAGTGTTCTACTCACCATAGGGTAACATTTCTATGATCCACATCCAAAGCACGCTCATATATTGAGCGTGCTCTTTGCACTTGTTTCTGTGATTCCTCCCACTGAGCATACTTAAGCCAATTCCCTATTACCTAAAAGAAATATAGATATATTTAAAAATAAAGGAATTAATAATAATAAAACAATATCACTTACCACCACAGATTATCTATTAATATTGTTTAATCATACATAATTTCTGTTTCTTAGGATATCAAATTGGTTAATTTTGCCTTTAAAAAAAATATTGATGTGAAAAAAAATAAAGGCTTGAATCAAAAACAATAGCATATTAGTATTAACTAATCTATAAATTAATTTCAAAGGTTTCAATCTCATAAACAAGAAACTGTGTAATTCTGAATAAAACAATATATGTGTGACTTGTTGCAGTTTATTTACAATAACATTCAGACAGGTGCTGTAGTCTACAGGTGGTTGCATAAACTTAATTAGGTTTCAAGTGCAATGCCAACTCTTAAAACATGCTTCTGATAGAATACAAAGTGTAATGAGTTTATTTGGTCATTGGTAGATTTCACTATATTATTTTTTTATTACTTACAAGTCTATTTTTACGGATATTATCTTCAAACGCTTTCCTCTTTCTGTGTTGATAATCTCTAAGCTCCTCTGGATCAGAAATTTTCTGTTTCGGAGGTGGAGGCAATATTTCGAGATCTCTTTCTTTCGCTTCTCTGAGCAATTGTTCAGCAGTAATTTGAATTTCAGCGGGAGCTTTATTCTTAACCTACAATTATGAACAACATATTAATATTTTCATCAGCGAAAAACAATAAATGCACAAATATATGGCTTTTAATTCATATATATATATATATGAAATATAAAACAGCATTATAATGTAAGGAGTGATACCTTTGCCACTTTCGGCATTTTAGTTGCTTTCCCTTCCATTTTGATTGTTTACAAAATTATTGTATTGGATGTTCTTATGAATAGGAATATGTTAACTTCGATAATCTAAGTTTCAATTATTTTTATAATTTTGCACTGAATTAACACAAGTTATTTATTCTTAAAAACAACAACGAATATAGAAAAAAGCTAAATAATATGTAAAAAGAAAAGAAAATTCGACTTTAAGAACACAGAATATATTAATGTTCTGTGCACAGAATACAGACAAACCTGAAGAAAAAAAAGTAGAGTGTTGCCAGAGTAAAATATCCGAAAAGTAATATATCATTCTCATACATTCGCGTTACATAAAATTTGTGTACGTGCATCACGTCGACATTATAAAAGAAGACATGTACGGAAAAGACTAAAATATATATAAAATGAGAATAATGAAAAAGACTTTTAAAATGAGATGTACTGTGGTTAAATTTAATGTTCTCTTCAGTACAACTTCTGTATTTAACAACGGCTTTTAAGGTACGGTAACGGTTTATAAGGTATTTTTAATAATTGTACTATAACACTATGCAAACTCAAATATTACAGGGTGAGGGGCTTGTCAGCATTAATGACATAATTACTAGCAGTATCATGTCGGTTGATCTACACGCGGTCCCCCGTCCCCTGTGGTAACCATTCCGGTTAATTGACTATGATGGGGTAATTGAGTCGACTTCATCCTTATCCTATCATCCTCCTCTGGTGCTCGCTGGCGTATATCTTACCTCAGGCGAGTGGACCATACCATATTTATCCTTTACGAAAACTCAACGTTACATAATAATTCTTTGAAATAGCATCTGGCAACACAGTCATTCAGAAGATAATGCTTATATATATTATCTGTGGTACAACAAAAAAACATAACTTGACATTTTACATGCGAATTGGAAAACCAAGTCTATACATAATAAATAAAATATAATGAATTGAATATGTATTATATTTTATTTATTGTTAGATAATAGATTTACATGCGATTCGATTGCGTGACTATTTAATTTGCGATTTGGATATTAACAGCGTTATTGTACCGGAATTTAATATGTAAATTATATGTATGAAAATTTAAATTAAAGTGAGATATATATATATATATATATATATATATATATATATATATATATATATATATATATCATACTTTAATTTAAATTTTCCGGTACATGTTACGTACGAATAAAACATTCAATAACACCATACTTTTCATAACTTTTTATTCGACCCAACAAAACTCAGTCTACATACGATTATTATTTAAACAATTCAGTCTATATCGATTGAGTGTTAATTAATAAAAATGTTTATTATTATAATCACTCGAAAACAGATGCACCATCATTATAATTCTATTCGTGGACAGGGAAATACATTTGCATTAGGGTTTCATATATGTCTACATCAACAGGCATGAAGGTGCAAAATATGATTCTTTCCACTCCTTCACTTGCTTCAAGATATTTCCTAGCAGTACTAAGCGCGATATGAGCTGCCAAGCGATTTGGGAAACCATATATTCCAGTAGAAATACAAGGAAAGGCTATAGTCTGCAATTGATACTTCTTTTGGTGGGAGAGACATGTTTCGTAACATGACTGTAACTTTTGGGCTGACCCATCCTGTGGTCCAACTGTATGGATAACATCTGCAAATAAAATTATAAAGTTACATGTATCATCTTATAGATATTTATTAATTAAAATGGCCACAAGGCTATCATTCTGATGGTTGCAGGTTCAATTCCACACAGGGTACAAACATTTGTATTTATGAGTATGATTGTGTGGTCTGAGTGTTTTCTATTCATACTATGTATGAATTCACAAATAAAATGTATCTAAGCATTCATCAGTTATCATAATATTTAGTACCCATAACACAAGCTCTGCTTAGTTTAGGCGTAGATACACATGGCACACATACATATCATATTATCATCCTCCACATGTGCTCCGCTGCAGGCAGGAATGGAGAATTCAATAATCATTCATGAAAAAAAAGTGTTATCTCCCATCAATTTTATGCTATTCTAGTTGCATAAAAAGATACTTACATTTCGCAGGTAAATTATACCCTCCTGTTACTTTCGCATCTCCTGTGACACAGCCTCCTAGAGTGTTACATTCTTGCTGAAAGAATAAATATATATTATTAAAAAAAATTGTAAACATATAATAGTGATTGCCATTACTGGATAACTGAATAAATAATACATATAATATTTATTATTCTTGATTTATTCTATATGGTAAAGGCTATAATGGAATAAAAGAGAAAGTAGACTGTTCCCCCTGAATTTTAGACTGTTTTGTCTCTATTAATACCTCTTAATTTTATTATATGCAGTGATTGTAACAGTTCAATATTTGAGGCAAATAAAGTTGATAATTATTGTCATGAAAGATTAGCAAATTTATTATTATATTAATTTACTGCAATATATAAGCAGTCCTGAAAGTAAAATTACAAATCTTTAATATTTTACTACTTAACTACAAATATATTTTTTAAATTTCAGTAATGTTATCAGTGATTGTGTGCACAATTTCTGAATAAAATTGTTTGGTACAAAGTAGTCACATATTAAGGAGTTACAACCTGTAGCAGTGGACCTGCCGAACGATGAATAGCCCCATCCACACCACCCCCAGCTTTCAGTCGTGAGTTAGCAGCATTTACTATTGCATCCACCTTTGGTGAAAAAAATCAAAATGATTAAACTTGTAAAGCAGTGACAATATTTCATAAAAATAGAAGTCAGGTTTACTCTCCCTATATATTATTTCACTTCCGACATATATTAAAAAAATCCAATATGAATGTTACACAGTACATAATGTAACAAGTATGACCATAAGTTTTAATTTTAAACATAATTTATTAGCTGTTTTTAGTGACTTTGTCTGCTTCCAAATTAGTGAAACAATCTATGTTTGTATTAATTTAATTAATATCTTTTCAGGCATTTAGTCATGAAATGGTATATTAGTATGCATTGTCTACCATAATACATGTACTACAAGTATTGATTAGTTTGGGATTGTCATAAATAATTTTGTGCAAGTTTTGGCTAATTGGCACATTTAAAAAAAAAGAAGATATATCTTAATAACAAAAATGTGACTGATCATTATAATAACAATTGTGTATAACTAGTATACCACACATATTATACATATAATACATATAAATATAATAGCTTGTAGAAACATTTCCCTACAATTTAATCCCAAAGCAATATTAATTATTATGAGTGTTTGATAGAAAAAATTAAAAGCACCTCCAGTTTTGTAATGTCTCCTTTAAAAATTGATACTTTCTTAGATATTTCTTTATTTCTAGCTGTACTAATTTGAATCTTCTGAAACTCAGTAAGGTCGTCTAATGTGTGCTTTTTTGATTCCAATTCTTTTTTATTCTGTGTTACGTATTTCCACCAAGGATCGACATTATCAAGAGCGATGTAATCACCCCCTTTGTAAAGCTTACGTTTTTCTTCCAAAGGTAGTGATAGAATATCCTTTTTAACATTATTCCATTTCGATTCCGAAGTCATATTTGCCAACGAAAGCAAGCGATTTTGTAGGATAACACTGTATAATCTAGGAAAAATGTGATAATTAGGAATTTGGAGTATAGTTTTAATGCTGTGATTTACCGCCGTTAACATAGCATTAAAAAAATTGCTTCGTTAATTCAACTTGATATAGATAAACATTAAATTGTTTCAAATGAAGTAAAATTTTTGAAGAATTTTCAAAACAACTGTGACCACAGAACACCAATATTCCGTGTGACTGTGATTAGTGTTGCAGACTTCCGAAGAAAAATAGATTACATAGACTTTTATAAACCGGAAGCAGACACTATATTGCATATAATATACTACTCAAGCTATACTGATAAACAAAAATTATTTTTTAGCTAATGGTTATTCGCCGATTCCTAATAAATAAAAAAAAATATGTGTGGATTTCCTTCTCTATGGTTTTCCCAATTATATCATAGATAGCATTAAGCAATTATTATATCAGCTTTCATTGGAGTGTTATGATATTATTTTATTATGGACACCATCACATATTGGTGTTTTTAGCAATGAAAACGCAGATTTTCTGGCAAGAACTATCACCAACAATGACATTGGCGTTGTCAAGGATGTTGCCATACCTTATTCCGACATTCTTTCTATAGTTTACAAGAGTTTTCGTCAAAAATGGATTGAACAGTGGCAACTTTCGCTAAAGACCAAGGGTAATTGGTTTTACTCCATTAACAAAAATATTCATTCCTCACCCTGGTTCACTAAATCTAGAGTTTATAAAAACCGGAAATTTTACACACTCCTTATACGACTTCGTTTTGGTCACGCTAGATTCAATAGTCATTTGTGCCGAATGAAAATAATTGATTCAAATGCATGTCAAGAGTGCAATAACAGCAGTCAGACCCTAAATCACATATTTTTCGAATGTTCCGCTTATAATATTCAACGCTTGGTCTTTATTGATAATTTACTGAACATTTACAAGAAACCGGAAAAAATCCCGCGCGACATCCAAGACATGCTAACTAATTTTGAAACATATATACCTATATATTTATACGTTACCTCGATATCGATGAAACTTTAAATAATTGATACAAGGATATGGACTACGGATAAGACTTAAATTTTGAACACGAATGAAAACATAATAAATAAATATACATAAGAATTGGCCTTTGGCCTCATCACTTGTTCAAATATGAAGAAGTTTAAAAGTAGACTAGGCTGTACGGTCTAAGGATCTTTGCCTGTTCCATCAGTGAAAAGGAGATGGACGAATATGGTCCACTACTCTTTATCCTCTACATACACAAAAAAAAAAAAAATCTCTATGGTTTTCAAATTATCAATGTTTTCTTTTCAAGCATATATTTTTAAAATAAATTCTCTATTCTATGTACTTTCAAATTTTAAAAGAATTTAATTTTATACTAATATAAGTGCACAATGTTTTGTACAGTGTCTCGCATATTATCTTCGCAAAGTCTTCCTTGTAAGAATATTTTATAAGACATGGACTGAAATTATTAGTGAAATATTATTAATTTTTAGAGGTTATATTTTTATTTTGATTTTCAGTTAGGTTCTCTTCACGAAACATTGTGAAAGTTGCTACGGTAGCCGGAAAAAAATATGCAGGAGATCAGCTAGAATATATTAAATCAGCAGCTGAGGAAGATATTGTCAATTGGTCAGATGTAAAGAAGAAAGCCTTAGCAATACAAGGATCTTTGAATCCTATGAATATAGATGCGGTTCTTTTGAAGTACATGGTTAATATGAGAAACATCGATGCCGCCCTTTCGTTCGCTGGTTATCTTAGAAATTCAGACAAAGAACTAAGTTTGGGGTCTATTAATAGTCTATTGCTGTTATACTACCATATAGGTAAGACAGAGAAGTTATCTGATGATCAAAAGAACTTCATATTGGATACATATAAAAAACTATATGATAAATACAAAGTGTTAGATTTTACGACCTGTGAAAGATTGCTTCATGCTTTATGTGTAATAGATGAATGGAAGAAAGCTTTTAAAGTCCTCGATAATATACTTCTTAGTTGTAAACCTTCACATTCTGCATATAGTACATTGATACAGACATTGTTTATAAATAATAAGAAGAATGAAGCCATGAAGTTAATAGAACAAAGTGTAAGTAATAATAGACCATTGTCAGATTATGCATATGAAGCATGGATTAAATACATTCTAAGTAAATATAAAGACAAGAAAACAATATTAAAACACATGGAGAACATTTTAACATTTGTTGCTGATAATATAACAACTATTAATTTAGAGACAGCTAATAAAATACAAGAACTTTACAGTAGTCAATCATGGGATGTGCAATTCACTAAAATTGGAAAAATGGAGTGAGTATTTTGTGCAGATTCAATTTTTGTTACTCTATAATTTAGCCAAAGTTGAAACCTATTTCATTGTCAGAAATTATAAGTTCATCACTAATGGTTCCTTTGCTTTTCAGTTTAGCTTATAATATTTTAATACAGTGGACCCGCAGTAATCCGGCACCTGTCTAATCCGGCCCCCCTTGTAATCCGACATTGTCTATTATTTGTTATTGAATATTACTTTGACAATATACTTCAGAGTGCATATACATACATACATATATAACATAGAATCTTATCACTGGATCTGTAATTTGTCGGATTACAAGATACTCTTTTGTAAAAAATTCCGGACTATAAGCAGAGGACTCTTAAGCAGCACTCTATAATCCGACAAATACGATGGTCCGACACTGCCCTGCAAAACGTTTGTCAGATAACCGGGGGTCCATTGTATATGTATATAATATAAAGAATCATCATTGGATCTATAATTTGTCGGATTACAAGGTACTCTTTTGTAAAAAAAATCGGACTATAAGGGGTCTTAGGCAGTACTCTATAATCCGACAAATTCGATAGTCTGACACTGCCCTGCAAAATGATTGTTGGACTACCGGGGGTCCACTGTATACATGTATATAATATACATGTATATTAAAATATTATAAGTGTATTTTCTATTGACATCCTGTTTCAAATTTCTTGAACCAATTTTTTAAAGTAACGACCCATGCTTTTGTGTTAAATTCATTAGCAATAAACCAACATAGTTTCTTTAAAATCCTATGAAAATAAACTGAATAACTCAAATTTGTAATAAATCTATAATAATTTTATTTCAGTGGCAAATGCAGTCATTGTTCAGAAAAATTAGAACCCTTACAGTTGACTGCAGAAGAATTTAAGGTGTTACAAGAAAATGTCAAAGAGAAATTGATTGTTGGTTCAAACTTGTTTCTAAAAACATCACCTGATGAGTTAAATAGGTTTCTGAATTTCTTAGACAAGACTGCACCTTACGATGTTGTTTTAGATGCTCTCAATATAGCATATGCTGGTAAAAAAGGCCCACTAGATAGATTCAAGATTCTGCATCATGTTGTGGATCATTATACTAAGTCAAATAAGAGAATATTATTGCTAGGGCGGAAGCATATGCTGAAATGGAAGAATCACCAGTTACAGGGCTTGATAAGTAAAACATGCAGTTTCTTCACTGATGATTTGTAAGTTGAACCTTATATAAATAGCAAGTAGTATCACCAACTAAATTGCCAAATTGATTTCAATGGACTTAGCCTACTGTATATTTAGAGTCATGGTTTTGATGTTGCAGCCTTTTTTTCTCCACAGACATATTCAGACAGTCTTGCTCTTATTAGTTAGTTTCTTTATATTATTATGTTAAGCATTTACAATAAAAATTAACTTAAGGTTTAAATTTAGAGTAAATCGATTTTGGCCAGTATATGTATAACCATTTTATGGATAGTACTATATTTGATTTATATAAGACTACTAATGTTGGAGCCTATGAGGTCCATGTTCAAGATAATACAAGCTGAAAACAATTAAAAAAAATATACCTGATCCATAGATCATTATGTATCCAGTAAGCACAAATAATTAAGTATGGAAACTACCCCTAGTTTCCATACTTAATTATTTGTGGTCTCACACATCCTAATGTTAGCGGAATTATGAAATAAAATATAAATTCTTCTGCAAAATAACACCTAATTCGATAAAATATTTGATACTACACATTCACTTCCTTTCAGGTCACAGGATGATCCATTTTTCATAACAGCTGCAATATGTAGCGGGCCCCACACCGATTTTGTGTCCAAGGATCTTCTGCGAGGCCACATTTTCCTCATGCAAGATGAAAAACTTAAACTGCTATTCAGGAAGTGGCAATGGCAACATCAGTGGATGGTTTTTGTAAACAAACAGGGCCGGATTGTGTTACGGGAGCCATTAAAATTCAATCCATGTGCGCAGAAGAACAAAGAGAGCTGGCATTTGCCATACGAAACTGAGGATACGGATGTTAATTCTGCGCCAATTAATGACGGAGTACCAGATTTGTCGCGATGGCTTTGTTTAAGATATAAACCAGTTAGATGACGAATATATAAATAAATTAAAAAAATATTGTGTTCTCAATAACATAACATACCAACACGTCTGTTATCTTCTGACAGCCTCGGTTGTCTAGCGGTTTAGCACACCGCTTTATTTCCAATGATTGCGGGTTCGATTTAACGTAAGGAACAAACATTTGTAATCATGAGTATGTTATGATTGTTTGTATCGACAGGTGGGATATCTTCAGGGGTCCATAAGTACTTCCGCGGGTTTGGAGTGCCATCGGCACACGCCCTCTACGGTCTAGTGAAGTTGTAAAGGCCAGCCGCGGCCAACAGCATTAGAGTAGTCAAAAAAAAAAACGTATTGTGTTTTTTTTATGGAATCGTAATATCATTGGTATTCTGTGCTTGAATTTCGTTTGTACAAGTCTAAATATACATTAAAGTAACTCACCTTTCTATTCAAAGAACTGGAAATCGGTGGCGAATTAGCGAAGATGTCGCGTAATATACGCAAAAAATATCCCAGTTGACTGGAGAATTGAGGGTCTATTGACAGTATTTGTTACGGTACGATTGTAAATAAAAATATAGTCACGACTGTAATAGCAAACGAGGTACTTATAATATAACTAGAGTGGCTTATCAAATTCTGTAAGCGGTGGAGAAGGAAGTAGATACAGGTATGACACACTGGAAGGAATCGGGCGAATAGATATACTTAATTTATAGTTATTACTCCACTTTTAATGTTAACGGCGACATTTGAAATCCAATTTGCGATATTTTTTAAGTATATGTACACTCATCGTAATGTTATCTTATTCCTAGAAAGATATCCCACTTTTTGACACATTTTTAGTTCTACTATTATGTTTGAATTCCAATATAATCCCCAAATATTTGTATCTTTAAATGAAATTAAAGTGACTTTGCTTAAGCGTAGTACAAAACATTACTGACCTGCGCGAACTTGCACGCCGATCAAAGTATGTGTAATATCGCGTATTTTTTTTAATGGAATAAAATGGAATGATGCATCCGCCTGCGTTAACGATATACGCTGGCTGGGCACCAGGGGGGCGGGATAAGATGAACCTGAGGTTGGGTTAGTCGTTCTTCAGTGATGTCTGTTCTGTTGACCATGTGCCTAAACATGTAATATTTCTGTCAATACTTGTGACCCTTCCAGTAGTTTACGTCTTTAAATAAAATTGATTTAAGTTCAGTGTAAAACAGTCTACGTCACGACTCCGCGTCAAGTGTACCTACGCGTTAATAATAAGACATGTAGCACTATACCAAATAAAGTTACTAATGTAGGTACAATAAATAGTACAATTATTTCACCGGTACTTGCTACCTAGATACTGCAATAAATAATCAATTATGTAGCGACACCTCGTCTCATTATATATAACACTACAGTCGTGAGGTGATACTATATACGCGCTACAACCGTATATAAAAATGGCTAGAAGTAAATCAATCTATTTCTGTAACTACTAAAAAAAAATGTAATGTCAGTGATTGCTAATATGCCAAAAATCGCATTGGCTTCATATTTTTAAATCCTTTGTATTTATATACCATTAAAATGCCGAAACCTAGAAAATTAAACGAGAGTCCTACACGAACAGATAAATCTAAAGGATCCAAGAATGAATTGACATCTAAATCCGATCAGAATGTTATAGTGATGAAAAATTTGAATTCAGGTAAATGTATAGCACCAATCACCGTAGAGCGATTCCAATACTTAGCAAAATTTGTGTTATATTTATCAAATGTAAGTTTTACACGCAAATTGAGATTTTCTGCAGATTAGGCAACCATAGTGTATGAATTTCAGTTTGATGATTTGATGGACGTGATTCAAATGATGGATGCAGTTAATTTTTTTTATACAAATGTGCCACCATTTGTATAAAAAAAAATAATGAACGGCAAAGTACATGGCTCATTTGTTAGTAAACGGTCACCGAAGTCTTGGATGAGTATAGTATAGTCCAGTAGTGGACAATTAAATGGCTGAAATGATGATGGATTTTTTAATAGTTTTTTGATTGCCGCGCCTAGTTATTTACCTCCAAGGTCGTATTATCATTCCCAGCATGGTTTTGCGCGCGGAATGTAATAATAGTGCATAGACACTGTCCACCATAGACACCAGATATTTTAGTACTACATCGATATACTGATTTGTAAACCCAGGTGTCTTCGTTCTGATCCAATCATCTTTTGTTTTCTGTGAGCATCATTTCATCAACATCTATAGAAATATACTGATTTTATCAGGCGATGACACCGGTAAGATATCTCCACGTGTGCGTCGCAATATGGAGCGTGTGGAAATGCTTGCGCGTCCCACGGCTCGCCGCTTACGCTCGCTCTGGGATGAGAAATGTGCAATATTACCACCCGAGCGAAGAGATAAAATCAAAAGCGCTTTAGAAGAAGACTATTTCCTGAGTCCGGAGTGAGATTTTCTGAACTGTTTATAATTACTATCAGTTAATCGATCACCTAATGGATATTGATATCAACGGGCTATTGACAAGCTATGAACATAAATCGGAGGTCTGATATAAAGGGCCAATTACATTAATTCGCTTTAGAACTATATAATCATAGGCTTAAATATGTACTTCTTAGTATGTTGCGACTAGTATTTATCACATAGATGTACATTCACACACTCTTAGTAAATTTACATTCCCAAATGGTAGTCCTTATGAATAATAACAGTAGTAAGGATTACCGTTATATTGTAACAACTGTTTGTATTTTGTATTATCTATTATTTGTTAAGTTACGGATGGATTAAAAACGATATGATCAGAAGCACTAAGAATTACAAGGATTACTGCAAATAGAGTTGAATGGTAGAACAAATACTGTATAATAAGTTCCAATTAATTAAAATTAATTAAATTAAATTAAATTAAAATAAAATAAATTAAATGACGATAATGAACCGTAATTACGTACAACAAACTTTCAGCACAATCCTATAGAATATTCACATTCATTGAAGAAAATTAAAACATCTATTTAATAATTAAGCAATTTAATAGTTCTATTAAATTGCTTAATTATAACATTAAATATAACAGTTCAATAATTTATTTATTGTTTAGTGGTATAATACATTACTTTACACGAGATCATCGGTAGGACGTGGGTTCAATACTCGCGCGATGTAAACCTGTATGCTGTATCATTGTACAGACAAACAGAACAATACTTCCAAGCTTTAGCAGAGTCGTCTAAGAAGTGGTCGGGTCCCGGCGGGATGGTCAGTCGCAAGGAACAAATGGATAAGGCACGGGAGCTCCGGCAGCGACAGAAGTGGCTTGTCAATTTTAGTGCTCAGGTTGATCTCATACGTATTAACTAATATATACTTTGTAGATACGTATAGTCTGTAGGTAACTATCATATTATTTTATCTGTGGTGTGGTACTAAGTAAAATTAACTGTAGATATTTCAGCATCCAAAGATACTTGCTTTTTAGTACTAGCTACTACTACTAGTAGTTTTTAAATTACTTGCTTAGTAGTATTATTATAACTGGTACCTACAGTTAGGCGTAACTGATATTTGAATGAGGTAAATGTATACATATATATATATATATATATATATGTATAGTCATAAGTTTTTTTTTACGGATGGATGGATATTTGAATGCTCCTGCTTACGCTACTGGTTTACGCTGGCGGGGCACGAGTAGAGGATAATAAAAAGAGCATAAAGTTAGGTCAGTTGTCATGTTAGCAAACAGGAATTTCCCACGACGGTTTCCAGGCAGAACCACGTGGAGGTCAACATTACAGGTGGTAGGTGGTACATTATTATTAGTCCATGTCATTCACATTACTAACAATCTTCTTTCCCCCGCATTATTTAGATATTGTTCACTTATCGTATATTTATTTTGCAGGTGGCATACCATTTATGCGACTATATAGCAAAAGGTCAAAAAGAGATGTTGGTCTCCAACAGGCTACGCAGCATCGCCGATGTTGTTTTGGAGCGCGTCGCTAATATATTAGGTTATAATTTATAAGTTGCAAAATAACTACTTTGACTATCATTGCATATGATGGTACGAAAATACACTAATATTCTTTTGCACAATACTAAATCACCAATATGAAAGCAATATCGAATCCATATTGCCAGTAATTCTATATAGCTTAAAGTTTGTTTAGTTCAACACGAAAATATCAGGTTCTGCAGGTTCGGATAAAAAAAATCTTTGTTAATGTAGTATTGGATAGTCCATTTATCGAGGTTGTTATATAACATCATGACCTATAGGAGCCAAGCATCTGAATTTTTTTCCAAAAATGGGGGACAATATCAGAACGTCATGAATATAATAAATGTTTAAGAATTTGCATTTGCAAGCTGAATACTCTAGAAATAAAATCTAATATTTAGCACTGTATTCTGCAAATAAATGATTACAATTGAATTATTTTTTATCCTTGGTAATAGTGCTCAGACGGATAAATCATATTACCAACACATGAAAAGGAAAATAGGTAGATACTCCAAGTCAGCGTGCCAGGCAAGGTCTGACTATAATTTACAGATTTGTTGATTGTAATACAAAATTAATTTTATGGGAGAGAAACACGAACATCGGACTCTGGTCCTAAATAATTGCGCAATTAAGATTGCCAGATGTTTGTGGAATTCAGTATCTAGAATTTGTGATACCTATATCAGTATTATTATAAATAGTCCTAAGAAAAGGTTGTTGTAAATAAAGCAATTGACAATAAAAATATTTAGGTAAAACTATATATATTCAAACTTAAATATTTTATCTATAAATATATTTAGGTACATTATATAAACAGAATAATACCTGGAATAATACAAGCAGATGGATTCATGAATACATCTGCTATGAATGTATTCCCCAATCGAAGTGGTGATCTTTTCAATTTAAATTTTTGATCGATTGGTTTTATCTTAAGTATATTTTATTTTCTGCGGATCTGTCTCTGTAGTGTAATACGAGAATGCTTTTTTGATGAGAGTGAATGTTTAATGATTATAAAATTTAAAATTGACGTAATCAAAATCTCTAATATCTAAATTGTAGCTAAGTACACTCTATCATCTCAGCTTAGACTAAAAAAATATTACATATGTTTATTAGTTACGATGCCACAGATAGAACACATACACAGACACATCATACTTACAGATAGAAAATAATCCGTACCCACAAGGGGGTGGAGATTGGGGCCTCGGGGAGAACCCCATTGCCCGGCATCCATCCCCGGGACAACCCTCGGGGGACGGGATTTAAGCCCAAGGCCAAGGGCAAGAATGATAAAATTCTAAAACTTCATACTAGATTAGGACATAAAGCGCAATAAACTTAACCTAAGACTAGTGTCATATTTGATAATATTTTTTGTTTATTTCTATTTGTTTTCTTTGCGTCGGGGTTTAAAAACTTTTCTTTAATAGGAGAGCCAAAGCCATCCCGTACACATCCAGGCCGCCTCGCCCGCTTTATGGTCGCCATCTCTGACCGCATCGCCGTCTGGATCGAGAATGCTGTCTATAGAGCGGATGCCTTCGAGCCCGAAGAGTGCGAATCTACGGATGAGCATATACGTTTGGATGCTGAAAAACCACTCATTTGTTAATAATAATACAGTTCAGTTTACAATAGTTGGTAATTGGTGAGTAATAGTTTTTAATCGACTCTATAAAGTGTTTGAATTTATGCATAGTATGTATGTTGGTTAATAAATTGATTAATATCGTACTTTAGTATGTGTACTGCGATAATGTTGTCAACATTTGGCACATTTGACACAGATCTCGATTATGTTATAGGTAACTTTTTGTAAGTTTTAGTTTTAGGCTATTCTAGCTTCAATTTTTAGCAAGGTATACCAAAGTATAATATAAAAAATGTTGTTTAGCGCCAATTAGTTACTAATTAATAAAAGAAGTTGCCGATCATCTTGCTTTGTAGCATATCTTAGTTCTCCGGAATGGCAATGCCGGCGGTACAGAGAATAAACCAATGCAGATACTAATAATAATAATATTATAATTCTATTATATTCTATTATATTTCACACAGCGCCATCTAGTCCCATGTTATGCAGAGCTTGTACTATGTGCATTTGACAACTGATAGAAATGCATTGATACATTTTTAAATACATTCATAATATACATAGAAAACACTCAGAACAAACAATAATAAATACAAATCGTCGATTAAATAGAAAACCGACATTTTTCAATTGCCTCCTTTTACATAAGTAAATTAAATTAACCACACCGTCTTAATCATTATCTAAATACTTTTAAAATGATATATAATACTTCTGTGTAAATTTTTGTTAAAATATTAAAAGAAAAAAAATAATTTAAATAAATTTAAAAAACTTTATAGTGTCATTTTTCTATTTAACAGACGAAATGTTTCTATATACAGTGAGAAGAATCAAACTCGCGATCATCGGAAGTGAGGCAGTGTGCTAAACCACTACACAACTGAGGCCGTCACTAATAATATACAATCAGCAATCAATGTTACAAATTCAATTCAATTCTTCATTACCCAGTCAATGGATTTATTATATCACTCACAAATGTCGGTAATATCTAATGATGTAATGCACAGAACAGTTTGCATCAGTGATTTTAAATAGATTATAGAGAAGTAGTCGGTGTACGTAAGTTGAAATAATTGTCAGAAGTTGATACTTATATTATGCTAGCATATCTTTCTAAAAATCGAGTATTGAAGCTGCTATAAATCGTTGCTGTAATGGTGAACTCTATTACCATAGACACATTTTTTATAATTTTGTACTACTGGTATGATTTCCAGTTACTTCCTATTAATTTTATTTAAACGTAAAATTAAGAAGATCATAGTATCTCACCAAGTATTATATATTACCAGATTTTCTTAATTTTACCTATAAATAATGACCGCTCATATAAAAAAAAAATATAATTTTGTTTAGTATAGCTACTAAACAAAGTTATATATTTTTTTAAAATTTAAAATAATAAATATTAAATGAGTGCATTTTAGCAGTAATCTCCTGTTACGTATGGGTGTTACAGTTCAGATTATATAGTATCAAATTAAATATGTAGGTACATGGACCTTTTTTAGTATCTTCATCAAAGATTAGAATGCAACACAATATATTAGCTATCAAACTCATTGTGAAGTATAAATATAAGTCTAAATTTAGCTGTAGTCTAAATAAAATACATGGTATAAAAATATGGCTGCCATAAATATTAATTGAATTTAGATAAATAATAAATAATTTTGAATATTTTGTGAGTTTTCACTGTTGAAGATATTTTGTTAATAATTTTATCTACATTCAATAACGGGATATTTATCTAGTTAATATTATTTATAGGCTCCTTATATTCAACAGAATTATCAATTATAAATAACAATGAAAAAAGTAAAAAAAAATTTCAAACAGTGTTTATGACCACATATTTTTTTTATTCTATAAAAAATAAATATCAAAACTAGTTTAATCAAAAGTGATAAATACTACTGAGTGTATTATAAATAAACCATATTTAGTACTAGTATTTAAATAATTCTATAATCATGAGCGTTCATTGCAGTAACTACATTATGAGAACCGCCTACATTTCAATCCAGTTTATATGGAGTCACTTAAATATACAAGTTCAGTAGATACTTACCTTGAAGCAGATAAACAAAGGAATAACAATGATTAAGGATTATGGTATAGTACACCGTTACAGATTAATAATAAAGTTATTATATAATAACAATTAATATTTAAACACCAGAAGGAATATTTTTTTTTTTAATAAAAATTGCCTTAATTTGGGATTTTGGGATTGGAGCCTAAGTTATTGTCGCAAATGGCATACTATTACAATTGCTGCTTATAATAAAAATTTTGAATTAATAATCCAAACAAAACGGTCTATAACTCAGAGGGGGCATAACAAAAAGTTATATAATTCAATGAGTCCACCCTCTCTGCTATTTGCTATAGCCTTTATTAGTAAATTAATACAATAAAAAATCAATAGCATTTAACTTCCAAACTGTCCTCTACTAACAAAGTAAACGTAAAAAATATATGTATATATTTCATTATATATGTTCATTGTACATATAATATTTTTTATAATATAAATATATGTCTCATGCCAATCGGATTCTCTTACTACCGGGCTGCAAACCTGTGATGCTGGTGTGGTTTTTATGAAGAGGAACAATTTTCCTCAGTCTCCATATTTTTATATGTAATAAACTAATGATATGAAATATAGTGCCAAATACTTATAGACATGAACAAAATCATCGTGGCATCCCGCATGCGTCGCAATTGCGTTGTAATAGAAATGACGCTCTGTATTTCTTCGCATCATATCGTGAGTGGGTGTATGTATATATCTTCTGAAATCTGATAATTATTTTAAAATATTTATTAATATTAGTTTTCTACAAATTTATCATTATATTTCATGCTTAATACACTTAATAATATACCACATTTTAATATTTTATAATTGCTTACTCTCTCTATTTGCAAAATGATATGGGCCCAGTGTATTCCCTCTAGAAAGGAATTAACATTCCACTTCTTAAATTCCAAAGCAATATGCTTAGTTTTTTAGGACGTTTCGGAATGAGCTTTGCTTAGTTTCAATAAAATGTTGTATAAACTTTAGTAATATTATAGAGAACATACTATTACATACTAATATACTGCACCGTACAGAGCCGCAATCATTAAATCATCAAGTCATTAAGATGCTACTTTTATCAAAAATATGCATGATAAAATAAAATCTAATAAATGAGTACAAAAATGCCTTCGATAGCTCACATAGCGATAAAAATCACATACAACTTATACAAGATGGCAAAATGTAATGAAATTAATTCTTAATATGTCCATCGCTAAGTTTGATTGATGAAAACTTTCACTTTAGTAGGAGTAAATTGATACTAATTGCATCTAATTAATAAAATGAAGTGGGTCAACACAGTTCAACACTCGACACTGTAACCAATTGGTAATTTGAATTTACGTCACATAATTTTACTATTGGTTCTAATTATTTAACTTTATAAAATTCTCGTATCACAATGTTGTTACCATACTCCTCCGAAACGGCTTTACCGATTTTTATGATATTTTGTGTGCATATCGGATAGGTGCATGAGAATCGGCCAATATCTATTTTTTCACACCCCTCAATAATAAGGGTGATTTACCCCTAAGTATATTTTTTTTCGTCGATTCTTTTATGATTATGATTGATTATATGATTATGAAAAAAGAACACACAAGAAACTCAACGTTCTTTTTGATGAGACAGCTTTCCGAACGGTTACTTTGTAATATTCATTGTTATGACTATTCAAAAGTGCTTAACATTAAGTTTATTTGAATAAAAATTTATTCTATTCTAGATGAACATTTTATTGAGCCTGCTCGTTTTTCATTTAAGAAATTGTTTAGTGAGTTTCGGTTTTGCTAAATAAACATATATTAAATTTATTTAAACGTAATTCCTTTGGTATCTTATAGTAAAATAATAACATTTCATCATACAATGGATGTAAACCCATGCCCATAAAATACCTATAGACTTTTTCTGTACGAGACTTAGGAACAGTAAGTTTGTCTTTAAATTATAGTATTATTATGACCAAAATATTTACAAATAAAATTATTACTATTAAAAAATCTGGATGATCAACAACAGTCAAGTTGATATCATGTTTATAATTAATACACAATGAATATCCTTTCTATTTTTTCTCGGTGACAAGTTGTTCTGTTATGTATTCAAATAGTGACCTTAGGAGGGTCTAGGCGCGCCTAGTATCCCTAAGCTTACCGACCTTCTACAGTCCTATATATGCAACAGTCTTCCGCTGTTTGTGATAGTCAACACTTAGAAGGCTTACAAGCAGTTCTCGTGGAAGCTAATCAACCAAATAATCCCATTCAAAATGAAATACGCTGTGAGTATAGTTATATGAGATATTGTTGGGTTTCGTGCCACAATGCAACAAATTGACCATTTTATATTTTAAATTAGGTACTACATATAATTTAATTTTATGAGCTAATCCTACAAAATAGGTAATATAATAATAAATAAAATGGAAATAGAAATTATATTAGGGTACACTAAAGAAATTAAAATTGATTGGGCTATGAAAACAAACTCAGTTTATTGATATCAAAAAAAGTAAATAAATTTGACTAATATACAAACAAAAAAATAACATACAAAATATAAGGTCTATCTAAAAATCCGGCGGTTTTAGAATTTATTCTCAATATGAGGCTGAAGATTAAATTAACGACCTATCTTCCGGTCTAGTGGTTTAACACACCACTTTACTTCGGATAGTCGTGGGTTAGATTCCTCGCACGCTGCAAACATTCATGAGTACGATTGTTTGCCTTGGTCTGCATGTATATTACCTATATAAAAAAACAGTTGTTTAGTACCCAACCAACAGTTGTTTATAAACAAGTTCTGCTTACCTTTGGACTAAATGGCGTAGAGTGGACTGCCCTGATAATAAAAATATTGGTTTCAGGCATCCTTCCTGTTGTGTTGCGTGGCTTTGGCCGCCGCAGCTCCGCAGTTGGTCGTCCCCGCTGGTGTGGTGCCAGGAGTGGTCGCGCCTGCTGGTATCGTCGCCCCCGGCGTGGTCGCCCCTGGTGTCGTGGGATTATCTGGATTGGTTGCTGCCCCCAGGGTAAATATTCTTTATTATTAACCACTTGATTGTCTGTAATATTATCTATCTGTAATTACAGACAATCAAGTATACTTTTTTATTTGTTAAGGTAAACAATTACATATTTAATGTACATCATACGGGTTGTAACACGGGGTTGAAGAGGTACAGACTTTCGGTAAATAAATTATGAAATCTGAAAAAGGTTTTAGATTTTGTTTCATCACATTTAGTAGTAAAACACGAAAATTTTGCCATTAAAATTTTACCTACTTGTGGTTGGTTGTGAGGGACATCGGGAGGGGATAAAAATTGGTGTGACAATTTATAAACTTAGGAAATATATGTTTTTTTTTTAACAGAAGAATGGTGCTTTTAATAGAAATAGGTAATTTTGTTAAAATGCGAGAAATAATCAATTTTCTCACTAATTGCAGTGAAATCTAACGTAGCAATGAAATTAAGAGTCTCAATGTTGTTCGTAAGAAGATAGGATTATTTTCCTTTTACGTAAATACCACAGACAGTGCTAGAGAATACAAGTACTTCATCTAAACTAATATTAGAGAGGGAGCGAATTTAGTTATGAGGAAAGACTTAAGAAAAATCTTAGTAATTTGTAAGAATTAACGTCCTATTCTCTGATCTATTGTATTCCAAAAGGAACATAGCATTCCATTAGAATCGATCAAGTTTCGGAGGATTGTCTGGTTGTTACAAAATTTATTGAAATCAAAGTTACTAATTTCATTAATATTTCAATTTCTTCGGTGGTGTAGCTGTTTAACACCTTGCTTTACTCCAGATGGACGCAGGTGCGATACCTCGCGCGGTATAAGCTGTCTGGGTGTTTTCTATGTATATATTAAAAAAAAGAATCTATTTATATCTATCTACAAGTTATGTAGTACCCATAACACATGTTCTGCTTAGTTTGGAACTAGATGACGTTGTGGTAATTATCCAAGGTATTAACAAAAATTTAAAAACTCTTACTTTCTGAATAAATTTTATCTAACAAGTCTCAATCGATATGTACGACAGTACAGTCCACAATTTAGATCTATAAATTTTAATGCTAAGTGCTAGTAATTGAAAATATCTATTCTTTTTTTTCAGACGATCGTTGCTGGCCCAACTGTTATCAACGGCGTGGCTGGTGTTCCCGGTGCTCAGCTCATCGCCCCTGGAGTGGTCGGCACTGCTCTGATCTAAAGCCCTCCCTTCCCTGCTCCTCTTTAAATACACTGCCCCCCCAAACCCTACCAGACAATCGGTGCATACAATTAATCTGTACATAATGTTCTATTGACAAATTAAAAGTATTTTCTCTTCCAATAATGACTATTATTAACTAGTGAAACAAGAGATTTGACTAAAGATATTCTAACAATCGTTAGATTAATAAATTTTATATCTAGATACAATTGATACTTAGATATAATTATAATAATAATGTCGCTGTTTTATTTTCTTTCGGACTACTCTAATGTTGTTGGCTGCAGCTGGCCTATACAGCTTCACCAAACGATAAATGTCGCTGCAAACGCCAGCTTCTGTATTCATACATCTGACGGCCTCGGTGGTCTAGCGGTTTAGCACTCCGCCTTACTTCCGATGGTGGCGGATTCGATTCCTCACACAGTACAAACATTTGTATTAATGAGTGTGGTTGTTAGTATCGGTCTGCTGTTTTCTATGTATATTATGTATGTACATATTTACAAACTGCACTTTCATTTTAGCGTGTCGAAATGAAGCATTAGCAGGCCACGAAGTAGGACACTCCATGAGAAAACTGTCATCGATTTCGAGTCGCCTGAAAAAGTATCTGCTGTTCATGGAAACAAAGTCGAAAAAAGTTAAATACATTCTTTTGTAATATCAGTTGTCTAGTACCCAAACACAAGATCTTGGCTTGCTAGCTTGGGACTAGGTGACGCTGTGTGAAATGTCCTGAGATATTATTCTATTACTAGTGTAGTTATGTAATATTATCTTATCTGTGCTATTACGAAAATTTTTAAGAAAAAAATAAAGGATATCTAGGGAATGCAATCCCGACTCGAGATTGCAAATTCGAGATCCCGGAATTTTCGGGATCCCGTCTATATTTAAAAAACATGTTGAATTCAGATGACTGAAAAAGCTAATAACTGCTTGTTTGTGATAGTGAGGTTAACTAAAATAACATATTACTCGAAAGAAAATAAAAACCTTTATTCTTTAATCTTACCAACTAAATAATAATCAGGTTGTAAGGAAATTAACGTAGGTAAATTAGGTAATCAAAACAATAAGCTTATTTCAAGGGAATTAGGAAAAAGGATCAGGTTGTCAAGGAAATTGCGTAGGTAAATTAGGTAATCAAAACAATAAGGAATTAGGAAAAAGGAGGAGTGATTTTGAAAATGACTCCTTAAAAAACAAAGGGTATTAATAGTTCCATCTGCTAAACGGCATCTAATGTCCGTTGCAATGTACCCCGCTGCTGAGAATGCCCTCTCCGACTCAACGCTAGTTGGCAACAGCGTGGCGAAGCAATTATATGCAAACTGCAAAAATCGCCCCCTTGTTCCTCCACACTCAAACAAATCCATTTCTTTTTTAATGGTAGATTCTAATTTGTCTAAGCTCGTGGACGTGGATATACGTACAAAAGGACTTTTAGAAGCTCGCAGAGTTTCTTCTAATTCCTCTTGAAGCGATTTATTAGTTTTTGCAGCACGTAAATTCAAATCTTCTGCAATCATTGAAAGAGGCAAGTCATCTTCGATTAGTACTGCCGTATTAATATCTGCTTGGTTTGGTTCTTTACGATATAATCGTGTGATTATATTTTTTATTTCTTTTTCACTGCCGCCCAATCCCGTCAATCTCGAACGGGATCTCGTCATATGATGCGTCGGGATTGATCCCGAAAAATTACACGAGATCTCGCGAGATTGGGATCCCGCGGGATCGGGATTGCATTCCCTGCTAGTACCTACGCATCACAAATTCCCCGTTTTTGTAACTATGTATACAATGTAATAAAAATATTACAAAAATATACTATAATACATCATAACTTCATGACTTCTAGCCCATTCCATGGAGTAGTTAGATGCGTTGTTAACTATCTACATCCTGGTGAATACCACACTTGGCAAGCCCACATTTCGTTGGGTATATTTACATCCATTTTGACAGAATGAGAAATATAAATTGGCACACAAAGATTTTTCGTGCCAGCTAAATTCGAACTTACATCTTTTAAGTCAGGGTACCACTGTACCACACTCTCTAATTTATAACAACCCTAGTAAATGCCATATAGAGACACTTCTAACGGAATATAAGTAAAATTATCGGTACTCAACGTCTATTGTAAAAATACATGTATTTCTACATTTATATATTTATATAACGACTCTTTGTTGCCAAGATAAAGAGAAAAAAAAAAATAGAAGAAGAATTTAATGATATCCGGATATTATGACTTCGACGTGAGGTCATATCATTAGTTACATTTATAAATAGATGCGGTGAAATGAGGGCTCTATAGTACAAGTGTCTTTGTACCAGTTTTGAAGTAGTATATTAGTAAGGTAATGATGTTTACGTATGATCGTTAGGTTATGATTTAACTTTATAATGTACCTCATATATACCATTACGTAAGAAAAACAACATTTCAGCTTGCTTAGTTAAGTAAACATTTATTCACAATATTCATCATAGCTTTTGAATAGGTACTTTAAAATTAGGTTGATTGTCAAATTCCAGAAAGCTATATGTAATTTTTACTTAGCCTTTTTTACTTTTTATTTATATAATTGAATACTGATTATACGTTTACATAATTCAGTTTGGAATAAATACTTATCAAATCATAGACTCACTGGCGCCTACTAAATTTTAATAATTTTGCTACACAATTTACTTTTATACTTAAATATTTGTGTTTCATTAACTAGTTATTAATGGTATATCTACTATTTATTGTTCAGTATATCTAACATGTATGTCCTGTAAAAATACCTACCTATCTACAAGTACTAATCTCTCAGATTAATTAATTTTTTTTTGATGTTGATTAGATTCGAATTTATTTATTTACTTTACGACTTAAATCGGGGTAGTGAACAGCTAGGTTTTTCTACTAAATTCCTTTCAAATATTGGAAATGTAATTCTAATCATTTTAAAGAATTTCAGCTTAAAGAAGAATAATATATAATCTGTCGCGCGTTTAGTAGTAGTCATTACTCTACTTAAACACGGGGTAATTAATACTTAGATATAATTATAAAATATGGTCATTTGTCTCCTTACAACTGCTGTGAACACGGCCATTACCTAACACTCAAATATATGTAGAAGCACGTGAGAGTGTATAACATTATATATAGTAGAAATTGTCTCGGCGTTGTAAGATCACGTTGTTTTTATGTTACAATTTACATAAACCATTCTTTGGAATATCAATGCGAAATGTTACCTAATGTCAAGAAAACGTTGGAATTCATAATAGCCATTAAACATAAAATTGATGTGTAAGGTAGACAATTTTAACTTTTTATATATAGCTGACCCCGCAAACGTCGTTTTGTCATATAAATTAACATCTCTATTATTATAATTTTTAATCGTGGCATTAAAACATAAAAATTATGTCCAAAAATAAAAAAGTGTGTGGGGCACCCTTATAGTGAGAGGTATAAAAATATATAACGACCTATGCTCAGACCTACCGAACATATTTATTTATTACAGTAACACACGAGAATTTAATACTAATGTAATATATTATATAGAGATTCAAAACAATAGGAATAAATATAATAATAATTTAAAACGACGTAGACTTTGTAAAATGTACTTAGTTTTCGTACGTACCTTAATTTCTTCTATATCAGCCCTTGGAACGTAAGCTGTTGCATGAAGGTTGAGAAATGGCAGTGAAATAAACTCAGTCCTTCGATATTACAATGCATGAGCGATAAAGCGGGTATTACATGATATCGTGATGGCCGTAGTGCTGTTAACCTTTTTTTTAACTGTTAGACGAAATTTAGATAGACCTAGACAAAAAGCTACTGCTAATAAACGAAACATACTCAATAATTAAAAACTAAAACAGTTTTTACATTATAAAAAACATAGTAAATGACTATCATTATTGTCTAAAAACTTTTTAAAATTATATTTATAATTTTATTAACCACATGTAATTAACACATTACAACAAAATTATTAGATAATGGCGCACATAATTCGCCTTATGAAGATGGATGACCAAGAGAAGACTGTACAAAATGATCACTAATAGAAAAACTTTACCTTCGGCCATGTCTTAGTACATAAGCGTGATAATAACAGAATAGAATAGATTAGAAAATACTTTATTCAAATAACTTAATTTTAAGCACTTTTGAATAGTCCATTTTTTTTAATCTATTGCTTACTCGGTAAGCTTGCGTTTTGCTCTTTTAAATAATTGTAGTAACTTTACATTTTTAAGTCGAAATGTGTGAATACAAACTACTAACTAGCTAATTAATTCATTAGAGTCAGAATATTTTACACAGAATCAACTGGTTAAGTAACAAAATAAGATTAAATCAGTCGTAGAATATCATAAACTGTACGTTGCTGACGTACTGGCCACATACTTTTATAGTTCATATGTTGTACTTATTATTATTATTATTAAGAATTATTATAATATTTTTGTAAATAGAACATAATAGTCTAATAACGAATTTTGACAGACACTATACGTTCCTAATGCAAGTTTTGTGAAGTCTATGTATGGTACTGTTTATGATTATATGCGCCGGCAACGACTTTCCATCTTTTAGTCTGTCATCTTATTTGCCAATCCAAGTCACAAAAAATTAATGGTGGCGGAACTAAATAAAATGAATCCCGTAGCTAATTAAGTATAATTTGACAGATGTGAAATTTTCACGCTAAACGCCCGTGCTGGCAGCCATGACGGCGATTAGTGCACTGAGTAAATAATCACTACGTTTTAGATCAGTGGCTCCGTTGTCCAGAGAGGTACCATAGAGATTTTTTCCCATGTTCGTCCATCTCCTTTTTAATGATGGAACAGGCAAAGATCCTTAGATCGTACAGCCTAGATACCATAGAGATGTATATTTATTTATGCACACACTGCCAAACAGTAGAACACACTTCCAGCTTTATTGTTTCCTGAGAAATACAACCCCGGATTCATTAACCCTATGATGAATACATTTCTTCTGGGTAAGCGTACTACAAGTATGCGGTCTCGCCATTATTTCTCACCAGATGAGGTAAGACCATGCGCGAACTCATTC